AAAATAGCAATGAATCCGATTGATATTTTTTTAATTTTTAGGCTTTTTTAAATAACAAATATTGCTATTTTGTTAATTACAAAAAAATAACAAAAAAAAACAAAAAATCAAAAAATTAAAAAAAATGGGCCTGACTGGACCGGTTCACCATACCGGACCGAATCGGGACTGACTATGTAATGAAAGCGTCCCGAGTTAACCCCGGACGAGTGGACTGCCCACCTACTTGTTTGCCCGATATTGCACTTTATGTACTTATTTAAAGAAAAATTCAACAATAAATTTGCAACGAAGCACTCCTTCTCTTTTCAGTTTTCCTTAAATTTAATAAATCATTAATACTATTAAATTCATCACTATGTCATTCGATTTTAAGGTTAAGAATTTGAAGAGATTGACCATAAACACTACTTCATTGCAGTGTTGTTAGACTCGGACCGGAGCTCGACTCGGTAGTGATCAGGGGTCGACTCGGATGACGTCATAATGATGTAATAAATATTAAATATTAATAATTATATTTTTAAATAAAATTTTATATATTTTACATATATTTGTTAATTGTTAAAATTAAACTAGCGCTTCATAACTTTCAAATGGGTTTTTTATGAAACAAGATTATGACATTAGCTAGAATATTAGTTTAAACTAACTTTTATTATAATGAAAAAATTAATAAATTTACTACATAATTGAATTTTATCATAAAGAAAGATTACATTGCATGTTTAATCAATGTATTTGGTAATAATTTTTTCAACTTTAGTTTAAAATGATGAATATTGCTCAAATTATTTAGTTTATAATATTTTACCTTCAAAATAATGGTTAGTACTCAATTTGACATTTGAGATGTGGGATGAATGACTAAATTGAAGATTTAGAGTTAAACATTTGAAATTATGGGTTAAATCACATAAATATAAAAGTTATGGGCATTAATAACACAAAGAATCTAATTATGGGCCAAAAGTTAAAAGTTCATCCTCAAAAGTAGTGAAAAAAATGAAAAAGTAGGCTAATAGTCAAAACCCGGTTTGACCCGAGTTTGACCGATTTCCGATTTAACCAGAAACTTGACTGGTTTGATCGAGCCATATGCAGCCGATTTTATGCCTTACTCAGCTCGGCCTGGGTCCAATGTCTTATTAAACCAGTTCGATCGGCCGGCCCGAGCCGAGTTTAATAACACTGCTTCATTGTCATTAATTAGAATAATAAGCACATGTAATTAATTAATATTAATTAAAATTAATTCATTTTTTTCCTTTTAATCTATAGTACTTAATTAAAGCAACATACAAAAATGACAGGTGTCAACTCCACGTTTAATATTTTCCCGTCAAAGGCCATTTTCAGTACAAAATGATTTCTGCCATGTAGTTTCCTAAAAATTCAGAAAAAAATCCAAAAAAAATGAAAATTAAGCCCTACGTTAGTTTCACATCCTATCCTATGGTAAATGGATTTGATTTGATTTACTGATTTAGTGTCCAAATTTAAGTCCCATTTCAAATCCAAAAAATAAACCAATTTATTCTTTCCATAAATCTTGGCCAATTGCTTCGGAAAAATTAAATGGATGCTAAAGATGAGGAGGTCGTGTGAGACTCAAATCAATGCAAAGGACATCAACAACGAGGAATCCATTCGACGCCAAAACAGTAACAAGCCAGCAACAGAAATAGCAGCAACACAGATTCAGATCTGACTGAATCATCCATGAGAAGAAAGCTACCACAGACTGACCAAGCCAAAAATGAACTACTGAGAATTGGATGAACAACCGGTGAATTGGCTTACAATGAAAACGTGGATCTAGTGAACAATATTGAAGAAGAAGATCAAGCCGCCTCGAGGAAACAGTTTTCAATTTGTTCTTCTTCGTCGTATCCTTAGAAGAAGTGGAGGATGCTGATCAAAAGGAGTCGAAAAATCGTGCAGATCTGACCGAAAATAGACCCAACCACCACTTTGGAAATGATTCAATCCTTTTGCCTAAAAGACATACGGCACAAATGGCCGATTCTCTATATGGCACAATGTTTCTTGAATTTTTAATCAATGATTTTTTGTGATTTTTTTTTTTTTAAGGTTTGTGTCCTAGGTTTAATATCTTTTAGCGATTTTTTATGTTTTCTTTATGCGTCAAGCTGGTATTTTCTCTCTTTCTGACAGGGCAAGAAATATGTATTCATTGCCATTTCTGATAATTTGGGTGCCATAATAGCTTTGAGTATCCTTCACTCTGCTTTATTGGAGATTTTTTTTTGGTCCATGGTGATACTTTTACTCTCAAATAACATACTGAAAAAAGAGCGCCAAAAAATTTAGTGATTCATTTACTCTCAAAGAACATAGTGAAAAGGAGGGCCAAGAAGTTTAAGAAGTCCCAAACCAATCACAAATTTTTTGTAAGGTATGCTCGGCAAACCTACGGGCTGCATCAATAAGGATTAATAGCTACAGATATTTTAAATCCACATTTAATCAATTTCATGTAATCCTATTCCTTTCGCTTTAATTGCATTTCTTTAGTTATAATTACGAAATTGTGTGTAATCATTGTTCCCATTCTGACAGTATGTGATTGGCGCCTGATTGTCTGTTTTAGTTTTTTTAAATAGGTGATTAATTCTTTAATATTAATGAAGATTTATACGGGCTGTATTGAGAGAAGAACCGAGTACATCTAAAGGGCATTCCACATTGAGTTTGAATGAAGGTCGGATACTTATGGGGGCATTTCCTTAGGTACTTTTGGTGAGAATATGATATAGGTTTTGATTCAAAAGTTGTATTTATAAAAATTTGAAAGAAAAAAATTGAAATACTGGTCATTTTTGTCTGTATAAAAAAATCTGGGTGCATACATATATTTCTTGTCAAAGTTCATTCGCACACATGATTTTGCTGTATATGTTCCATAATCAGGTTGACACACTTTTTGTACAAGAACAGAGAAATAAACCTGGAACAAAGGTGGCTGCATGGACTAAGGAGTGGTTGGTGATACTAATTTGTCATCAGTGTGCCTTCTGTAGTTGGAAAGGGCATCTTAATAGCTAAACTAATGAAAGAGTTTTCGTCAACCTTCGGTTCTCCTGTAAGCCATTCAACCTGTGCTCCACCGGAGAAGGAGCAGAATGGGGTTCATTAATCATTATCATTTTTCTAAACAGAGTGTGATGGAGATAAAGATGAACAGTGCAAAAGTTCCTTGAGTTTGCTTCTGTGCATGGAAATATCTATGGAACCCCAGTGTGTCTAGAAGCTGTTGAGTTGGTTGCAGATGTGTAAATGAGAAGCAGTACTCTTTCCAATTAAACATTTTCATTAGATGCAACTTTTGTTCATAAAATGTACTATTAATTTTATGGTATGATTTGTTTTATTAGACCCAATTCGTTGATCAATTATTGATATGGTCATGCAACTTAAGCTGTAGGTTAATCCTGTACAAATGCGTATCTATTTAGTCATTAGTTGTTAATTAATTTGATTATGATTAGTACATTACAAAATTATGCGAATAGTTGTGCAATATTGTTATTAATTTTGCGGAGATGATCATTACCCTTCATACTTGCCAATCCGATATCTAAAATAATTTTTTTATTAATAGTGCATGTCGTAATTAATAGTGCATGTCGTATTATTTCTTTTCTTTAATGTTATTTAACCAATTTGAAATACAGGCAGTCGCCCGGGGCAAGCATTTAATTAATTAGTTAAAGAATTACACCAAAACTTTGTCCAAAGTCACTTTTCAAATATTACCTCCACTCTCAAAAAATAGTCCACATTGAGTTTGTAAATTTGTACTAAAAATAATGTAAAACTCAAAATTTAATGTGGATTATTTTTGTGGGACAGAAGGAGTATAAAGTGGATAAATATACTACGGTTCCATTAACGTTACACATAGGTTCGGGCGTGGGGGGCTTTATTACAAGTTTTCAGTTGGGGAGTTTCATGGCTCCAAATCGAATAACCATTTTTTTTTCCCAGAAAGAACAATGAATTCAATGCTATAAAAATCAAACTGCCAACAAGGACAATATGTCATTTCGCATCAAATCATCGAAGTATCTTTTCGAAAATACAATTAAAAATCTGAGAAAAATCAGCGTACGCATCTGATCAAACTCAAAATGATCAAAATAATTCAACTTCAACTACTGCTAAACACCTACTCCATTTTGATCTTAATGTCAAGTTGTCAACACCCGCCAAATTTATTAAAGGCCTCTCTACAACACTCTAACCATTCCTCGCATCATCAAATATTTATTGCATGATTATCCGTGTAAACTGTAATCAAGTTTGACCGATTGCCCTTCAAAATTCCCTAGTAAACGACTTGATTAGCAACTTCAAATCTGATTAATTTTTGCTCAACTCTTTTTCATAGCTCTACCCATGGTCGTTGTTTTAAGAAAAAGGAAGAAAAAAAAGAAGCTAATCGTGGTCGTGGTCAACTTTTCTTCTCGTATAACCCTTTTGTAATTGACATTAATATATACCCAAAAATAAAAGCTTACCCACAACATTATAATTTAGCACCACCCCGTCGACTTTAATCTTAAATAGTATGTTGACTGATATAATTCCTTCCGGAAATGTAGTACTCCTAGTACTTTAGAAAAATATCAGAAGTCATAAACAGTACAAGTAGTATAAGATAAACCAACCGTCGTTACACTTGGCCCGAAAAAAACAAATATAAATCCCAGACATTTCCGTTTCCCAAGTCCTCTACCTCTCGCCACCCGACACCGGCCGCCGTTAATGGCCAACTCTTCCATTTCTTTCCGCCACGATCTCCTCCTGATCACGGGGTTTCTTCTGCTAACATGCGCCAGGAATGCCCTCTCTATCATCCAGCGCTGCCCCAGCTGCGGGAATACTCCGGTTCCCTGGCCGCTGAGCACCGGTCCAAACTGCGGAGACCAACTCTACAAGCTCCGGTGTTCCGGCGGGTCGCTTTTCTTCGACAGCACCAACAACACCTATCCGGTAACCTCCATTTCACCTGAAAACCAGCGTCTCACCATCCAGCCGGCTCCTTTCATACCAAACACATGCGTCACACAGGATATTTCCTCCGTGGGAGTCCAGCTTAATTCTTCCTTACCCTTCAACATCACCAGCAGTAACACCATTCTCTACTTAAACTGTTCCAGCCTTTTATTGAGTTCTCCGCTCAACTGTTCCTCCGCCGGCCTTTGCCATTCTTACATAAGCGAGAGCGTCCGCAACGCCGCCAACGACGGCGCCGCCTGCGGGAACTCCCAGATATGCTGTACCTTCCGGGCGGGCGGGTCGACCACTTCCTATTCCATCCGGGTCAGGCAGCAGGGTTGTACTGCCTACCGAAGCTTTGTCAACTTGGACTATTCCTCGCCGGTGAACCGGTGGCCCCAGCCTGGGATGGAGTTGCAGTGGGTTTCGCCCCGGGAACCCGTTTGCGGGTCGCAGTCGGATTGTGATCGGGGTTCCACTTGTGGGGCCGACCCAAGTTCCAATGCCGTTGTCCGCCGGTGCTTCTGTAATACCGGCTTCCATTGGGACGCCGTCGCAGGATCATGCGCCAAAGGTGATGTACTACTGTTTAAGCTTCTGGTTTTGGCCATTTTTTGAGAGAAACTTATGGAGAAACTTTGATACTGCTAATTCATTTTTTTTACATAATACATCTTCTCAATATCAATAATACAACAATTAATTATGTGGTCTTAAAGAATATTGATAATTCACTTTCTGAATCTTAATTTGTTAGAAAAATAAACGCTTAACTCATGGTAAATTCTTGTAAGAAATCCACCCTTAAGTCGGCGATCATAAAAAATCTCTTTCACTTAGACGAATTTTTTTTTTTTGATGTTCAGATGTGACGTGCGACGATCCAGATGGGTGTAGCAAAGACAGAACTGGGCTGATTGCAGGTATGTGTGGGCCCGCTTGACTATTATTTTATCCTGTTCTAATCAGATAACAGTACGCTGAATCTCGTGATTGACTTTGCGAACTTGTAGGCTGTTAGCTGACATTTAGAAAGTTGACCCGAACAAATTAACCTAGTAAAATTAGAAAAGATACTGTACTTTTCATCCCAAAATAATGATAGTTTTACTTCTCTGAGGGGAAAATCAGTTCGGAAGATGGTGGTAAATTAAAGGCTTGAATAAGTAAGTACAATGTAATTGATCATTCCGTTGGAAGATTGAGGTAGCATGTAGGATGGATAAACCACCTGTACAAGATGGAACTGAAAAATGAACCTAAACGGCAGATCTCTAACCACAACAGAAAAGTACAAGTACAAAAGGAGAACTAAAAGGCTGCGTTTGTTGTAGAAGCACTATCAAAATCATTGTCAAATTTGATAGGCAGAAGCCTTTCTAAATACAATTTTGGATCATACATAAACAGTTAAACACAACAATCACATCTTATGATGTGTGACCAATTAGACTCTAGGATAAGACATAGTACTTACTTTTTTTAATTACCTTTTTTTTTTTGGATTCAATCATAAAGCATCATTATTATTTTTTTGTCTTATTCCTTTTTTCAGTGAGTCATATATAGCATTATTTATATACCTATTATTTTTTTGTCTTATTCCTTTTTTCAGTGAGTCATATGTAGCATTATTTATATACCTGTTATTCAACATCCACTCTGTTTTCCTCATGGAGATGTGACTAAACAACACCATTTGGTCTTGTTGCTTGCGTAGCTTAAATTTTGAAGTCAATCACTTTGATTTGACTATAATTAGCCTACAACTTGCTTGATTTAAAGAAATTGACATTGTAGATCAAAACCCTTATAATAAAGAAGACATATGGATAAGCATTGATGGTGATCTTTCTGCTGTTTCTTCTTTTCAAAGAATAATTTAAAATGTTCGCTTCTGCTGTTTCTCTTTTATTTTGGACATTTTGGTGATGGTGAAACATTTTACTATTGTAGTACTCCCTCCAATTTGTTTACTGATTATGTTAGTCCAGAATTCCTATATGAATTATTGAACATAATGTTCGGCCTGGGAAGTAATGACTTATCTAAGTTGACTAAGTATAATACTACGTTACAATGTCGAAACATCATAGGTTTGACTACGGGACTGGGTGCCGGATTGATCTTAGCAATCATTGGAGTTTTGGGATTCAAAAGGCACCAACGAATCAAGGAAGCACAAGAACGCCTTGCCAGGGAGCGGGAAGAGATCCTCAATTCGGGTGGTGCAAAATCAGCCAAGCTCTTCACCGGCAGAGAAATCAAGAAGGCAACCAACAATTTCTCGAGGGATCGCCTTCTTGGTTCGGGTGGTTACGGTGAAGTTTACAAAGGTATCCTCGATGATGGAACAGTTGTTGCCATCAAATGTGCAAAGCTTGGAAACACCAAAGGAACAGACCAAGTACTGAATGAAGTCAGAATACTCTGCCAAGTCAACCACAAGAGTCTTGTTGGGCTACTTGGCTGTTGCGTCGAGCTTGAGCAGCCGTTAATGGTGTACGAGTATGTTTCCAACGGCACACTTGCTGATCATTTACAAGCATTTGACAGAAGGAAACAACTAACATGGACTTCTCGGCTCAGCATTGCTCGCGCCACGGGTGAAGGGCTCGCATACCTTCATTTCTCCGCGGTCCCTCCAATCTACCACCGCGATGTCAAGTCTAGTAACATTTTGCTAGACGAAAAGCTCAATGCGAAGGTTTCAGATTTCGGGTTGTCTCGTTTAGCGCACACGGACCTTAGCCACATATCGACTTGTGCGCAGGGGACACTCGGGTATCTGGATCCAGAGTATTACAGAAACTATCAATTGACGGATAAGAGCGATGTTTACAGCTTCGGGGTGGTGCTTTTGGAGCTGTTGACGTCTCAGAGAGCGATAGATTTCAACAGGGAGGAAGACGATGTGAATCTGGCGGTGTATGTGCAGAGGTTGGTAGAGAAAGAGAGGATAATGGATGCTGTTGATCCAATTTTGAAAGATGGAGCGAGTGATTTGGAGTTGGATACAATGAAGGCGTTGGGATTTCTGGCATTGGGATGCTTGGAGCAGCGTAGACAAGACCGGCCTTCCATGAAAGAGGTTGTTGAGGAGATTGAATACATTATCAGCGTTGCCAAAGCTCAAGCTGGCCAAAAGTAATCAGATGATTCCGATGACTGCTCAATGCTTCTTATTGGTAGTCTTTACCAGAATGCTTCTTTGTTTCTATTAGTTATATATATATATATATATATATATATATATATATATATATATATAAGTCATGCTACTAATATCCGTGGATGATTTGTGCCTAAATGGGAGACTTGTCACTTCTAGTAGAATATTTGTTTTCTTGGTATTATAAATTGTAACAAAAGAAGTAATGTCTAAATCTCAAGATAATACAGTTAGAGATAAACCACTCCACAATAACATGTTCAATTCATATGTTATATTTTAAACTAACAGGAATAAGAGAAGCACAAACAATTTGCTTCTTTTGAAACTAAGTAGTCTGTCACAAAATTAAATGATTTAAAAGACATATTTTACCTCCAACTTCCACTGTGGTGAGGAATCAGCTCCCTGGAATCCTTGGATTAAAACCCCGTTCATTCCAAATTCTTCCTCGTCATCCATCACCATCGGTTATGCTCACTATCATCCCCATAGTGTGTCGTCCTCGAAGAAATCTTGAGTTTTTTTTAATCTTAAGTTTGAATTTCACAATGTATTTCAGTTTATTGGTGTGGACTGGATTAAGAAGACTCATCTGTGAGAAAAAATGAATATTTTCAAATATGGGCCTTGATTTAATAAGTAATGGGTTGATGTTCACCTAATCGACCTCTAGCTGGACATTTTTGTTTTTTTTTTCAAGGCCTAATTTCTGGCAGTGATATTTGTAGTAGACAAGCACTGGGAGATAAGGCTTTGTTTGGTTTCTTTTTTTTTTATAGTATTTTTAGAATAATTAAATATTAACTGTCCCATCCTATCATACTTTTTTACATTTTCAATACAACTTTTTACATTTTCAATACAAAAAACACCTAAAAACACACATTAAAAAAACCAAACAAACAAAGCCTAAATTTCTTGATGTTTTGCCGACAAAGATACGCAATCATTAAAATAGATAAAGATAAGGGTTGAAATTGAAAAAAGTTATATTTAACGCAACATTAGAAATGAAGTGTGACATATAAATTTTTTTTTCAATTCACCATATGTGACAAATAAAAAAAATAGAGGTAGTATTCAAGTTCTGCTAGTCGCAGGCTCACATCGCCATTAAAAAATCGGGCGGAGCGGTGGATGTTTTAGTTAAATGTGGCTCCTCTCATCTACTAAGAAGGCATACTTCATTAACGGTTCCTTCTAAAATTCATAATAGTTTAGAAGAAAATCTTCATCGTAAATAAAGTCTCGTGACCAGCCTCTAATTAGATTAGTAATGTTAATGTATATGCATAAGCTTTTTTTTTTTTTTTTGAAAAGAATATATATGCATAAGCTCGTTTTGCGAAAAGGGCAAGAAAATTTCATTTTACTATATTACAGCGTTTATTTGAATCACATGTATATTTAACAAAATAAAAAGACTTTGTCTAAATACAAATATGTGTCCCCGAAAATAGTCGGACCTTAAGAAAACCTGGGGCTCGTTCACTAAAGTCTACGAGTTGAAAAGTTGCTGTCCGTTAATGTTCAAACATAGTTTTGTCCAAGGTGAAAAGTAACCATCTTTAACTAAATTGGTTTATTAACTTTAATTGTTTAAATAAATTTCAGAGCACATCATATAGAAGAATCGATCGGGTAGGTTGCTCAACCTCATCTAATTTAGTTGAACATTCTCCAGATCATATATGACTTCCAACCATTTCAAGTTTTGACCAAGTTAGATTTATTTACACTATAAAAGAAAGGCCTGCTCTTCCTAATTAGATCAAATAGAAGTTTGACCCTGACCCACCAAACAAAAAAGAACACACACACATATATATATATAATCGAATTTGATTAATGTTACTTTCTAAAGCACAAACTTGTTCCAAGTTTTTTTTAGAAAGTACATATTTTTTACGTTAAGGTACTTATGCTATTACATTGTATTCTAGAGTACGCAGTATTATGCATATCCATAACATCACTTCTACGAACTTTAACTATCACACAATAATGAAATTTAGACACTAAATTTCGAAGGTTCGAAACTACTTCCTGCATTTCTACTGGAAAAGATGAAATACGTTGAGTGGACGTAAGTTCTTGGCAATTAGTTTGGACGATTATATCTCTAATTTTATAAATTTCCAAGCTTATTGGAGAGCCAAAAAACAGGTAGTTGTCTCTGTTTGACATGCTGATAGGGATGGGAAGGCTACTGCTTTGATTTGCATCAATTGGCCACTTGGCGAAGGAATTTTCCATGCTCCAACTGAACTACGGGTGATAGGATGAAACGAGCCATCAAAGACAATAACTGTCTCTGTTACATTGGCCCTTGGTGTGAGGTCGCTGGAGGAAGTACATGGCCGTTGATGTTGCTCATGATAGATTGAGGCCTTGTGTTGCGTGTATTCCGCTTGGATTGTTCTCCAGGAGTTGACTGAATCCATGGTTTGAGAACGCCAAACCTTATCATTACCTTCTATCCATATCCTCCAGAAGATTGTCAGGAAGAGGTCCATATCTTCTTGTGATGGAGAGGTCCTGACCCAATCAGCAAACCAGTGTAGAAGAGTGAGAGAATTACCATTCAATATTGTTTGAAAAGAAGGGTAGGCAAAACTCCAAATTGCCTGTGATATTGCACAGTTGAAAAACAGGTGGATATCATCCTATACTTGAGTGAAACACCTGGGGCATAGCTGATCTTCCCGGATTCCTCTTCTGTGTAAACCTGCTTTGGTTGGCAAGGCATTCGAGGCAGCTCTCCATAAGAGGTACTTCTTCTTTGGTGGAATCCTGAAATTCCACAATCTTTTCCAGGCCTGTGTTTCTAGTAGTTGTTGTGGTTGAACTTGGATTCCAGATGGACCCATATTATTGTTTAGAGCCTTATGGTATCCAGAGTGGATAGTATAGTTCCCATAAGTGGCATTCAACCATATGAGTTTGTCATTCTGAAAACTCCTTGAGTGATTATGTATATCCCTATGATATGAGGAATGAGGTGATCCGGGAAAATGGTTCTGAGAAAGGACAACTTTCATTGACCATTAAAGTTGATAAGATCACGCACCAGAATATTAGAATGTGTAGCCAAGAAGGAGGAATGATGAATTGGAAATGCATGATTAGAGATCTAATCATCAGCAATATGAATATTTCTTCCTGAGATAACCTTCCACTTAAATGCTATCTTATAATAATCCAGCTTCCCACAGAATGCTTCTATAGCCCCAAATAGCATTGTTTGGTGGATTTTGTTGAGGGAAAGAATCAGTGATGCAATATTTAGCTCTGTAAAGCTTTGATAACAAAGATTTTGGTTGGGAGATCATTTTCCAAGCATGTTTGGCTAACAAGGCTTGGTTGAATTCAGTGATAGATTTAAGCCCTCAACCCCTTTGAAAAATTGATTTGCTGACCTTTTTCAATGATCTCCAGTGGATTCCTTTGCCTTGTTTATCACCATTCCATATGAAGTTTTCAATTATGCTTTCTGCCTTTTTTATAGTGGATGCTGGAAGTTTGAAGACTCCCATTGGATAGACAAGCATTGCTGAAAGTGTAGACTTGACCAACGTGACTCTTCCAACAAAGGTCAAGAGTTTGGTCTTCTAGTCTGTTTTCCTGGCTAGCCTTGTAGTGAATTCCTTGAAAATCACACTTTTCTTCTCCTTGAAATCTAAAGAGAGGCCCATGTATTTGTTGTGAAAGTCCCCTTGTGGTATTTCAGTGATCTCATGCAGAAGTTGTTTCATATCAGTGGTGGTGTTTGAGCTGACCAATATAGATGATTTTTTATGGTTAATCTTTTGTCCTGAGAAAGCTGCATAGGTCTATATAAGTCCTGACAGAAGGAGTTAGGCTCTGTTGGTAGTAGTGGTGGCCTAGCTCTATTTTAGCTAGAAGGAGTTAGGCTTGCTATATTACTCCACACTTCGAATGTGGTGTTAGCAAGGGTGTGTGAACCCTCTGGAATTGAATGGTTAGGTGTTTTTCTGTATGGCATGCCTTCCCCTCAAGGAAAAGCATCATTTTGGGAGCAGATGAGTGCCACCATCAGAAATTTCCAATACCCTATGATTGTTCTAGGTGATTTCAACTAAGTAGTTAGTCAAGAGGACAAGCTGGGAGAAAGACCTGTGTCCAACCAGGATACTAGGCTAATTCATCAATTCCTTGATCACAATGATCTTGAGGAACTCAAAAGTATTAGTTGTTGGTACACATGGACAAACAAAAGAAGTAATCAAGATTCAATCTATAAGAGACTTGATCGTGCTTTTGTTAATAGACAGTGGCTAACTATTTTTTCAAAGGCGATCATCCGACTTCTACCCATCATGGTTTCAGACCATGCCCCCATTCTGGTTCAACTCAAGCACAAGGCTAACAAGCCTAGGAAGAGGTACAAGTTTAAACAATTTTGGTCTAGATGCCCAAGATCACAGGACCTGGTTCACACAGCCTGGACACAGGGTATCTTACAACTCCTCAATCAACAAGAAAAACTATCTTACTAACTAAAAACAAGTCTGACAACTCTCCATAACTGGAGCAGTGACCACTTTGGTAATGTTGACAAAAAAGTGGCTATGATCACAAGCCAACTGTCAGATTCTCAAGTTGAGTGGGACGGGGATCCAACTAATCAGCAGTTAACTGATCTGTTAGAGAGGCAAAGGAAGGAGCTAGAAGATGCTATACAGTTCCAACATGATTATTGGCATCAGAGGTCTAAGCTCATTTGGCCATTACAAGGTGATACAAACACAATATTTTTTTCACAAATGAGCAACAAGAAGGAAAGGTACAAACTAGATTACTGTTGTGTAATTCAGAGGGACAATGGATATAGGACACCCAACAGATGGTTGAGCTTGTACAAGATTACTTCACACAAATCTTTCAACTGGACTCATCATCACAAACAAGAAACTCATCACCTTTCTTCCAGCAGATTCTCCAAAATGTCCAGGAGTCTCTAACATACGATCAAGTGGAACAACTGGATCAACCTTTTACAGCCAAAGAAGTTTGGGAGGCGGTAAGACAAATGACTTCTTGGAAAGCCCCTGATCCTGATGGAATTCCTGCAGGTTTTTATAAGACGTACAAACACATTATTGGGAAGGACATTGAGGATTCCATCTTGGAAACTTTCAACCAGCAATGTTTCCCATTGGAATGGAACCAAATCAGCATGATCCTTATCCCAAAGCATCCTAATCCACCATCGCCATCAGATTTCAGACCAATAAGTCTCTGCAATGTAAAGTACAAAATCATAACAAAGATAATCACCAACATGTTGAAATCCATCATATCAGACCTCATTGATGAACATCAAAACAGATTCATCCCGGACAGAAATATCAGTGAGAATATAATGATGGCTCATGAAGTGATTGAATGCATTAGAAAGAAGGAAAAAAATACAAATTTAGCTACCATAAAACTGGACATGAGCAAGGCCTATGCTAGGTCCTCATGGCATTTCCTTGAAGCTGTGCTAAAAAAAGAGGTTTCCCTCAGAACTTGATCAACCTTATTATGCACTGTGCCACAACAGTGTCATATTCTATTCAATTCAATGGGGAAATCTTGCCATATTTTTCCCCAAAAAGTGGTCTCAAGCAGAGATATCCCCTCTCTCCGTAACTATTTATCCTCTGCCAACAAGTCTTTTCCTCTGCAATCAGATCTGAGATACGCACCTTCCCAGACCTAAGTGTCAAAATGGCCTCTTGTGTGCACTCTATGAAGAAGAGACCATCATCAGCGTACATCAAATGACTGATTCTTGGTGTCAAATTAGCAGATATGCACCCAAGTCTTGTTCCAAATTAACTGTAAGTATCCTGACTTCTTTAATTTGCAGAGATGTACCCAAGTCTTGTTCCTCGTTAACCGTAACTATCCTGACTTCTTTATTTTTTTTCCCCTAAATAGAGATTTGGTCTAAATAGTATTCAATCTATCATAAAAAAATAATTCACATGGAGCTAATTGCTTGCTCATTAGTATCCCAAAAGTGGATTTTAGGAAGCTGAACATTACTAAGTCTAGAAAAAGAAAACAAAAAAAAAAAAAAACCGTTGCCCACAAATTAAATCCTCCATATAAGTTGAAGGACGAAGAAGCACCTCCTGTTGTACACTTAAATTAGAGCACATGTTATGCTTGGGATTGCATCAAAGCTACGAAGGAATCTTATGACAACCATATACATACATCTTGCAACTGTGGAAAAGGCATCTTTCAGATGAAAAAAAAGAAAAAAACCTATGTATTTGGATTTACTAAATAAACGCACCCATTTGGAATTGATAATCTTAAACAGGAGCACATCACAGTTAGACTTGTGGAAATTCTTGTAGCAAAGTTTCAATATGCAAAGACAAGTTATATAGTGGATATATATGATGTTTAATGTTGAAGGGGTCATTTTTTTAGAAACTTCGAATCGTTGTACAGATTCCGTACTCGGATTTTAAGATATAGTATAAAGTTTCTAACTTCAAACATATCGATCTTATGAATCTCACGAACAATTTGTGGAGTACTTGTTTAACCTATGTTGTTCGACTACAAAATGGACGGACCCATGGATGATCTTTGCCGCTTTGTTGAGCCAGACTTGAGGGGTTTTCTCGGTCTTAAAATTCCCCCAGAAAAGCGTGCGACAGACTATTTTTAATCATTCGAAGAATTCTTAGTGTATTTTTCGGTGGTATAATTATTAAATCCAAGTACTCTTTAAGCTAGTACTTAATAATTGGAGAAACCAGATTTTGCAAGATAATCATATACTATAAACATTTGGGAAACATAATTAAACTATTCGTTCGATCAAAAGAAGTAATTACAACCTTTGTAGCTAGGAGGGAGCAGCAGCATTTGATCAAATTTTTTTAATAATAATAATAGCTTCCGTTGTTTGTCAGACTGTTAGTTATTGACTTATTGTTAGTATTTTAATACTAGCACAAACAATATATGATGAACTGGAAGTCTGGAACCAGATTCCAAAACAATTCCCATAGGAAGCTTCTTTTTCTCAAACTGTATACTACAATGCATGGGAGCTAGGAAAATGCGACTCTGTGGGCGACCACATTTTTTATAGGGTAAAAAAGAGAGAGAGAATCAAAGACGACACTCATGGGGGCTTTCTTCTTCCTCACTAATGTCACACCATTAATTAATTACGGTTTCGCAATTCATGCTGATTTACTTTCATCAGCTCATTAATTCTTGTCATCACTGCGGGGATCAAAAGTTTGCCACATTTGTGTTCTTTCTTTCCTTTTCTTTTTGGGTGAAAACTGGATCCATAAATTTGATTGATCACACAAGTCAAGTAAATGGAAATTTAACCAATTCAGCTTTTCATAAACGAAACTTGTTGATGGAGCTATCATATGAACATAAACTGATCATAACACCTTAATCTCTTAAGAATGTGTTGATCTAGCTATTAACTGATACAGATATAGATTTTTCTCCGTTTTAAAATGGCTCTCTTTTTCAATGTAATATATTCATTTTAGGACCAGAAAAATATATGTATGGAGTTAGGACAATAGGATATGATGAATTTAGCATCTTGTTTTTTAAAAAAAAAAAAAAGAAAAAAAAAGAGAGAAGAAATTGTAATATAATAAGCAACAACATTGGTACGTGGTAGAAACTAATACAAGGGCAAATTAGCCGGCGTTTCCAACGCATATGGCTAATGGACGAGCTACTTTTACAATTCAACATTAACATAAAAGTTCTATCATTGGACGTAGTATACGTATAACTTTGCGTGTATCGGGAGTCAACAGAATTCAGTTTTATTAACATTAGTTTGCAAGGACGACTTAATATTAACTGGGAGAAAAAAGTCAGAAGACTGATTTTATATATGACTTGGTACACATTCAAAGGTGGTCAGCTTACTAAAATGTTTTCCGATGGGTGAAAAAGTCAGCGCCCCATGTTCCAAATGGTGCTTTAAGCCTTCAACATGTTCATAGAGAAATTAAGCCTTGGATCTAGCTCAATCAATGTCTAATTGAATCCGCGATCTTGTAAGACACTTTTTAAGTTTTTAATTATTATTACAGTGAATGAACTACTGAATTAACACTCTACAAAGCTGTACAACATCCTTTATAACAAGTATAATGATAGATACTACTTTAGAGAATATAAATAACAAACTAACAAAGTTTACGTGACGAAACTTCCATAACAAAAGTATTACAGATACAATTTTTAGCCTCCAGAATAAAACTTCCGTTACTTCTCAAAATTGCCCAAAATTGTCCTTAAGAAATCCATCCTTTATTATGTTTATTTTTTCTCTCCCGGATCTCACTCAGCAGCCAGCAGGTTCCTTCCCTCTTATTTGGCTGATCCTTACCGACGCTCTCTCTCCCCATCTCATCACCACCCTCCAATTTCATCCCATTCCAAAACCATAACTGCTACCAGCTTCTTCTCCGCCGACCACCGGTGTTGCTGCCACAGATTTGATTGCGGTCATTTGGCTAAAATCCCAGGTAATATCATTGTAATGCACGAAAAATTTTATATGTCAATCGCATGCTGCTATCAAGGGCATTGCTCCTACTTAAGCATATATTTGGAACTCCCGCCTTAAACCCGGAAGGTTGGATTGCCTTAATTGCAAATGTTATATACTGTGCTACGGTGTCTTCTTATTGATAAGGATTCAAGGGAATAATTTAAAATGGAGATACCAAAAATATATTTTTGTCCTTAAAACACAAAGGGGTGATTTGTACAAGAAATTTTTTTTTTTTTAATTGAAACATCAGCGTATATTGGGAGCTCAATGAAAAATCCAATTGTTGTTCGGCTGAAAACTTGATGAAGATTGATTCAGTATTATTGTTGCTGATTTGTTGTTCTTTTTTGGTAGATTTACCCTGTTTTTCTGTTTGATTAGATGTGGCTTAGTGCCTTATTTTTTCTTCTAATGTTGAGCTTGTTAAGTTGAAAGGCCTAAAGGCAAGTTAGGTGTTCACTCTAATCCCTAATATTGCACACCGTAATTTTATTTTTGGAGAGAAATTACTGAAAATTTTTTTGGAGGGAGATTCTATCTCAGAGAGCAATTAGGAGTTAGGACGGTGATATATTTAGTTATTAACATGACTTATCAGGCAGGGAAAAATAAAGGCTTGACTTCTTAAGGGCAATTTTGGAAAAGAACACTAATTTTGCTCGAGAGGCTAAAAATTGTGTTAGCATTATCATTTGCCATTTAATAATTGTGATCACATTAGTATCCAACAACGTCTAATCAATGAATACTTGCTAACTGATTGGATCAAATCTAATAGACCCATAAATTGATACTACGATTTTATATATTTTGAGATACAATCTGAATAGATTGACGTTTAAATTCGAGGGACCGTATGTTGAACTTACTACTATTATTATGAACCGCATTAAATCTAACGTCTATCAGTTTGCCAACAAGACAGACTCTACTTCTACAACTACAAGAACCGCAATCCTCCACAATTATGCTAAGCTAAAAGTTACCAATTTTAACTATTGCACTTTACGGGAAAAAAAAACCAAATTAAAATTAATTAGAACTAAATGGAGAAGAGATTTGGGCAATCCCATTAGCTCGAAGGAGTAAAAAGGACAAATCTTTAGTTTGAACTGTACTTTTTGTTGAAGATACAATTTCACATGAGTCTAATGAGAGTTATATTACAGATAGGATATAGTAGCACTATATAATATGGATCGAATTGCATTTACTTGTGAATTGGGAAAACCAAACCAACCACTGAATCGAATTACACCAATTTTACAGATCAGAAAAAAAAAGGACCCTTTCTCCTTGGCCCCCTCTATATCTCCATCGCCAACGCATCCTTACATACACTTCAATTCTATTTCAATTTCAATTCATTATTTCGACCTCTCTGACCCGATCTGACGACACCAACCCAGTAGTTGTTGGGAGTCGTCGTATCAAGATTTCTCTCCAATTTCCTTGCTTTCCCCCCGGCCGACACTGATTATTTCTCCCCCAACCCTTAATTTACTACCTTTCTAATCACTTGATTTTAATTTGATCTCAGGTATTTTTTTTTCCCTATTTGGGTTTATCTTTTCCGTTCCGTAATTGGATCTGAATTTTGGTTCTTGCCACTCTGTCATTTGGAGTTCTCGGTTTGGATGATGTTTGATGATTACTAAAGTGACATGGGGTGATGCATTGGGTTTGTTGGGCGCTTTTCTTTTGAATGCTCGGTGTCGGTTGAATGTCGTTTGCCGCTGTTTTTTTCTTTCTTTGATGTTCTGTGGATAAGGATTTTGATCTTTAATGAATTTTTTCTTTTTTTTGGGTATGAAAGAATGGACATTTAAGCATTGACAGTGGTGGTTAATGGTTGGATCTCTATGTGTTTAATTCAATTAGCATATGTTTGCTTTTGCCTTAACCTCTTTTCTGGTTGTCAATCTTCCTTCTTGTTAACCTCTTTAACCTTTAATGATCGAGTAATATGGTTTTTGGGCTTTGACGTTGGTGCAGTTGAGGTATTAATTTTTATTATCTTTTCAAATTTCTTCTTCCTTTCGGCTGTAATGACATATTTCATTGTCGTATGGTGCTGAAAATGTTGCAGAAATAATGGATATTACCCAGCTCTCACTTTTTTCCCACTCTTTCTTTTTATTTTTTTTCCCCCTTATTTCCCATTGTTTTTTTTAATATATATTTTTCATCTGGAGGTCTCTGTGGATTTGTTCCAAGGTTTATGATAATGTAATTTGTTAAATTATTAGCTCTAGCAGTACCCCCAAGATCGGATTTTTAAGCTGAGATTCAATGAATATCACTGGATGTTTAGTCCTTGGAACTTGATTAAAAGCTTTAGTAATAATGATCAGTAGATGATGATTCTTTTTTTATATTTTTAAGACCAGAAAATTCGGGGGAGACAGTTAAACATCATCCTTATGGCAAGGGGTATTTAATCTGAAGAATAATTTTACTGAGAAAATTTACTTTTATGATGCTATTTATCTTTGTGACCCACCTAGTGGGAAAAAGGCTTGTTGTTGTTGTTGTTGTTGTTGTGATGCTATTTTTCTTTGTTTTACGACTGGATGTGTATATGTCACTCTTTTATCTGCAAAAGTTCATCTTCTTTCATCACCTTCAAGGACTCCAGCCTGTAATATAGCTGGAATTTGTTTTCATGTCAGCTGAGACTTTTTTTTTCCTTCTAATTTTCTTGATTTCAGCACTTTGATTAGATGAATGCCGCGTATATGAGTATCTGTCTTTCCCTTGAACCGTGGTTGTTAAATATATGATTCTTCTCTTTCGTTCCTTGTTTATCCTTTTTGCTTACTCTGTAATGCTTACTTAATTTACATCAAGCTTTGTCACAAATGACCGCAATTCACCGCAAGAGATAGATTGAGAATTTCAAACTTGCTTCTTTTGTACACTTGTCAATATGGAGTTCTTTGCTCTTGCATGCTTCTTTCTTTAGAACTGCATAAATATGCGTTATGGGAGAATTAAATTCTGAGCTCGTGTCTTTATCCCTCTTGCATAGACTTGTAGTTACCACAGAAGTTTTTTACTGTTTCAGTGACAAATAACCAGAAATTTCTCTCATCAGGATGAAGGCACTTATCCTTGTTGGAGGTTTTGGCACTCGGTTGAGACCATTAACCTTGAGTGTCCCGAAGCCGCTTGTTGATTTTGCTAACAAACCCATGATCCTGCATCAGGTATGTCCCTTTTCTCTCTGTATTTGTTAGTTAATTTATGATGTTCGCATTCCCAATGCTTCAAAGGTATTTTAAAGTTACTGCATAAAAGTTGGGGGATCTGGGCTTATCCAAATGTAGCCTGGTTATAAGGCATGAAAATGGTGTTGTATCTTATGATGCCCTGTTCTCAAGTCTGCCAAGGAATATCTAAGTTGATATAGTTTACGTCCTTTATGTTTTTTGATAATAGATTGAGGCTTTGAAGGCTATTGGAGTGGACGAAGTTGTCCTTGCAATCAATTACCAGCCTGAGGTAAACTCATGAAAACGCCCATCCAAAGTACACAACTAATGCACTAAACGATTCTATAGACGCCTTATGAATCTTGTCCTTGTAGGTGATGCTGAATTTTCTGAAAGATTTTGAGGCAAAGCTCGGCATCAAGATAACATGCTCACAGGAGACCGAGCCACTTGGAACTGCAGGTCCCCTTGCTTTGGCTCGGGAGAAGCTGATAGATGGTTCTGGTGAGCCATTTTTCGTTCTGAACAGTGATGTAATCAGTGATTATCCACTTAAAGAGATGGTTGCATTCCACAAATCCCATGGAGGTGAAGCTTCTCTCATGGTTACTAAGGTGAAGTTACATTTCAACTTGGCTTGCTGTGTCTTTTGTCTATCCAGAATTTTCTTATATTGTAGTAATATGGCTCAATGAATGTAATCACGCTACAGGTGGATGAACCTTCAAAATATGGGGTGGTGATCATGGAAGAATCAACTGGACAGGTGGAGAGGTTTGTGGAGAAGCCCAAAATATTTGTGGGGAACAAAATCAATGCTGGCATTTACCTGCTGAATCCTTCTGTTCTTGATCGAATTGAGCTTAAACCCACATCAATTGAGAAAGAAATTTTCCCAAAGATTGCAGCAGAGAAGAAGCTTTATGCTATGGTTTTACCTGGGTTCTGGATGGACATTGGACAGCCAAAGGATTATATTACTGGGCTGCGACTCTATCTCGACTCCTTAAGAAAGAAATCCTCATCTAAACTAGCTTCTGGATCTCATATTATTGGAAATGTTATAGTGGATGAGACTGCTAAAATTGGAGAGGGTTGCTTGATTGGACCTGATGTTGCAATTGGCCCTGGTTGCATTGTTGAGGCCGGTGTGAGACTTTCCCGCTGCACAGTTATGCGTGGAGTGCGCATCAAGAAACATGCCTGCATCTCCAGCAGCATCATCGGCTGGCACTCAACTGTTGGGCAGTGGGCTCGCGTGGAGAACATGACAATTTTGGGGGAAGACGTTCATGTCTCTGATGAAATCTATAGCAATGGAGGTGTAGTTTTGCCCCACAAAGAGATCAAATCTAGCATTTTGAAGCCTGAGATAGTCATGTGAAGAACTTGCTGCTAGCTCCAGATTATAGTGTCTTTTTTTCTTGTTATATTTATGTGTCATTGGTGTGTCTTTTTTTCCCCTGCAAATTTCTCCGCTTTCAAGTGTAAATTTTGGGTGTCAGCAGCAAGTTTGAATCACTTGAATGGTTTGATGATGAAGGGTTGATGTCTGTTATGAGAGGGTATAAGTACAACTATAGTCCTCTCGTGTTGTAATCTGTAATCTGTAATCTGTAATCCTTTTTTTATGTATAGAAATAAAGTTATTGGTTACCATTTCTCTGATTTACAAGTGTAGATTGAACTTGTGCATCTTCAGCAACTCTGTGATGAGTGTACAAAATTTCAGATGTAAAATGTACAGTTAGTGCTTGTATGTACTCGTTTTAAATTTGTGCTGTATAAAAAGGATGGAAAGAGCCATTTATTTCCTCATCAAGAACACCCGTTCATTTTAACGTTTTGTGTCGGTGCTCTGATGAGGAGAAAACGCATATTCAAACCGCACATTTGCAGTGCTCTTGTCTCTACTTGAAAGGATTGATCAACTTTTTCTCAGCGTCCCTTTCAAGATGGCCAATAGATAGAGATTTATGAAACTGTTTTGTCTCCTAAATAATTTGGTATTTGCCATTATGACCCTACTAAATTTTTTTTATACTTCTGACTCTGAGTACCAGTTTCAAGAAATGACAGGGAATTGGATATACTTTAACCATGTTTTGTGTTCTAGGATTTCAAAGTTTAATGAGGTCGAAACTGAGATATACTCCCTCTGTCCCAAAATTATTGTCCAATTTTATTGTCTAATTTCAGATATCACTCTTAATATAATTTGAACTAAAAATAAAAAACCAAATTAGACGATAATTATGGGACAGAGGGATTGAAACTAAATTAACACCTTCGTGTAGTAAGTAAAATCTAACAAGTTATATGCATATTCAATAGTATAAACATATGTCACTATATTTTTAAATCAGTGGTCGAGGAGATCGTCGCGTCCCCTGCCTCCGCCATCTCCAAAAAGCTTGCATTCGACCTAATTCGCTCCACCCGCCTCACTGCCGACCTGTGGGAGACTGCCTGCACTGGAACCGCACCGATCTGACGTCACCGCGCCGCGGCCATCCTTGCCGCCATCCCCTCCTACATCCTGGGCAAGCTCATCGCCGATTGCAACTAGGAGATTTCCATCGCCTAATGTTCGAAGACGAGTGAGTCACGCCTCGCAACTGTTTGTTTTTTTGTCTCCAATTCTTTTTTTTCTTCTCCGAATTGGCTTATGGTATGAGTTTTGCTGTTGTGTTGTTTTTACCATTAGGATAAAACTGTAAACTGTTGGTCGGTTGGTATGGAATTTGGCTCTTTTCTTTTTTTGTTTAATTGAGTTTGCAGATTTGTTTGTTTCTAGCTTCCAATTTGTTGATCAATCTAACCTTAATCGTTCCTTGATGGATTTGATTCGCATTTGTTTTGTTTTTGTGTTTTGAGCCCTCTATCCAAAACTTTGTTCTTCTTGTTATCAATTCTGGAAGTTAATTGAGAATTTCACGGATTTTAGCAATGAAGGATCTATTTTCAACATTGCTACCTCCCATACGATTTGACTACTGATCTGAGACTGAAAAGAGAAAGGAAATCAAACTTCTTCCTTTATTTTAATATATTTATTTTGCGATTAGTTAACGCTTACAGCTATCATGTATCATTCAGTTTAGTGTTTTTTTGCAAGTCTTGGAATCTTCTTACCGGTGCCTTTTCGTCATTGAACAAGATCTGAATGTTTTGGACGTTAAAATGAATTGGATTGTACTTTTCTAATCCTACATTCCTTAGCTTATATGTTTAGTTTCACTTTGTTTTTCCTTTTCTGATTATGCTGTGTTTTCATAGTGCTTCCCAGGGTATTATCCATGATAAACTTTTCAAGTTCCTATGTTGTCTCCCTGGAAAGCATTTTATGTTTTGTGTTTTAGTCACGAAGTATGTTCTAATACTTAGTGCAAGCCACTTTCGGCCACTTTCGGCGTTTTTATATTGCCTACTAAATATGGAATAATATAAGTGATTAGATAATCTTGGAAAGTATACGATTGAGTAGATAACTGTTTGACGAGGTTCAAGTTGGTAGTTTAGAAGTTAAATTGGTGTATGATGAATGGTCTGCGCACTTCATATATCACTTATGGATTTGGCTTTTTGTAACTGCAGAACTACTATCATCGTCAAACTTCTCCATGACATAATCATGGAGTTCTTTTGGTATGTTTATTGTTAAGCTGTCTTGATAGATATGTGCAGCATCAATTTTAAAATTGTATTCCTGACTAGCTATTGTATTGTGTCTTACAATATCTCTTCTTGAATTGTTTGTGTTGATGAGCATATTGCATATTTCATAGGACAGTTACGAACAAAAAGAGAAATCTCTTAAGTTAATTTGCCTGAGAATTTCATATAAACCTCCAGTGTTATTAACTGGATATGAGTTTTCCTGGTTTTGGGCCCTTAGGTTGTTCATAACTTTTACTAGAAACAAAACTATTAACACTCAAAATTCTGGTTTTCGTTTTTTATTAATGTTTGAAAATTTTGCTTGTATTGATACACTTAGGTTTCATTAGTTGCACCTTCAAATTGTAAGTTAATTTGATGCTAACTTATGTTGGGCTGTGTTTTGGATGAGTAGGATTAGTATGCTTGAGACCTTGGAATCACTTATCATCACCATGGTGCTTCAGTATTGCTAAATACGATATCTAATTCGTTTGATTTCTTTGAATATGAAGACTATCTTTGAGCTTGAGTTTATTCCGTTTTATCTTAATGATATTTTGCTTGAGTTTATTTGAGGCTGGGCCCGTCTTCCTTCAGTAAAACCTTAGATGCTGGAAGTAATGAATTGATAATTAAGATGTTTGTGGTATTTGAATTTTGCAGCAAGTTCTTGCTTAATCATGTATTTTTGTGTGATTTACAAAACATGGGATTTTTCAGCATAGTAAGGATGGGTGGGATTATGGGTGCGTAGGCAAAAAGGTGTTGCCTGCTGACCTTGCTTAAGAAAACAAACATAAACCGTGCCTTTCTTTTACCAATCTCTGTATCTTGGTAATCCGTGGTTAGACATTGGAGGGGGAACATAAGTCGGTTTTCATGGTTGTTAATTTTAAGGCCGAAAGAAGGTTTTGCATGAAAGAAAATCAGTGACAAACATCATTACGGGTATACAAATGGTTCTTCAAGTTCAAATTTCTGTTTTTTTTGTGGAAATGTGTTCTGATTACATCTGGGCCACTGCACTACATTGTTTTTTCCCCTTTTGTTGTTTGCTGAGATGATTTAAACACTGGTACCATGTTTCTGGCACAAGTTTTCCTTTTGTTTGTGTTGATTATCGTTGCAAAGCTTGATATGTGGGTGGAATAGAATTTAATGTTAACATTTTGATTGAATTAGGATTCTTTTTGCTGTTTGGTTTATTTGTTTATTTTAGCTCATGTATTTAGTTTAAACCGAGGTATTTAATGGATACTCTTTTGAACAATTAGGGGAGGAATCACACACAGTATATATGAACCAAGCAAGATGGCCAGTTGATTTCATATGAAGGCATATGATAAATTAGCTACTCCAATGAGGAAATTTAAGATTTGTCAGGTCAAAACAGTATTTTATTACTGCGCTTAACAATGTCAACTGGAAAAATATTTGGTGGTTCTGAAGTTCTTGGTTGTGGTGTATATTTTGAATGAATCTGTTTGGTAATTGTGCTTGCAAAGTTAAACAAATGAAATGAGTTTCTGATTTTTCCGTGTAATGATTAGTCCTTTATGCATAGGTGTAAGCTGCTCATGTGGCTGCTCGAATAGTGGCTTCTGTTTGTTAGGATAGCAGATTACCATGTTAAAAACAGATAAGAAAATAAATGCATTGATGCTGTTGTGCTTTACTGGATGCATGAATAAAATGCTAAGCTAATGGTGAACAAGCTAACCATATTCTCCTTGCATAACCGCTAATACTTGATTTCATCAAGTTCTTCGGCGTTGCTTGTTTCTTATAACCAATCCACTGGGTTGTCTTTGCTATTCTTTGCAGGAAACCAACGACAATCTTGACGATGCAGGGACAAGTTAATTCTAACTGATTTGAGGTAGTGCACTTCCAAATTGGGTTAATTTTTGTTCATCTCCGAAAGACGAGCTTGAAAGTAGAATTGAGATATGAACAGATACCCAGCAAGAATTTGGCGGTGTTAACACTTATGGCTGCTCCAGTGGATATGGTTAGACCCTTCTCATGATGCAACGAGATTCTAAGGAAGCTTTTATGTATTAGAAGTAGATTTCGTTGTGCATATTAGGTTTGAGATTTTTCTTTGTCTTCAGCCCTTAACTTTCTCCGTAACAAGTTGGCTTTTTTAATACATTGGAGTAAGAATGACAAGTCCAGATTGTTTATTTATGCTTAAAACTTTTCAACTGGCTTGATGTTTGGATTTGATCGACTCTGAATTAACTTAGAATAGGATGAAATAAGATATATGTTACTCCCATGTTGCTAAATTGTAAGATTTACTCATTTATAATTGAATTCAATGAAACCATTTTCCATAAATCCAGGTTCTGCAAACAGAAGGTCCTTGCTTTACAAAGGGTCGGAATCTGAATTTACCTGACCTATACTTTTAGATTGAAACTTTAAAGTGATCAATGATGTATCTGGTTCAATGATTTACTCCAAATATTTGAAATAACCAGAGACTAATGAAGAAATCTTTGGGGATTTATCCTCCATGTTTTGGACGCTGATTTTAGTTCCTCTGCTTAAATATGTTTTTGTTGTTCCTCTGCTCATAATGCAATGTCAATTCTTATCAATTATTAGTTGTCAAACTTAATATTTTAACTATATATTAACCGTAACTAATTTTTCCAAACAAGAACGATGAAATATGATTTGAAGAAGTACGGGTTGTCTATAAAGAGGTGTTCGAACTCGCTGAACTATAAAAAAATATCGATACCTCGCGTTTCTGATATCTTATACTTTTAATTGTGTCTGCTTATAATTAAAAACATTTATTACGATTACTTTCGATTTACGCCGTGAATTACGAACTGATGATGCGTTTGTTTTTCAATTTTAACCTCTCCTCCAGTTAGAACTTAGAATGGCAAGTTTCTCTAGACTTGTTCTTCTGTTCTCCCCAAAAACTGGAGCTTTAATGGCACAAACCTTGACCCTTAGCCTGATGTCTGTTTAGAATAAGCATACTGATGTTTGTTTATAATAAGATAATTTAATATGAAAATTATCTTTTGTTTCTTCTGTGTCCGTGTGAGAAAATTTTTGTGAAAATTATCTTCTTTTTTTTTTTCTTTTTTTTGCTAAATTTAACATGGGTCGTTTGTTTTGAAGAAACATCAGTTTACATTTCATTTTGCCACAGTGGAAAGTGTTTCAAGTTGAAAACTAAATGGGAAATGAAAATATTGTTTGGATGATATTTTGAGCAAAAAATTGTTTGGATGTTAGTTTTGAAAAAAAAAATATTTTGAACTACATTTTAAAATATCAAGTACGAGTCATCACTAGACAATTAAATACTTTCAATTATAGTTACTTAAAAAAAAAACATTTCCAAAAACAATCACTAAACAACTTAATCCTGTCAAATTTGTCACTGAACTATTGTTAGTTCTAAAATGGTCATTATACTAACAAAAAGTGTTTCAAGTTAGAATTTAAAATATAAATCAAAAAGTTGTTTGATGATTTTTTTTTTTTACATTGAGTTTTGTATTTAAGAGGTAAAATGAATTAAAATGTAAAATGAATGAACAAACCAACAAACACCCATTCTTCTTGAGATATTCATTGATTTCTTAACCTGGTGATCATCAAGCAAGATTGTTTGGGGTTCTATATTTGTAGTTACTCTCTCTCCCCTAAAAAAAATATTAGGCTAGACTTTTCACCTTAGGTTGACGGTCTCAACATCCATCGCATCATGCTTTGTAAATACCTCCGTTTCACAAAAATAGTCCACATTGATTTTTTAAATTTATACTAAAAACAATACAAAACTTAAACTCAATGTGGAGTATTTTTGTGGGACAAAGGAGTAGTAATCATGAAATTGGAAGCCTTTAGTATTACATTCAAAACTATTAACCTTTGAATTCATTCACTGTTAGTATCATTATGAAAATTCTAGACTACATTTCTTATTGGCTTATGACCAAACTTTTCACCAATTAATTTAATAATTTTAAACTTTACACTTTTTATTGATGAAGTCATTTCTTTTTTGGTGGTGGTAATAAAACAACTAGAACATATGATAATGAACATCGTGAACTTACATTTGCTCAATTTTAAAACGGAGTTCAATATTTAGATTCACACATTTATTAAAATACGAGAAAGACGCTCGAATATGTCAATGCATATTTGCACAAACCGGTATTATCTCACGGACAGCTCTACGTTGCCTTAATCATGTCACGTACGTTGGATGAGGTGATAGAAAACGACAGTAGAACTCGGAACATCGTCTACAAAGAGGTGTTCGACCTCAACGACCAGTAGAAATAACAGTCCCGTCACATGCTTAAGATCTTTTAGATTCAATTCTCTGTGTTATTTAAAATTTCAACATACAAATCACTTATTTAAAAGCAACAGTATTTATTTACATTCAAATTGTTTATTTAATACCAACAGCATTTTTGTATTTATAACTTAAAAAATATTTATTATAATTATTTATCATTTTAACTGCGGAATATAAACTGGTCGTGCAACGTGCGACCGTTCAAGACTAGTTTTAAATCTAGTCCGGATTATGTCGATATTTAACTTGTGCCCCACTCCAACAAAGCAAGGAGAAATGAATATAATCGTGGTGAGACCAACTCCAGCTCCACAGTTCCGACATAGATATAAGTTGAGCCTTGAGGGCAACTACCATTTGTGCCAGAATTATGTGGCTGCTGATCTAGTTCATTTTAGAGCAAGGCATGTTCATCTTTAAAAAAAAAAATGAAAATGTCGACACCCCTTCTCAAAATAATGAAATATTCAATTAGTATTTCATTCAATGCGTTACAAGTATATTTAGTGAAGAAATGACTGGACAGCCTAACTAATGAAGAAGAGTGAAGTATATTTTAGCCAAATGTCTGTAACGCAATGCTGATTCACACGTAATTTTGTACTGATTGTGCATGATTCCCCCTACTTTTATAAACTCATCCTTCTTCAATATTGTAATGAAAAAGTGCCCCAAATTTGAATTACTAATAGAATAGACTGTCAAGTGAAATATATGTAAAAAGACCTAATTTCATATCAGCAACACCAATCAAGCATTTCTTCCACTCTCACCAGATCATATTTTTGCTATTCTCTCTGTTAGTACATTTTAACATTCTACATTGTTGAACAAAAATCTTATCACAAAGAGGGAGACGAAACTTCATTTTGTTGAACGATAATTATATCAGTTGTAGCCTGCGGGTTAGTTTTTGTTCACGTCTTCGCTCACAAACAAAAAGGGGGAGGTCAGCTATCTTTAATGGTCACCCAAACGAGGACAATAATAGGTTATCATATTGCATACGATGTGTACAAAATCAACAGTATTTACAACTGCAAAAATGTGGTCTTTGTGTGTGCCAATGCTGACAGTGCGAAGTGGACTAATTAAGCTGTAGCAGCGAGCCAAAACATTACGTACGAGGATATGGCAAGCAAGAACCAAGATACAAATGCTAATCCTACAGAAACCTGAAACATATCACACGAGAACTTGCGCTCCATTCTGCAAGCATTTGTGTCTTTGATGAGTAGAACAGTTACACCCGCGGAAGAGGATGCAGCTGCCAGTGTTAGAGTGGATGTGACCTGAATGTGAAACAAATCAGACTGGATGTGAAACAAAGCTAGTACGAAACCATGGAGAACGATAAGGGTTAAAGACAACAGAAGCAGCAAGAGCACTGGATCCCAACAGTTAATCAGAAGGATAACTACAAGGCGATGTGATTTTCACTCGAATCATTAGAAGTCCAATTACTAAGCAACTTTGCCATCTGCATACAATCTCAAGATACTTCATAATCAGGCAATCCATAACCATCACGAAGTAGTAGGCAACAAAATTTTATTCCTTTTATTGATAGAAAGAGTGATACAGGTTCATACTGAATAAGCGATAAGTCCACCAGGATGGTACATAAGCATACAGACATCAAACCAGGCTTGGTGCGTAAAATATTGTTATTTAGATTATGCAAGAAAAACATAGGCACACGGAACTCTGGTGATGCATCCTAAGACACCCAAGACAGGTCCAAGATCATATCAAGAACAATTGAGTTTAAAGATACATTATTATCAGAAAGATCGTTTTCTTTCAACTACGGAGAAAAGGTTGATGGATGAATTGCAACCAAAGAGAAATTTGGAAGGACAAGGGAAAAGATCTTTTAAGTTTCGTCAGATTCTCGATTTAACCTCTACAACTAAGTACTAACTGATTCAAACAGTTCTTTCTACTCAAACAGTTCTTTCTACATTTGGAATGACAAATAAGGCCCAAAATATAGTGCTTGGAATGCTTTCATTATAGTGCTCCATGACATAGTAACATTGGACAAAACTTGCAGTTCAAAATATCATAAGAATATCCAGAAAATGCTAAAGAACAGAAAAGGCATAAAGAAGCAGTTAAGCATCAAGCTAAGCCTCCAAAAAATTTCTGCATATTGCATTCTCTCTTCAGAAAATTGCTTCACATCTCCATGGTTGCCGATGAACGCAGCCATAAGATGCCCATTTCAATTCGATCGGCAAATCTTTATCAAGGGGTAAGCCATGATGGTCACAAATAAATAATGATTCCTATGTCAGAACACCAAGAATAAAACCAGAGATAGATTTCATACCCAGTCGCCAACAACGAACAAGCTGACAAAAATATTATTGTGCAAGTCCCTCTTTGACCTCAAGGCATGAACATCAAAGCAAGCAAGCCCAAAACTCCACAAAAGTTGAAGGCACATTGATGCAATCAAGTAGCTGAACAAAGGAGACAAAGTAGCTTTTCAGGAGCAAGAATTATCGTACTCTAAACAAGAATATGCGCAGTACAGAGCAAGTGTACATCTTACTCATCTAAGGGGGGAAACGATAGAAGGAAGAGATAGGCTCAGGAACCACTATGTGAATGAAGATTAAGCTAATAAGTAATAACAGCTACCAACCTAGTTTATAAGCATATCTAAAAGAAGTGTAGAGTTTTAAGGGATCAGCAAAACCTCTAACAAACTACTTAATGGACTATAAATGCATTAATCACAAACAACTACATTGCATCCTGCACTAGGTTCCTGATTCAAAAGAAATTATTGCATGTGTAACTGAGTATCTCCCTGTACTGCCACCCGCTCCATATTCAACAAGAACAAGCCCATAAGCCACTCGATATTTGAATGATGGATTTTTCAAATCCATGTTAGACACAAGGTCTTGAGAAATAATGCGGTGCCTTACTTATTTTGAAGATCGCAAAGTAAAAAAGTTAGGATGTGTTTGTATATGTTGTGCCTTGCTAAAAAAAAATAAAAATTAGAGGATCGTCAAATTCTGCTTCTTATTAGTACCTTATGGCCCAGAAGGCTGTGGCACTTCTATATATTTATCACCTCTATTTAAGTAGGTTTGACAGTTGCTTCCTGTTTGACCCCAAAAGTAAATTTTGGCCTTTTTACTGGTTGTTTGGCCCTCAACTGAGGATTAATTTGGAGTCTGTTATTGGATTGATTTTGGCTGAGATAATCAAAGGAGTTGGAGTTTGGGTTGAATTGATAAAGCCTCTCACGTGGTTAATTGATTAGTTATTAGTTTTCTACGTTAAATGAAGTTTGGCCAGCCAAGTTTATCACATGAGAGCACTATTTTTTCTCCAAACAAGTAGGAAGCATTGGACTTGGATTTTACTTCTTCTGCTCCAAGCTGTAGCCAATTCCATCTTCTACTATAAAAGGAGGCCGCCGAGAACACAACAACCAACACACCTCAAATCATCAAATCATTAAGTCTTTTATTTTCTTTCTTTTTAGTCTTTTACTTCATGTATTTTATCGTTCTTTTCTAGATGTAGCCTAGCATAAATAGGTGTTTGCCTATTTTCCTTTATAGAAATAGGTAGTAGTTCATGGATTCTACTTCAGTGAATTCGATCTTTCTCTGTAATAGTATTCTATTGATAGGCATTCCTTGTCGGCGATAGGTATTCCCTGTCGGCGCTACTATCTTTCTGGTTTGTGTCATATGTTTTCCCTGTCGGCGCTACTATATTTCTGGTTTGTGTCATAGCGTGTCATCAACTACGTCTAGTCGGTGCTAATATCTTTTCTTCTTTTCCATGTAATAACACGTCATCGGCACCACCTCTAGTTTGCCCGCGCTAGCGTTTTTTTCCCACTATTACGAATTGAAGTCATTAGGCTCGTTTCCCCCCTCATTTTTTATTCTTTTTTCTCTTTATTGGACCATAAGCCCTCGATTCTAGATCCGAGGCCGGTTTTTGAATTCATCCACAATCACTTGATTTTGTATGTTTTAGAGAATTTACCCCTTTCTTTCTTACGGTTCAGGATGATTATTTCGGCACCATCACTTCCTTATTCAAGTTGATACAAATGACTATAAATTCCTCCGAAATGTAGCATCTAAATAGATCAATATATTCAATAGGACTATAAGGGATTCTAGCTGATAAAAATGTGCTAATTTAAATTAGTGGCTATGAACAATTGAAACCTGTCTTTAATACCAACCGCACATTTTCAGAAGTAACTCCAGAAGTGGAAGGTTCGAAGGTAATCTAGAAACTAACTGTAGGGAAACATACTATTTTACCATTAGTCTGATGAAAATATACATTATTACACATAATTCCGACATCTAATTTGCCAATTATAGTGGTTAGCTTAAGTGTCAATTTCAAGATTATGAATACTTCAGACTTCAGCTCTACATGTGAGATGTTTTACCATCCAGTTCCAGGTTGATTACCGTGAAAAACAAAAATCTTTGAAAAGGAAATATTCTGTCTCATAGCTCGAACATAAGTTGGGACACTAGTTTTTCTACTGCTCAAAACCGAAGGAAAACCTGCCCAGTAAAAAATAGTACTAACACAAAAGAGAAAGGAGAGAATAAAATTAAGAGAGAAGCATGAAATTATATACCAGAAGGTAGTGGCAGTAGAGAAACCAGGAGCAGCAGCCATAACCCCAAGAGAAGAAGCAGCAAAAAAACACTGTCCTAGCCTCAAGACCAGCCCGCTCACCTTTCCTGGGCTCCCAAACAAATTCTTCATCCTTGTTCTCTCTGTCTCTAATAGCCTTCTATCCTACAGAGGGGTCAGTCTTAGTACCAGGTCAAAGATTGGATCTTTACATCAGAAGGGATAGTTTTCCAAGGCAGACTACACATGAAAAATGTTTTTTTTTTTTTTGGAACAAAAAGAAGAAAAAATTCAAAACATTCCCACAAGCTCAGATGAAAAGGAACAAAAGGGAACAGCAGAGAACTCCAAGAATGAGGCCCTTAATCTTCTGCAGAGGAAAAGGGGACATTGATTTTGTGGCAGAAGTATTTAATTGATTGTATTAATTTATTCCGTATTTCATTTTCTGTTGTCAACAATAAAATACTGCTGAATCGTTGACAAGAGTAAAGGTTGGAAGAGAGGACATATTAGCAGTAATTGATGGAGGAGTTTCTGAATCATTTTTTTTTCTACCCTTTATTACTTTTAGCATTTCTTATAGTACGTTTTATTAATTTCATAATAGCTAAGTACTCCTAAATCCTAATGATGCTAAACCTTCTTACGGAAAACATTTAGGAATCATTTGACTACTACTCAAGAATTAGGATGAATAATGTAATCTATACTGTATGACCTGCATAAGAGAGTATACATTTGGACTTTTAATAATCTCAAATCTGATTTTTTTTTCTATCTTACATATATATTATGGTAAACAACTACTGATATGTATCGAGCCGTTCAATAAATATTCATATTCATAGTCATATTCCATCTTGTTTCTTCTTTCTCTCATTCTGTATGAAAGCTATTTTTAAGGTAGGAAATTCTGCACGCAACCGGCAGCCATTCGAAGGGACAGTAACACATATGATAAATTAGTTAGTTCATCATGTTAAAACAAACAGTAATTTTAATCATTGCGTAATATGAGGTTTGGATTGATTAATCTTTGGAAATCCCATCAAATTCTCCCTGAGTTATGTTTTTCTAGAATTTAAGAGAAATAGCCCATTTCCCAATAGAAAAGCTGAAATCTTAAGATTGACCCAGCCCAAGAAAGTTTGGGCCATCAAACAAAACTTGAGAGTGAAAGAGATTGTTTATGAATATCTCCAAGAGGGTTATCTTTGCTCAGTTTTGTTTCAAAAAAAAAAAAAAAAAAAAAAAAAAAAACACACACACATCTTTGCTCATTTTAATTTTTTTTTTTTTAGGATGAAGGGGAAAAAAAGAGAGAGATAGAGAAAAACAAATAAGTTCAGTTGATTAGTGAATATTCTTCCATTAAAACAAGGAAAATATATTGTCATCAATATCAAAATTCTCTTTTTCACATCAACATCAGCAACAAGGGAAGAGATTTGACAATAGCTAATTAGATTAATTAAGAGAAATCTTATTGAGGAGCAAGAATAATTTGTGATATGATAATTAGTGTTGCAACTTTCTAAAGCCAAATAAAATTAAATCACATCATTTTTTAATGGAGGGGTGTTTGAATATTTTAAATTTTAAGTGCATTGTATCCATCATGAATATGTCCTTGAGATTGATGGTAAAATGAGAAGTTGGTTAAAAAAAAAAAAAATTTTAAAAAAAGGAGAAATCAACATTCAATTTTATTTTTATTTTTTTAAGAGGAGTGACATTTTTACACCTTTTTTTTTTTGGCCAGTTTTTAAGTCAACATAAGTTTTTCTTTAATACTCTTTCTGTCTCAAAAATGATTTTTCAGTTTGAGATTTCAATTCAAATACAATTTGAACTAAAAATAAAAATTTAAACTGAATAATAATTTTAGGACGGAGGGAGTATAAAACTTAAATTGTATTTACTTCAGTTTAAAGGTCAATTACTAAACTGTGATCCTTTCCTATGAAAATACTCCGGGTTAAATACCAAACCTTGGGTGATAACTCCTTATGTCCCATTTTCGATTACATTAATGGGCATTATTTCACCATATAAATCAGAAACACTCAAGGTAGAATTTACATTGCGAGGTGACATTTTTTTATCTGTTACAATGTTAATAAGTATTGAAGGAATGAAAAAAAGTATAGCAGCTGATTAAAAAAATTAGAACAGCATTTTTAATTTATTAAAGAGGCGGAAAAAAAATATTAAGGAGGAAAAAGCAAGAAAAAAAGGCACATTTATTACTGGAGGTCTCGTCTCGAGAAGTCCACAAAGACAAGAAAGACCCATTAAAAACCCTGCTAAAACCCTAAACCCTCCTCCCATTTCAGCGCTTCCGAATTTCCCAAACCTTAAAAAAGCTCTTTCATTCACCATCTTTGATTCTCTCTAATTCAATCGAATTGCGGAAATGGCTTTGACCAACACTCTTCGCAGAGCTGCTTCAAGAGTTGCTCCTTTGGCTGCTCGAGCTTTCCAAGGTGGAGCCCCAATCTGTAACAAATTCCACACCTCCTCCTCCTCCTCTGCCCTCTTCGCCGCCGTCAACTGCCGCATCAGTCTTTCCGGCACTTTCTTCAAGTGCTCATCCCCATCGGCCCTTCGACACTTCTCTGCTCGTTCCTCTTCAGACCAGAACCTCATCAAAGTACTTGAGGATGAGATTCGTTTCGCGGAAGAATCCGACGAGAACCTCAAAAATTCTGACGCGGTAAATCTTTTGTCATTGCTTAAAAGATTTTTATAATTATTTCGATTCTAGTAATGAAACGGGTTCAACTTTTGCGGGAATACTGTCCACCTTCGGGTCTCTTTTGCGTTTTGTTGTTATTGGATTTTATTATTAGGCAATTTATAATGTAATGGTTGGTTGATTTGAATTTCGGTTGCCCAAGCTTGATCGTTTTGTTTCATTTACAAGATACACAAGCAATAGAAAGTCTGGCTGTTTGAGATAGGTTCGGAAGTACTTCTAGTAGAAAGTATTTTTGTTTGCTTACAAGGAGATAGAAAGCTGAAAATTAGTTGTGTTGAGATGAAGAGTACCATTGTCTAATTGTCTTTTTTGAATGGTTAATGAAAGTTGAACATTTGGTAATGTGGTACATTGTTATTTTTCTAATTGTCTTTTTTGAATGGTTAATGAAAGTTGAACATTTGGTAATGTGGTACATTGTTATTTTTACCAATCTCATGTGATGATTTTTGGTGGCTGGTGTTGGGTTATTAAGCTGTATGGATGAATCATGGTTGTACCATTATTCATGTGATCTAAGATTCCTTGTGGCTTATAGTTTGGATTGCCTTACTGATGTGATGATTTTTGGTGGCTGGTGTTGGCTTATTAAGCTGTATTGCTGAATCTTCCTTGAACCATGGTTAAACCATTATTCATGTGATCTAAGATTCCTTGTGGCTGATGTTAGTGTTGATTCCATGACTGCCGTAGTCATGTGACGATTTCTGGTGGCTGATGTTGGGTTATTTTGTTGTATTGCTGATTCTTCCTTGAAACGTGGTTATACCAGTAGTCGTGTTATCTAAGATTCTTTGTGGCTGATGTCAGGTGTTATATTTCTGATTCTTCTTTGTAGGTTGAGCAGATCACGGACAATTTTCCATTCAAACTTGAAGACAACCCAGGACAGCAAACTGTTACCCTGAAGAGGGAGTATCAGGGTGAACAAATTATCGTTGAAGTTCATATGCCTAGCGCTGTCACAGGGGAATATGACGATGAGGATAGGGAGGATAGGGATGATGATAACAACGGAGCGGAGCCTCACCAGCTTCCTCTTGTCGTTAGGATATCAAAGAAAGATGGCCCTTGTTTGGAGTTTGGTTGTACAGCCGGATCTGATGAGATATTGATCGATAGCTTGTCTGTGAAGGACCCAAATAGTCCCGAAGACCAAATAGCCTATGAAGGACCGGATTTCAGGTGAGTATTGTTGGTTGGTTCATCATCAGCTAAAACTTGCATTTTGGGTGATGTTTTTCCTGATATTGTTTGTGCAACATTCAATCTTAACTGTTATTGTTTTGGGACAGCGACTTGGATGAGAACTTGCAGAAGGCTTTCAAGAAGTACTTGGAGATAAGGGGAGTCAAGCCTAGTACAACAAACTATATGCTTGAGTACATGGTCAACAAAGACAGTAGGGAGTACCATTTGTGGCTGAAGAATCTCAAGAAATTTGTAGAAGCATAGAGATGAGATATGTCTGTCACTAGTTAATATTATTACCAGAGGATTTCATTACTGGGAACTTTTCAGGAGAGTGGAGTTGCGCCTTCTTTAATTACGTACTCTGTCAAATTGGAGCCTGAGCTGGACATTTGAATGCTTTATTGAATTTACATGATATGCGGAGAAACATCATGAATCCTGAATTGTGCAGCCTTTTTTTTCTACAAATTTTTGTGTTATTACTAGCATAGAACACAAGTTCCATGAATCCAAATGTTTTTTAATAGCATTTCAGGAGAGACTTTGCTAGGAAGTGATGATTCTGCAGCATTTTAAGGTTGTCTCTGAATTTAGTTGAAACGTTTGTCAAAAATGAATCCAAATCTTATTCATTCACTGCAATGTAACCAAACTAATGAGTCACTGATACTAGTACATTGTGATAAGATCAATCAACTAACGACTTTATTCCTCCCCACATTCGGTGGTCCTAAACAATCTTTGATACATAATAATTGTTTCAACACTAGTGTACAGAAAGTTGGGCAGTAACCGTAACCCTGCCTTCTTACTTCCGTGAGAAAATTAAAACCACCATGACGGCACTGATTCACGAATTCCTGTCAGATGCTTCAGCGGACAAAGCCGTGTAACACATACAACACAATGCCAAGATGGCTGTACCAGTACCAGTCTGACTTGCTCAAACTATTAGATCCTTGTGAGTGTAAACAATTCCCTTGTCCCCATTCACTACTTCGCCATGTCCTCTTGCAATCCTGTAAAAGAATTTCGCGTTACAAACATGTGAAACTTTGGGGTATTAGAAAATAATCACGGGCATGTTGGGGTTCATCAGACCCTCTTATCACACCATCGCATCCAAAAAGGAGCCAGGTATCCGCAGACATTGTACAGTAACCCTTGTCATGGGTATCAAAGGTGCTTATGGGGATAAGGCATTAAATCTTTCAATTAGCAATTGCTAAAGGGATATTTCCAAAATGCCTCTAATCATCCAACCAAAAATTAAGAGACTTCTTATCTGGGGGGTGTTTCTATGGTGGTATGATTGGATAAGACTGTAAAACAACTCAAACGGAGTATATTAAAATGAAACCAGAAGGAAGATTGGTTGCAGTTTCAAACATACCATCTAGTTGTAAGTAGACCTTCAACTCCTACAGGGCCACGAGCATGAATCCTACTTGTACTGATCCCTACCTGCTTAGCAAGTAAAAACATATTTAAGATAACCCCCCACGTCGGCCAACACTGCATTAGAGTGGTAAAGCATATACCTCAGCACCAAGTCCAAACCGGAAACCATCACTAAATCTGGTACTAGCATTGTGGAAAACAGCAGCACTGGGTCATAAAATGCTTGTCAGTCAATTTCATTTGCCAATAGACGAAATTTTATGTGGGTTACACTAATCATAAAGAGATGCATGGGCAGCTTAAGTTAATGTTTTACCCAAAGCACAAAAAATGGTAAATGTTGCTAAAGATAGAAAGACATGCAAATTGGAGCATCAATGGTTCCAAACAGTCAGCAGAAGGTAAACTGTACCTGTCAACTTGATGCAAAAACAGTTCAGCGACATCTGAATCATTAGTGACAATGCTATCCGTATGTGCACTGGAATACAAACATAAACTCATTAGAATGATCCTGCTATAAGTGAGACTCTTACTAACAGCATTTGCCCAAAATAAAGGAACAATTTGTTCAAAGGAGTAGAAAAACTAGCATACCTTCCGTGTCGATGTATGTGATCAATTGCAGCATGAACATCATCCACAATTTCAATCGTACAAGCAAGAGAACTATATTCATGATGAAATGATCGTGCCTCAGGGATATTCATCAGAGAGCTCGCTCTTGGTCCACCATAAACAGTAACACCTGAAAGGGATGCACGTTATTCAGCCACATTGACAAAAACTAAGTCAAGTGTTGTTGAGAAGATTATAAAGATGATGTATGAGCATCACTTGGCAATAATTCACAAACATTTAGGATCAAGACATGAAAGAGATCAATCAAATAACTTCATGATGTCCACCGGTTGCAGTTCAGAAGATGAGTTTGGAGAAACAGATGATCAAAGCTACAAAGACTTCACCTTTGATTTGCAGCTCCACAATTAGTTCATTGACAGTACCAGTTTGTACCAAATCCTTGTGAACAAGAAGTGTCTCCTGCAGATAGGATACAAAAACATGAGCATAAGTGCATCAAGCTCAAGCAAGAGAATTCAACAAATAAATTACCATTGCATTGCAGGCAGCGGGATAATCTGTTTTGGCATCCAAAACTATTCGCTTTGCCATGTCCTTGTCAGCAGATTTATCCACATAAACATGGCAGATCCCATCTTGAACAGAAGAAAACTTACATAAGGTTTCAACAACAAAGAAAAACACATGATTGACAAGAAACTGGTACGCAAAAATAGACATGGAAGCTCAAATCATATGTACCTGCATGACCAAGAACAGGAATTTTTGTTGATGCTTTGATTTGAGAGACGAGTTTATTGCTGCCCCTAGGAATCACAAGATCAATCACATCATCTAGCTGCACCAATAATGCAAATATTCAGGCCAAAATATAACCCTAAGAAATCAAGGCATTGAATTTATAAAATTTCTATGATAAATTAACCTTGAGCAGTTCAGGGATTTCTTCTCTGGTAGTCACAAGTCCAATAAGTTTTTCGCCCACACTTTCTGGGATGGAGGAAGTTATAACCTAGACACAGATTGAAAAAAGAAATTAAAATACAAAGAGAAACCAGGAAAAAAAAAAGTAACAAAATAATCCAGAATAAACCTTGTGCAAAATTGAATTTGATCTTTTCGCCTCTTTTCCTCCTTTCAATAGGAGTCCATTTCCACTTCGGATTGCCAGTGAAGCTATCTGTACACAAGTTCAAGATGTCATCCCAGATTTAGAACAGAAAAAGTAGTTCAAGCGTTCAAGGAATATGTTTTTCCGAAGCGTACAAAATCTTATAGTGAAATCCAAAACATAAAGGTTTTGTGACCATTGGGAATAAAGTACTGATTCTTTCCAGAACTATGATACAAAGAACAACCCCACTTTGGGCTAAAAATTAAGTTCAGAAACGCATGGTCCATGTAATCTCCTAAACAGGAGAGACAAAACTAAGTAACAAGATGTAACGAGCTCTCATATGGGATGAAGTTGATACAACTGGAATGATTGAAAAGATGTATATGTCAATCTACCTCCCGCTTTAAAAAAAAAAAAGGAAAGCAGCTTTAAATTTCATCAACAGGAAGCAAAATACATTTAAAATAAATCTGTTCTATTAGGCTGAATATCTTCTCTTTTTGTCCCTTTCTTTCCAGTTATCTTGGGGCATAAGATGGAAAGTGGGGGAGCTCAAGGAAAATGACAAAGGACAGAAGATACATTTTATTATCCTGCATAGTTTCTCCAATGACAACATCATCTACAGGAGAAATTGTAATTGGTGGAATATAAAGAAAAAATTTCCCTTTAACTGTATTCAGTTCCTATTCCAACTTCGACATGACAGTCAAACACAGAGCTTAAACACAGAGCTTAACTGCAACAGAAAAACATGACAATGGAGTTCATATTCATGTAACAGCATATACTTTTTTGGTCCAGTTAGATTAGTAATGTGTGAGTATTTTGATTAATAGTTCTGCTTAATTCTGCAACTCAGAAAAAATAGCTAAGCAGGCCTATATCATCAATTCCTTCTTGATATGCCACTTTTCCTGATGGAGCATTTCATCTGTTATAGATATTAAATTTGTCCTGGAACTGAAAATAAAATGCATCATATTTTTCCATTAGTAGCATTGACATTCTTCTCACATACCATCTCAAGGTGAAAACAAACTGAGTTATCTCATACCTGAACCAGGGCTTCGGGACGTGACTCAAAGATAATCAAAAGAACTCCTAAAGGTGATGATGTCTTCTCTAATATGAAACCATCTGCAAGCTGTTGAAAGCAAATACATTAGAACAACTACACAAAGTTCGCAGACAGCTTTCACCAGAATTCCTACCACGTTTTTATGCTACTCATTATAGTAAGTCTATGAAATTTTTAAGAAACTTTCTAATGAGTATAAATCAAGTGGATATATTGTAAAAGTTAACAAGTCAATAGTTGTAAGCCATCATATCACACATGCTAATGTACCCATGGCCACCATGCATACCTCTGTCCTTTTTAGTACACGGCCGATTGGCTCTTCCATATTTGCAAGCACACGAATTGAATTTGCAAGACTTGAAACCTAGAATACAAGAAGCAGAGGTTTTTAAGAAAATAAAACTACTGTTCAAGAGAAAAATCAAGAATCCACATGAGGAACTGTAAGGAGGTATCTTACCTTTCCAGGCTTTAGAGCCAGTCGAGAGATTAAAGATTTTTCATATCCTGCTTCTGTAGCTTCAGCAACATCAGCTGCATTTTCACTCAATATTTTATTTTCATTGTCTTCCAACGACTTGGCTATATCTAGCAAAATTTTACTTCTTTCTTCTGAAGACATTGCCTGCAAATAGAAAAATAAGACACATACAGCCCACTCTACCATAGCTACCAAGGATCCCTTTTGCAAGATCCCCGAAAATGATATTACCTGAAGCCGTCTAGAACATTCCCGTGCTGCCATTGCCATCTCACGTGTACCAGTTTCTCCAGTTGGAACCCACTGACGAGCATCTCGATGAAAAAGGGTACCAATACACTCTCCACGAAGGACTTTGATTATATTATCAGCAGCAAAGCCACTGAGAGAAAAAAGAAGGAAATTAGGCAGAAAAATGATTACGGAAAAGAGAAAAATTCACCACATCTAGCCCCTAGAAACAGGATTTCAATGACAAAATAGTGCTTCCTTAATAAAACTGTAATCCAAATTGCAAGCTAAATCAACTACCAATAGCTACAATAGGGGTTCAAGTTCCCAGCTCAATCTTTTTTCACACTATTAGGCTTTTAAGTTCTTCAAAACAATGTAACTTACTGAAGAAGTCAATCCCAAAGTATGACAGCTCTCAGCAAACTATAAGCTCACAAGTCTTTGATTCAGAGAACAGAATTTTTTGCCAGATTGATTCTAGAGCAAAAGCAAGATTGCCACAACATCAAACAATTCAAATGATCAACAACATATACCAAGAATTCACAGCATGAATAGTGACTAAAAGGAAAAAGAATTGAACTTTAAAGTCATTGTAAGGTAAAGACCAGGTTTCTTTAGATGATGTTCCATTAAAATGGTTCACAGCCTTTAATGCTTGAAGCTGATTTTGCAGCCTATTGTAAACTCCACAAATGATAACAGTGACAAACTGCCAATCGTATGGCAGTAACTATCAAAAGGTATTCAAAGCATTACTTTTAATCAATATAGGCAGAAACTAGGAGGTGAAGGTTGTTTGCGGTTTCAAATCTGACCTGGTAATAACAACAGGTATGCCGGCAGAAGCTGAGTAAACAGCAGCTTTGACTTTTGCTGTCATGCCCCCTCTTCCTACCCTAGACTTGTCTCCAAAAGTGATAGCTCCATCATGGTTCTCTTTAATGTATGTATGAATCAGCTTCGACTTTGGATCACTAGGAGGACCACTGTAAAGCCCATCTACATCACTCAACAAGACAAGAAGATCTGCCTTAAGCTCCAAAGCTAACAACGCTGATAAACTGTCGTTGTCCCAAAATATTCCAGAGGAGTCCTGCACAAGATTAAATTAACCTCAGATCAGGAAGTTGACAGGATAGCGATAAATTGGAGAGATAAAGCCCACAAAAGTTACAAGGGATAGTGAATATCTCATTCGCAATGGCAAAAAGGCAGCAGCTTAAAGTTTCAAAAGATTATTTAACTAGATTGCAAAGGTGACATGCTCCGTACTACAGGTTATAACTGATCGTCGCCCTTTTCCCACTTACAGAAAGAGACAGAAAAAGTGGACAGAAATACCGAATCCATGCATAGACACTCATCTAGATTCTAGACGTGATTGAGCTACTTTCATTTTAAATTGGAAAATGGAAGCATACACATAAAAATGAGTTCAAATAGCCCAATTTTCATTCTGTAACAAGCTGCATACGGTGTACAGGACTTCTCCATACAGAATAGATAACAAACATCCATAGATTCAGAGCCTTACAAACATTGGTAAGATTTGATTTTTTGTTTCAGCATTCAGAACAGAGCACTAACTTTTATCAAGCAAGCCTTAATCTTTATTTTCCTTAAACCAAACAAGATTGGGAATACCTCGTATGGGGCTTTTCTAGTACTAACTGCATCATTTTCATTGAATATTGGTATCACCTTCAGGGATAACAAATCATTTACTGTGTGGCAGAGTTGTTTTCTGAACTCTGGATCTCGGAAATCATTATCCGTCACAAGCAGCTGAGCTGCTGTCATATCCAACTGCATGGAAGGAACATGGCGAATTAATATGACAGAACAAAGAACAGAGATTAGGGGAAGGGAAACACCTAAGAGTACTTGGAAAGAAACTATTAAGAATACATGGCTTTTTAAAATTTAAATGAAACTAAGAGTGTCGATTGAGCACGACGGGGACATATGATCCATATAGCCGACCCCACATATAAAGGCTTGTTGTTAACTTGTTATAGTAGTGTTAAAGTAGAGAGATTGTTGTTTCAAAGAAATCTGGCTAGCATTAGCCATGTAAACATTGGTATTCACCTGACTGAATAGTGAATCATAGAGAGCCATGAGACCATTTTGTCCAACAGCAGCGCAGGCCTTCCCATCAAGCTCAACTTGTGGCTTCTGAAGATCAGCAAAGCTGCAAAAGTTGAACTCCTCAAAATTTAAAACCTAATCTATGGGTAGCAATTGTCCAAATATAAAACTTCCCACTCAAATTTATTATCACATATCATTGTGTGTTCTACTATGAGAGAAGGGAAAAGAATGGGGCACAAAAAAAATGAAAGAAACATTAAAACAAGGTTTCAGTTTTTGCTCTATAGTTTCACATTTCAATTCATCAATTGGTTGTTTAAGCGGAAGTCTACACATATATCATCTTATCATGGGAAAAGTTGACAACAAGGAATAAAATTATTACAACATGTATTAAACGCAAACTTATGAAGTTACCAGATTCTAGAAAGTTACTATTAGCAGGGAAGATTACAGTAGCATAAGCGTTTAACTACTGGACACTAAAAGTCTGGCAATGTGAAAATGTTATGTCTTTCCCTCCTCTTCTTTTCTCAATATACACACGCGCACTTGAATTCAGTCATGCATGTCTATGCATATCATATGAGTACCTGCTATGAATTAACTTTCGGTATCGAAGCCGTTGTCGACCAACGCCGACTGCTCCTGAAGAAACCAAAATAACCTCATATCCTTGAGTATTTAATTCTTGAATCTGCAATTTGTGATAACAATGTTGAAGTTACAGGGGTAAAAAGAGAATGGTAGTTGCAACAAAGGAAGACTGGGACTTCCAAACCCCCCAAAAAAACAAGTAAATGCAAAATGTAAAATACCTGCTCACAAAGGGCTCCTAATCGTCCTAAAGCCAATCGCCCATCTTTCCGAGTGACAACAGCAGTTCCAACCTGCGATAATCACAGGGCAAAAATCAAATGATAAATTAATTTTCTTAAAATAGCTTTGAAAGCAAATATCCCACATAGGCTAGTAAAAAGAAATTGAGTCAAATTTGGCGATAGAAAAGCACACATTTAATGGTTCAGCTACCTCCAGTCGGGCAATAAAAAGAGCTAACTAACAAAATGCTCTGAAAACCCAGTGGCAACGCATTCCGATTGGCATGCATGCATTCCTAATCTCCTTAAAATTACTCAATGATTCCCTAATCCACCTCAAAGGTTATTCCTTCAATACCAAAGTAGCAACCCAATAGAGGTAAAGCCAATTATAACTAACTTAAACAAGCCTTCAAAAACCATCTCACTAAAATGCATGTTTCAACCTCTCAAACAAAAAGAAATAACAAATGGAAAAGAACTGGGAGAAAAAAAAAAACTGACACCTTGACGATAATACGCTTGACGTCTTTGACGAAGGCCCGAGTCAAATCAACATTAGCAATTCCCATTTTCCACCACAACCCAGAAAGCAGCAAACAAATAAATTACAAGAAATTAGAGCGAGAAGTCGGGCCAAGTAGAAGGAATGAAGAGAGCCAACTGAAGAAGAAAGAAAAAGGAAGAGCTCAAAAAATTCAATGGGATATAGAGTCGTAGGGTTTTTATTCCCCCGCATATAAATAGCGGCGGGATTTTTAAGTTTGGTAAGAACGGAATCCTGAGCTGTCCACTTTGCTCTTTGTCTTTCAATTTTATTTTTTGGTTTCAAAGTTGCTAAGGAATTCTAATAACAACGACAAACAGCGACGCCATATCTGCTGTAGAGAGAAGCAAATTAAAAATACAGAGTGGACTGTATTTTCTGAATTTGCGGGTCGGGGAATCTGGAATCCGAACCCACGGGTGCCTGAGGTCTCGGGAAAGAGCAATGATGTTATGCCACGTAAAGATGAGCCGCTGACGTGGAATGGTGGTGCAGGAGAGTCCGAATGCACCTGATTATTACTCCTCCTCATATCCTTTTTAAAACTGAGGCGGGGCTATATAGTTACCTCTATACTTGGTCATATTCCACTGACTCTTCATAATAAGACGCCGGTAATCTATTAAGCAGTAGGAAGTAGAAACTACACAACAAAAAGTCGTTTTGCTTGCTCCACACGTTCGTAGGTATCAATCTAGCTGTCTTCTTTCTGCGGCGGCGAATACACAATGCATTAGCCCAAAAGATAAGAGAATTTTTCTTTTGGTCCAAAAGAAAGAAAAGTGTCCATATGTTTTTGACATTTTGTCCTTACAAGTTACAAGAGTCCGTCTCGAGTAAAATTAGTTTAAACGTGGTATGCAACTCGCCCGCCGCGTATAAATTTTTTAGTGCCATTGGAAAAAAAAATGACATATTTGTTCGATTGAGTAATGTTATCTTAACAATGTGGTTCGTGAATGAGCAGATTACCACCTGTTGGGAGGATTACCATAGGATGGACGATGGGCGGGGACTTAATGCACATGCGTGCAAGCGGAATTCGACAGCTGCTGCGGCATCTCATGGCTTCATGTGAAGGTTTCGTTTAGGAAGGAATTAGTAGTTGTAGTTTTGATAATATGGTCCAGGGATTCTCGTACCCTGTCTGATACGTGTAACTTGTCTCATTGTATTTTGTTTGGTGAAAACCGTCCCATTGTATTACTACCTCTTATTTTAGTTTCCCATTCATTTGTATAATTGGTGAGAGAGAGAGATCATGGTACTTGAATTCATCTCAATGTCACACACACACACACACACACACACGGTTTGCGGAATCCCCGCTGACCACTGCTTTAAGAATTAATGTAGCCAGTACTCTAACCACTCCATACGTGGTGAGCAAGTGTTAATAATACCAAAATCGTTTTTGACTTTTAGACATTATTATTGTTCATTCTGCCTCAAGAATTTTATGAAACGATTCACTGGCAGCTCAATCATTGTCCCACCACGTTATCAATAACCACCTCATTAGCCATTCCTAAATTTTACCCTTACGAGTTACCATCACCTCTTAAATTTGGCAGTAGATACTACTTCACACTTCACAGTTCGCAGATTTTTCACTTCTGACGAGCCCCGGAAACTTTAACCCCGGAGGATAAGCTTCACCATCTGGGCTGCTTCGCATGAGTTAGGCACACCCCAAACGGTGGTTATCCGCAAGGATTTTCACAGCCTTTTGATTTACGTCTTGGGCTCTTGGCCCTTTGGTATCCTCGTTTTTCACAAGTTCTTCTCATTTCTCATCATTTCAACAATCCATTATAGACAGAAGCATCTATGTAGAGGAAACATAACGAAGCACAATTATGTACACACATTATATCCAAACTAACGGCAGCCAGGCAAAGTAAAGGAAACAAAAAAGTCTGCTATTTGTTCTTCTAAATACATCATTTCATCAAGCACCTGTCGATTGTTCATCAGTCCGTCCTATATGTTGAAAACATTCCCCCATAATCCTGAGCCACATTATCATTAAGGTCCAGAACCATTGCTGCTTGTTAATCAGCATCTCCAGATACTTCACTAATAGTATTGCATATAACCTGAACACTTTTGGTCGCACCAATATATGCAAACGTACCAATCAAGCGCATACAATACCCCATACTGCTAAGTACCCACAACTGTTTTGAGCAGCAAGCTTCCAAGGAGATTGCATATACACCACTCCTCGATCAAGGGAAGAACCACATCTTGATGAAAACAGCAAGACCTATTTGAAGAACAAATGCGGCTACTAACACCATGTTAAGATCGGTCGATTGTACATAAGACCTCAGATTTAGAGATACAAAGCCAGCTGATGCAGCACCACTGATTAATATGACCATCCAACGAAGAAAGTTGACTGGAATAATCAATAAAAACTGCAATTTTAGAGAAAACTTGTGTCAGGACATACATGATCCAGAAAATAACAAGAGCAGATAGACAAAATGCACCAATTCGTATCCAAGGGATTCTGGAGTGCAAATGATAGACTCGGGTCAGATTTGTCCAGTCTACACACACCCTTTTTAACTCGTGTGGTATTCACACAGCAACTTCTAGAATCACATAATGAAGCAAGGACTCTCTAATTTATAAATTCAGGTTCCTTACATAGCGAAAGCAATTTAATGGGCAAGTCAGAGTATCCACTGAAGACACAGAAATGTAAGACCCAAACAAACATCACTCACATGCTGATCCATCGGGTCCAGATATAGTCATATTGAAATCCAAATATTCAGGGACAAGTAAAGCTAAATATGTATTTCCATTAAAGAACGGGACATTCGATGTTGATAAACTTTGGACAAGGAAACATAACTAAGCATTTGTATATAAGAGCAATTTTGGGAACATAAAACAATTTAGTTTTCCTCATTCATTTGCCAGTCAGGGCTCTTTCACACAATTTGAGACCTTAAGACCGAAAGAAAAAATGGAAAAAAAAAAAGCATACTTACAGAGCTTAGAATGAAAATGAAGAGGGAATAACCCCACAGGCACCAAAACCGTACAAGGCTGGCATTTGAACCGAGATACTGAAGCAGAAAGTAAAATCCCAAGGGCACAAGAAGTGCATAACCATAGATCGCACATGTAGCCACATTGACATAGCTGACATCAAAATTCCACAAAGTACTGCTGTCATGTCTCCTTTGTATCAGATAGGTGGCACAATTTCCAAGTGAAGTAATTACAAATATCAATGTGGTCGAAATCCAGACTAGGCCGTACCTGTCAGTTGGGGAAAGGATTAAAGAGCTACAAAAATCCAAGGCCAAACATGTTTCCATACTAGCATAAACTAATGAAAGAACACACTATTTAATAGTATATCCATTTACAAGCATAAACAATTGAATGAACAGAACATGATCAGTCGTCAGCAGAAATTCAACTTCTATACACCTGTATCATAAACTTACAGATCTGGGTTGGCATCAATCTTGTTAAAGAAATCTCCACTGGTTGGTGAAAATGTACTTAAGATTCTGTTCAAGACAATGTCTGTATCTACGTTGAAATATTGAGTGTACGATGAAATGCTAAAAAATCCATTCCAACTATTTGAAGAGGGGTCTGCTGATTGCTGCCCCTGCTCTTCTGCATAATGTTGATAAATCATTAAACACAACACCAACTACAGGATAATTTACAAGAAGTTAATTAAAGACGAAAGACACATCTCAACGGTTGTTATAACAGGCAGAATAGATTATAAAAGTTCAAAAAGCTCTGCAAGGAAAAGGAGCTTCTGACTGCAATGACTTGGAAGTAGGAAATCAAATCCCAAAGGCACCATTGTCAGCCATGGCAAAGGATGCTAACCACAGAAGTAAATGTTTGCAACTAAAAAAGAAAATATACGCATTCAGCAAGAGATTAACTCGAGAAGCATACCATTATTGCCTCCAAGAGTCTGATAACCTCTCCAATTGTTTCCACCATTATTTGGGGGGAATATCTGCAGATTTGCTCCAGGAGCTTCAAGGAATTTGGCAAACAAATTAGAAATCAAAGACATGGATATCCAAACCATAAGATTCAATCATGCAATATATTCACACCTTGATGGGAACCGGGGCTTTTTGCTTCAGTTACAACAGCCTGTTCGAAAAGGAAGATAAGATAGTCCAAAAAAATAAATTAAAATGCTAGGAAAAATACATCAATCAGTAGCCGAGAGAATCACCAGATTTCTGAGGTTAGTAACTTGAAAAAAAAAAAATAGAAATGCAATTTTGGTAGAGAGCACTAGTTTGAGATTATCCTATCTAGGGAATCTGGTGCTAAAACCCATAAAAATCAAATTAACGAAAATTCCTACATTCTGGAAGTACGCAGTAACTAGGAGAATCATTGAGGAAACAAAGTAACAAACAGCTACTTTCACGAGCAGGAGCTCCAAACCCCTAATGCACAACCCGAAACCCCCATATAAACATTAATTACATGCCTAAATTAGCCTCTCAAGTGCGATATTAATCAAATATCAATTCGTTATCATTAATTTTCCACATTATCTGAAATTTTAAAATTCTTCCACTCCCAGGTATCCAAATCAAGTCACCATACGGAGGCAGAAAACAAACAAACCTAGAAAAGAGTGAGAAAATTAAAGGATCAAGGGTACATACCGGGACGGAGCCAAGCAACTGACTGGTAGGGAGGTTGGATAGTGAATCTTCCGCTGCCATTGGAGTTCAATCACCACTGGTAAAAATATTATGGAAAGAGGATCCACTTTTTATGGAGATTGAGAAACTTCAGAGACCAACGGATCTTTCAATATTAATTCACGAATTCATCGGTTGACAAAGTTGTTTTGCGATTTCCGATTAGAGTGATCCTAATTGCTAAAAGTGCCCTAATTTCTTTGAATTTTGGTTTCTTTTTAATTGCTTTGCTGGAAAGCTTCCTGGGGTTGACGGAGACGGAGACGGCGATTTTAGAACATGGAGGGAGCACTGGCCCGTATAATTTAATCGTACTAGTTTAGTGCCACCGGTAGACAGACCGTTGAAACCATTGTTAAGAAGTAACGCTTACCGCGTTTCCGATATTTTTATAGTATCTGGGCTGTTATCCGCTGTAGGCTTATTATTGAGCAACGGGCTACTTGATCTTCTCAGGCCCATTCTTGCAACGTGCAATTGTCCTCTCTCTTTTTTTGTTGGCGAACAACATTTTACCCCCGCCCGTTTCTACCGTTACTCCCTGAGTTTTAGAAATACTGCCGTATATCTCCTTGACGGGGAGTCCACCTACGAAAAGACCCTTGGTGCACAAAAAAGGGATAATGTCAGCAAAAACATTTTTTGATTTGACTAGATTACCCTCAAAAAATTGAGGCTATGTTTGGTTCCTTTTTTCACTCATTATTTCAGAATTTTTAATCAATATCTATCATATCCCAACATATCTTTTTACCTTCTTAATGTACCTTTTTACATTTCTAATACACTTTTTTACATTCCCAATACAAAAAAACACACTCAAAAAACCTTCCAAACATACCTAAATTTCTTTTGTTTTAAGGTTAATTTTAAAATTATTTTCACTTCCACTTACACCCTTTTGCTATTTTTTTAAAAAGAAAATACAATATATCATATATCGTTTGAGGCAACATATAAAAATTTTCTTTCCCTTTACATAGTTTCAAGAAAGAAAAATAAATTGCATATGAAACTGGGAACATAATTGATTGAAATGATCAAGGTCTTGTTTGGACAATCTTCTATTTTACATTTTCACTCATTTTACCTCTTAAATACAAATTTCAATTGGGAAAAAAAATATCATCCAAATAACTTTCTGATTTACATTTTAAATTCCAACTTGAAACACTTTTTGTTAGTGTAATGACCATTTTAAAACTACAAATAATTTAGTGACAAATTTGGTAGGTTTCTGTTGTTGAATGATTGTTTTTGGAAAAAAATTCTTTTTTGCAGTGACTATAATTGACAGTATTTAATTGTTTAGTGATGAATTGCACTTGATATTTCAAAATGTAGTTCAAAATACTTTTTTTCAAAACTAACATCCAAACAACATTTTATTTTCCCATTTAGTTTTCAATTTGAAACACTTTCCACTTTTAAGTGACAAAATTAAATGTAAATTAAATGTAAGTTGACGTCCAAACAAGCACCAACTTATCCCGGAACATCAACCATTTACGTTTGTAATTAAAATAATACCAAAGTAGAAACATTAAACCACATGCAGTGCATCTGCATAAATTCAACTCAGAACTAGCCAAAATAGCGAGTGCAATTCAGAGATATTTCATGAACAAAAGTGAGCACATTCAGTCTAGGAATAACAAAAGACGAGACTTAACACCGTCCCTCAAATTCTTTGCATCCCTAAATCTGTTTTTGAGGTTGTGATGATGATTGTCCCTTCACACTGTTGCCCACCTCTTTAGAAGTTGATGTAGGTTGTGACGATGAAGCTTAATACGTAGCTACATCCTTATAACTTGAAGTGTTCAAAAGTTGGGATGAAACACTGGGAGGCTGATAAGATGAAGTTCTTTTGGTTGCATTTGGAGAATTCTTAACACCCTCTGAATTTGCTGTATTCTTAACCACAAAACTCTGTTCTTTCTTTTTTTAATATCATTTCTAATGCTGCAAAATATTTTATTTTGTCATTTAATCACGTAATAATATGAAAGATTGCAAAAATGATATACCAAAAACTAACCAAGTGATTTATTATTAAAATGAAACGAAAATAATAATTTAACAAGTTGGATAATGTCACAGAAAATAGACTGCTTCAATTGTCAAAGTACACAACTAAAACAACAGAATTGTTGAAAAGATAAAATCTATCGTTTTAAGCATTTGCGTGAAAGATAAACCAAACAAAGTTGTAACTAAAATTGTAACTCCTCTTAGAGGTTTTTGCACATAAAAGGGGCTTGTAGAAAATATAGTACTCCGTTTCAAAATACAATGTTTCTCATTGTATTAATGTTCCTCTTAGAGGAAGAAGAGGATCAAAAAAAGTTGTTATGTTCTTATAAGAGACCTTGAATTCATATTCCTCCTTATAGTAAGGAGTGTCACTCGTAGTAACAATTTGGGCAAAAATGTCTGAGCCCGGGTTCGAACTGGGGACCTCTAGTGTGTGAGACTAGCGTGATAACCAACTACACCACCCAGACAGTTGACAGCAGGAGCCAAGTGTTTTTAATAAAACCTTTTTTTTTTTTTTGAAAACATGAAACAAGAAAAAGAAAAATGACTAATAAAGTTGAAAAATTATTGGGTACAGTTTTTTTGTGCAGCAAGTACTAACACCTATTATTTTAGTGGTATAACTCCCATAAAAATTATTTTTCTCCCTCTAAAATTACTACTTTACCCTATTATTGTATCTGGCTGCACAATCCTACGTGGTACAACAGAGAATAATTTCTGAATAACGTTACTTTTGCTCGATAATGGATGATTTTGGACAATTGTGTCTGCGTACTAATTGATCACATTTTACAGCTAAAAAAAATGAATACGCCAAAAACTTGAGCTAGATTACATTTGTATTAACTTTCAAACTTGAACAAAACCTTATACTAATAAGGTCTGTTTAAAAAAAATAGTCTAAATACAATGTAGATTATTTGAATGGGTACAATCACATAATTTATTAGTATTAATAATTTTTTGAAAAAAACAAACACAAATTAATAAACTCTACAATCCAGTAAAATCTAGTCCCACTGCCTCCGGCCGTATCTGATGGTATGCCGTCTGAGCCAAAGCTGATACATCACCATATGGAAAGCATCATGCGGCTGTGGTTCCAAATTCCACACCAAATGCCGGCTGGCCGTCACTCCCAGTTCCCTCATTTTCTGGTACCGGACTTGGTCAACGCCAGTCAGCACCTCCTTCAGCCTCCTCACCCCTCCACGTGTCGCCACCACCAAAGCCATCTCGGACCATCTCAACACGTCCATCAACGGCAAATCCTGAATCGGATGGTCCACGAGCACCACGGGCACGCACCCCATAGCCATCGCCTCCACCATCCACGTCAGGTCCCCTTCTTCGTACGCAAACAAACAGAACTTGCTGCTCTTAATCACGTTGATACGATCCAACGGTTCTGATTCGATTCTGAATTCATCGTCTCCCTTCATTTCGTTGACCAAAGACGAAGAGACTTTTCTCTTATTATTATCATCCCAGACCATGAAACCCAGGTACGACGGCGTTTTTGTTGCCGGACCTTCGTCAACTAGAGCCAGCGGAGACGGATTCAACGGCGGCAAGGTAATGTCCTTGTGGGGAATAAAGTTACCGGAGGTTGTCGGAAAGATGGATATTTGAACTGCGTTTTTCTTCAGCTCGACGGCGTTTCGGTCCGACGAAGAGTCAACGCCGTTGGATGCTACGAAGAAATGGTCGGCACCCAAAGTACGATTCCAGTAAGGATAATTTGTTCGGATTTCTCTGACAATACGCGCTCCTGAACGGGCGGAGATGTCCGGAGGGGAAGGAATATAGAAGAGATGAGCTTGTTCTGGGTCTTGAGTGATAAATTGGCTGTTTATTAGGGAGCTATAGAAGAGAGAAATCGGCTGGGCTGAGAAAGTGCTAACGGAGTTTTCTTGCGGAGTATTGTAGATGTAAATTTTGAAAGAAGTGAGCATCTTTTCGTAGTTCTGGAAAAGGGTTGTAGCGGAAAGGTACGGTGAGCTGGCGGTGGCTGCAGGGGCGGCCGTTAGGCTGTAGAGTGGTTGGATGACGGCGAGGAGACCGAGGAAAGTGGCACAGAGGAAAAAATCCGCCATTTTTTTTGTTACCTTAGACCGGCGGTAGGATGGAATTTGGGGGAAGGAAGAACTATCAAGAATCAATGAATCATGGAAGATTGGAGGGGGAGGTAGGAAGGTTAATCATGCATTTATGATTTATGGTGTCAGTGTCATCTCTGCTGAGATGATGGAAAGTTTGCTAAAAATGATGATGGATTTTAGTATTGGAACAATTTTATTGTTGTGAGGGTTTATTTCACATCAACAACAGGGAGCTTTGGTTGTTGGGCCATTTACTTTGGTATCTATGATGACGATGGACAAGCTTTTTCTTTCTTTCTTCTTACCCTTTTTAAAAAAATTTTATTATGAACGGCCTTACTACAAAATTTGCATATGTGTACTAGTAATACTATTATTTGGCGACGATAAAATAATTTGATTTTGGTCTTGTTGGCGGATATTGAGAGAAAAATTGCGTTCACACGCAAAATTTTAGGTTCATCGTCAATTCTATCTTATTAATTTCTGATTAGCAATTTTGTCTTTTGTTTAAAATTTTTGTTAATTCCGCCCAATTGGCCCAATTTCTGTTAAATTTAACGGTTTTCCGTTAGTTTTTAAATAAAACCTCGATAGTTTTAAAAAATTATAAAAATAACCCTAAAATATAAAATAACAAACTAGTCACTTTTTACTCATTTTTTTCTATTTCATTTTATTTCTCTTTATTATTTTTCATAACCATCAAAATATATTATATGATCTTTTAAAAAATAATTATTTATTTTCAAAATCTATTTTTCATGTGCAACACATGTGATTTGGGTTTAGGAGTAATTTTGTCATTTTAAAATTTTTAATTTTACTTTTTTATTCGTTATTTTTTTAGATTATTTTCCTTATATTTCCTGACTTGTATTTATTGATACTAGTATAATTATTAAATTTCAATCATTAATTTAAATTTTTATTTCATAGATTATTAAAAAAATTAGCATAAAGAAAATGAGGAAGAAAAAATCAAGCTGAAATAAACATGAAAATTAATAATTTATCATTCTAAACAAAAATTTAAAAAAAATCTTTACAAAAAATCTGCAAAGACAAGTCTTTCCTCCTTGACTACCTGTAGTTCATTGGTTAGTTATGAAACATAAATTTTACTTGATCTAGCCTAAAATAATTATTTATTCGTTGTAATAAATATAATATCAAAATTAGACAATCATTTGAAACATGAAATGGTGCTAATTTAATTAGTCCACAACGATGCATTTCTGTAAATTTGGTTAACAATATTTTTATTCCTATTTAATAATTTTTTTTTTTTTGCCGATTGGCGATTGATAAACTACATAAGCAATTATTGAATTTTCTGAAAAAAAGATAAATACGTGTATTTTTTTAAGCAAAATAATTACTAAATTATACTACCTGACTTGTATTATTTTTATTACAGAGAATAAAATAATCATTTTAGGCTTAGCAATGATACAAATAGTGAAAAAATATGGTGAAAACTCATAGTGTCTGATGTGTATATACTAATTAAGGATAAAAGTGTAATTTTAAAGGAAAAAATATAATTTCTACGACAAAATGGCAACAAAATAGGGGGCCAACTCAATCACTATTTATTTTCACTATATAAAGTCACTATACTTATCATATTCCTTTTAGGCTAGATCAAGTAAAATTTATGTTCCGTAACTTACTTATGAAATAGAGGAAGTTAAGGAGAAAAGACTTCTCTTTGCAGTTTTTTTAAAGGTTTTTTTTGCTTTTTGTTTAGAATGAGAAACTATTAATTTTCATGTTTATTTCAACTTAAGTTTTTTCTTCCTCATTTTCTTTATGTTAAAGTTTTTATAATCTATGAAATAAAACAGTAAATTAATTATTAAAATTTAATTATTATTCTAGTATCAATGAATACAAGTCAGGAAATATAAGAAAAAGAATCTCAAAAAAAAGACGAATAAGAAAAAGAAATTAAAATGTTAAAAATTTAAAATGACAAAATCACCCATCAAGCCAAATCACATGTGTTGCACATGAAAAATAGATTTTGAAAATAAATAAATTTTGATAGTTATGAAAAGTAATAAAGAGAAATAAAATAAAATAGAAAAAATAAATAAAAAGGGACTATTTTGTTATTTTTATAATCTTTTGAAACTATCGAGATATTTTTGGTTAGAAACTAACGGAAATCCATTAAATTTAACGGAAATTGGGCCAATTGGGAGGAATTGACAAAAAATTCAAACAGTAAGGACAAAATTGGCTAACCGAAAATCAATAGGGTAGAATTGACGATGGGCCAAGAGCTTTGAATATGAACGCTGATTTTTCCGATATTGAGTAATTGACAATGAAATTCGATTGTAATTGGCGTCTTTGACGAAGCGAAGTTCGTCACCTGTATTACTTGAATTATAGTATTAAAGGAGAAAAAAAAAATCCAAAAATATCCTAAATTATTTAATTTGGACAACATCTAGTAATGCTAGAGTACCCGAATTTTCCAACTCTTCAAAATCACATTGTTAAAATTTTTTATTTTATTTTTTTTGGTTTATTACATGTGCATTCTCCTGAATCATTTCCCAACTAAGCAAAATTTAATTTGAACAAGCCATAAGAAACAAAATATGTTCACTAAATATTTAAAGACTAAAATGTCCAAATGGTCCTTAAATTTGGGCCTACTTAAATTTACGTCCTTAATATTAATTTTTTAATACCATAGTCCTAAATATTATATTTTTACACTTTTTTTGTCCAATTTCACTGTTTCCGGCCGTTGACATACCGGAATTAGGAGTATTTTTGTCTTTTAATTTAAATTAAACTTCCATTAAAATTTAAATTATTAAAAATATTTTAAAATTCACATTTCATTATTTAATTATTAAAATATTATTTATTAGTTTAAAATATTATTATAAAATTTTAAAATTTACATTATTTTCAAAATTACTTATTTCATTTATCATTTACCTTAGGTACAGAATAAATAGTAATTATTTACACTTTTAACTTTGGACTCACACTGGGCCCGTATTTAAAAGTGCAACATAATTACAATTTAGGGTTTACTTTAGCGGTCAAAGTAAAAAAAAAATTTGGTTTTGCTTTTTCTTTTTTTGTTTAAAAAAAATTAAATTTTGAATTATTTACTATAATTCCGTAAATTTTTTTAAGTTACAGTGGGCCCAAGGTTAATAGTGAAACATAATTATTATTTACTTTGTAAGGTAAATAGTAAATGAAAAAGTAATTTAAAAAAATAATGTAAATTTTAAAATATTATTTTTAATTAATAAATAGTATTTTAACAATTAAAGAATAAAATGTGAATTTTAAAATATTTTTAATGGTTTAAATTTTAATAGAAATTCAAATTAAATTAAAAAACAAAAATACCCTTGATTCCGGCATGTCAACGCCCGTGAACAGTGAAATAGGACTAAAAAAGTTTGAAAACATAATGTTTTAGATTACGATATTGAAATGTTAATGTTAGAAACATAAATTCAAGTAAGTCCAAATGTAAAGGACCATTTGAACATTTTAGTCATATTTAAATCTCCTTGCATGTCTTCACAATAACCGAAGATGAAATATTACGGATAGATGAAGTTAAACCAAAAGGCAAAAGTCTTTTTTATTTTTTTATTTTTTGATACAATAAAGGAGACAATTGTTTGAAAGTAATAAAAAACCACAACACATTGATAAGAGGTACCAACAACGCCATACGCCAACTAAGGTTTAAATTTGTAGGTAGATAATTTAACCACGATAAAACCACCAGGATCAGAAATTGCTAAGTTAACAAGAGAATCTGCAACAAAATTCAATTCTCTGTATATGTGCTTCAACTCCGCCATCCAATCCCTCTTTAGTCTTTAGTGTATCTTTGATAGTCAGTACTAACTCTCGGTTCATACCTAGCACTTCCTTGCTTGCATTCACCATTGTCACAACACTCAAGTTGTCGACACAAAAGCCGTTTTAAAACAAAAAGTAAAAGAGAGGTTGCCCTTACCATTTACAACAAAAATAACCATCCTTTTACAAAAGCTCAATCAGTTGGCATATATACTTAAGCAAAGAAATTAGTACTTTTCATATAAAGTAAGTTTAAATCATAAATTATGCTCACCCATCCTAAAAAAAATAGTTTACATTATAAAATTATATTTTATTTATTATGATTCATAATCTATAATATGATGTTTTTTTTTGGTGAAATTAATGAAGTATGTAGAAGTTGTTCATAATAGAAAACCAACTTGCTTTCTTCTCAAAAAAAAAAAAAAAAAAAAGAAGCTTGCCAATCAAGGTAAACCATCTGTTGCAAAAACAACCGTTGTATGCTTTAAAACAACATTTTCTTTCCTCGTTAAAAATGATATTTATTAGAGGAGCAATGATAGAGATAGTGACTAATTATAGTAAAAAAGTATAGTGATTAATGAAAAGACAAATACGCTATCCTCATTTAATATGTGCACTTATTAATTAAGGATAAAAAAGTAGTTTTTAGGGAGATAAAATTTTAACGAAAAAGTGGCAAAAATTAGAGGCCAAGAATACTCCACATCACTCACTATTTTTTTATTATATTTTTTTCACTAGATATATCATTTTCATTATTAGAGTGAGGCGCACCACTGAAAGCTAGTACTACGTGAAAGTGATCGTGTTTGAATAATTGGATTTTGCTTCCAACATATGAACATAAGGTGGTTGTTACTGAAACATATTATAACACGATTCTTTAATATATCAACAGAGAGAATAAATATATATATATATATGCGCAAATGCAATACATATAGTAATACTCTAATAATATTCAGATATGCACAAAAACGTCGAAGGGATGAAGGGCTAGAAAAATGAATTGTACATCATTACAATCTTGACTTGTTCTTTCACTGAAAATCAATTGGTTCTCACTCCTGGATGAATCTTTATATAGTTTTTTATTTTCTTTTTTTTTTCACAAGTTTTGCATTGGCCAAATCTGCAGTTCTAAATATAACACATCTATCTATAACCTCCATTATAGTAAAAACCATTTTTTTTTTCCTAAAAAGTCTCCCCACCCAAATTTGAAGAATTTAGTCCCGTTTAATTTATCTAACAAAAAAAAAGACGGTAATTACACTTATACAGAAAAAAAGATAATAATTTTTTTTAGTATTTAACCCTCAAATCTATTATTTTAACGGTTAAATAAATCACAATTTTGTATTCTCAAATAAAACTTCTCTAGCAAAGATTTCTAAAATTCTGCATTAATCTTTCATCCAAATATTGGTAACATAATAAGAGTATTGCATGGAATTTAAAGATTTTTATTTTTTTATTACATTGCATTATTACTTTACATTATTATTATTGTTATTACATTACATTATTATTATTATTATTATTACATTACAATTATTATTATTATTACATTATTATTATTTTTATTACATTACATTACAATACAATCATAGCAAAAACCATTTTTTCCAAAAATTCAAGTGTCAAAATGTCCAAAAAAGTCTCCCCACTCAGATCTAAAGAATTTAGTCCCGTAATTTATGCTGCAAAAAAAAAAAAAAGATGATAGTTACACTTATCAAAAAAAAAAAGATAATAAAAAAAACTTTGTATTTAACCTTCAAATCCATTACTTTAACGGTTAAATAATCACAATTTTGTATTCTCAAATAAAAATTCTCTAGCGAAGATTTATAAATTTATGCACTAATTTCTTTCATCCAAATATTGGTAACACAATGAGAGTATTTTATGAAATTTAAAGATTTACAATTTCAATTTTTTTTTATATAAAATGTGGAGCCACTACAAGTGATGCAATGGAGAGAAAACGACCAAAAAGAAGGAGAAAAAAATGATACCTTTTAAAAATGTCACACAAATATATTTTAGGTTCTGGTTTTTTGCATGGCATTGGGGGGTTGGATTTGGAATTTGAGCCCCCAATGCCAAATCCGGTGTTCGGCTGTCCAAAAATAAGATGATATTGGCATTGACCCAATGCCAAAAGACTTCCAATGCCATGATTTCAATTCCGAGCTTGAAACTATTATTTGGGATTCCAAACTCTCATAAAGTTGAACAGTACGCGGATTATTATTGAGTCAATACCGGATTATAAGCTATGGGTGTAAACGAACCGAGCCACTCGCAAATTATTCGCGAGTTGACTCGGTCAAAACTTGATTCGAAATTGAGTTGACCGAACTCGAGTCGAGCTCGAGCGAGCTCTCCAACAAAACGAGCCAAGTTCAATCTTGTAAAACACTTGCTCGGTAGCCCGTCGAGCTAACCGAGCCACACCTGTATATATTTTTTAATAAATACTGGTCTCCATTCTTATCTCTTATATTATATTTATATCTCCAAATCTATTAATTTATTAAAATTATTTTATCTATTTATCTTGTTTCCATCGTTATTTGCGTTTCATTTTTTCCATCCCTCCTCTCTGGCCACGCGAATTTGGAGACCAACTTCTATTCTAATCCAAATTCATCATCAGATTAATTAACACTTGAAATTGATTTTGAATAAAGCCCCAACTTAAAGGTTCTCACCTTTTCTAATTGAATCTATACTTTTTTCTCAAGAGAGAGATATGAAGATTTGAAGGATTTGTTCAGAAATTCTTCGGGTTTTTTTTTCAGATCCATTTTTTCCCCTTAAGTAATAGTTTCAACTTTTCCCCTTTTGTTCTCTTTGGCGACGAATTGTATTGTTGCTGATTAAGTTTTTTGTTTTTTTTTGGTTTGCTGTTGGAGGGATTTTATTGTTGTTATTCATCCAACTTGTAACCTGGAGGTACTGGGGTTGTTCAGTGAATGGAGGTAAAGAACGTCTGTTTGAAAAACTGATGATGCTGTAAGTGTTGTGAACTTTTCACGAATGCAGGGAGTACCTGGAGGAAAGTAGCAGTTTTTCAGAATTCAGAGAGTCCTTGGGGGAAAGTGGCAGTTTATCTACGAGGTGTTTTCTCTTCCTTTGTTATAAATCTTTTGCTGTCTCTTTCGCCATCTTTCTCCCCACATGATTATCGCAACTGAAATTCATAAGCCATGTAAATTTTCTCCCTTTATGGTTTATAGACTTTATTCAAAGGGAAGAAGCTGCTGTGAGGCTATATTTTGCTCTTTCGCGTCGATCTCTTTGTTGTTGACAAAGAACAAAATCATATCTAATAACATATTTTTAGTACTCTGGATATGCTTGAGTATGTTTTATCACTGATGTATCATAAAGCAAAACAAAGCATCATAAATAGCTAGATCACTTTCATGCTTAGAAACTCGTGTTTGTGTAAATAAATCTAGTTTTAAGCTTTACTTCTGGGATTTTGATTTCATGGGATTTTACTCTCATTCAAGCTTTACTTCTGTTCTGGTTTTTCCGGACTACGTAAGAAGTTTCAGTTACATAGTAACTTAGATAAGTTTCAGTTTTAAACTGACCTAGATTTTTTTATTTTCCTTTAGGCACAGTTTCTTATAAGTTATAGACAGAAAAATGCATCCCTCTGTTAAGAAAATGGGGATGAAAGGAAATATACTCTAGCAGTAATCATATCGGCCTCATGCACTCACGCAAATATTTGGTGTTGATGTGCTAGCTTTGCCAAGAAAAGGTTGCATGTTTTGGTGAGATCATATACCATGTCATGTATCGAGCAAAAACTATTTTGTGTTTCTTACCAGGAAAATTTCGAACTTTCATCTGAGTTGACGACAACAGGGGACTATTGTGTTTTGAACTTTCCAGCTTCTCTATAATATATAGTATTTGTTAAATGTATATGAAATTATGATTTTTGTAAAATATATACACAATATCAAAGAGTAACTTTGTCAAGAATTCCCAGCCTGGATTTCACCTGCCGGATCAGGTGGAGGAGGAACCTCATACTCCTTCCTGTAATTGATTGGTTTCATATGAGGATGACTATGTAATCTTCCTCGTCTCTGCTTTTAAAAACAGAAGTAAAAGACTCCTAAATTTATTGGCCTATTATTCCCTCTAAGTTGCACAACGTGCAGCATACACCACCTACTCCTAATTTTATGTCTAACATAATAAACTATAAACTAGAAACAAAGCAAAACAAATAAAATATTCGGGGTGAATCGCGAGTTATAAATTTGTTGAGGTATTTCACATTTCTGAGTAAATCTTATGTACCTTTATTGCAATATTTATACTACTAGCAATTATTACTGCTATATTTTTGTACTTCTATTTTTAATGTGAGGAATATACTATGATGAAGACAGATTCTGGTATAAACAGGCTCCAGAGTTGTACTAGTGGTGGCAGTTACAAATACGAAGTCCCACAAAGATTTCCAACCCAATCTTTCCCAATCTCACTCACTGCCACTCACCAACCTTCTCACCAACTCTCCTCTTTCTTCTTCGGTTGTTGGTACAGTACTACTTCTACTCCCGCTTCCTCCGCTGCCGCAGCACTTGCATACGTAAGCGCTCTCCTCTGTTCCTCTTATCTCTCCGAATCAGAATAATAAATGTGTTGGACTATAAATGTTGGCTTCGCTGACTATACTCTGTTTTCCTTTTTTGTTCCGATACTCAACAGCCTTTCGTCGTCGCCGTAGCCAAAATGTCGCAAGGTACTCTGTCAACTGTTTGTGCTTATTCGTCACTGACGTTTGTGATTTATTTTTTGTTGAAGAAATTTACATTTGTTCACTTTTTGGATAAGTGGAGACATTTTGTTACTGTAAATGCATGGACTAATGTGTGGACTAATTATGGGGAAAAGAAGGTGGTGAGATTGGATCGAGGAAACCTGTTACCAGTCCTTTCGATGAGGCCATGGAGGCATTGTCTTCTTTAATTACCAAGCGGAGTCGAGCTGATAAGAGTAATAAGGGAGACCGGTTCGACATCCTTTTTGATTACATTAAGGTAATATTTGTGCTCGGCAATTTGTGTATATATATGATGCCTAATGTTTGGTAATGGATTTGATCGTGTTATATTACATTTTTGTTGATATTATGCTTGATTAATGGATGATTTGTGTTTTTCTTTTAGATTCTAGAACTAGAAGAACCGATAAAGCAGATGAAGATTATACATGTGGCTGGCACTAAAGGAAAGGTCAGCCCAATCGATCTTAACTTGCGTTCTTCCAGTAAAAATGTTTTCTCATTAGGAAGTAGTTGATGACTAATTAGGAGGACTACTTCTAATATTGATGAATTTGCTAACCTCTTCTCTTTTCTTTCTTAACTTCAACCAGGGCTCAACTTGCACTTTTACCGAGTCTATATTACGTAATTGTGGCTTCCATACTGGACTTTTCACTTCACCGCACCTCATTGATGTTCGAGAAAGATTTAGACTGGATGGGTGGGGTATTTATCTTTTGCATGCATATAACATCGCAACATAACTCTTCAAATCCGTAAAAGTAGCCATTTCTTGTCTGTCAAATGAACTTAATACTTGTAGATTTTTATTTTACTGAATATTTATCAGGGCTATATATTTGGTGTCTATTCTGAATGTCATTTGAGTGGATTTTTACGGGATCCCCTGAATGCAGAATTGATAGTCCTTTGTTTTTAGTTTTTCCTTCCCTTTTGCCAATGGGATACAAAATGTGAACTCTGGCAACCTGTTAGCCAACATGGTCTGTACTGATGGAAGTCATTATGTACAATCATTTTGACATTTTCTTCTCTATATCCCTTCTCCCTCTCTATTTTAGGGCGGACATCTCCGAAGAGAAGTTTTTGGCCTATTTTTGGTGGTGTTGGGATAAATTGAAGGCATGTAAGCTTGTCGTGATTACGATTTGTTTCTCTACTTATGTTTAGACTATGTGCCAGTATGATAATGCAATTAGTATCTATTTTGAGAAAATTCACATACTTTTACAAAGATGCCTCTGATGTGGTCTAAGCTTCTCAAATGTTCTTAGTTCTGCTTGTTACCTGTACTACAGGAATATGTCAGTGAGGAGCTTCCAATGCCCACCTATTTCCGTTTCTTAGCCTTACTTGCATTCAAGATTTTCGCAGCAGAGCAGGTTAATCTAATTGGATATCAGTACAATATTTGATTTTACATATGAAGATCATAACTTTATACTGCAACTAGTTACTATGAATTAATATTTAGCCCTAGCCAATTTAGCTACGCATGATGAAATGATAATTAATGCATCAAAATAATAGAAATCCCTCATTCAGGTAGATGTGGCCATCTTGGAGGTTGGATTGGGTGGAAGATTTGATGCCACCAATGTGGTATGCATGTAATCCCTCCGCTGGTATCTAGCATCTTTACCAATTCCTGATTCTTATGTGATTCTCCTGAGGAGAGTTCCTTTATGGTCATTCTAATACCTATGCTCTTAGTTTCTTACACTTTTTTTTTTAATAGATTGAATCACCTGTGGTTTGTGGTATAACTTCGCTTGGATATGATCACATGGAAATTCTTGGTTAGTACATTCTTTTCTTGATATTTAGGTAACCGAATGTTTTTTGTTTCTTCACTATTGGGAATGATGGAAACCTCTTTCCCTGTGGAGCATGCATTTATTCTGGTGTCACATACGTTCCAATTACGATGCTGCTTAAATATTGATAATCACATTTTGAGCAGGTAATACTCTGGGGCAAATTGCTGGGGAAAAGGCTGGAATATTTAAGGTGCTGTGCAAGTTTCATTTCCTCATTTATGTATCTAGACTTCAGAAGTAATTTTTCTCATATAGCATGTTCTACTGTTGATGTGATTTTCTTTTATACTAATTTAGCGTGGAGTGCCAGCTTTTACAGTTCCACAGCCAAATGAAGCCATGCGTGTACTTGAAGGCCGGGCCTCTGAGTTGGATGTGAGTACACTTAGTTTCAAGAATTACAATGGTTGATCACATTGGAATTATGTTGCCTGAGATCATTTTACCTAAAAAATGCCTATAGCATCTGTAGAAAACCAATGGCCTATTTGTATCTTAATGACTAAAAAATTAAATAAATTAATCTCATGTTCATAACTTGGCAATTGGATAGATTTTCCTGAGAAACATTGCATAAGCTTATGGTGGCGTAGCAACTTGTGGTCCTTGAGACCTTTCTTAAGGAAAGTTTGTTTGACAGTCGTATTTGCTCAATATCTATATGATAGCTAAGTCGAAACATTTAAACTCATGTTGACAGATACCTCTTCAAGTTACGACAACTTTAGATCCTACATTGCTAAATGGTTTAAATCTGGGACTTGAGGGAGAGCACCAATTTGTAAATGCTGGTCTTGCTGTTGCATTGTGCTCTACATGGCTTGAGAGGACGGGCAATGCTGTAGTGGATTACCTAAAAGATGCTGTGAGTAACTCAAACGTGAGAGTTAGCTGATCCAGACTGCTGCTTTGTGTGCAATTAACTGATCTTAAAATTTATTCTTTTGTAGAAACAGACCTCTTTGCCCGAACAATTTCTCAGAGGACTAACAACTGCTTCAATGCAAGGACGTGCCCAAATAGTCCCCGACCATGTAGTTGAGAGTGGAATTTCAGGGGATCTAGTGTACTACCTTGATGGTGCTCACAGTCCCGAGAGCATGGATGTGTGCGCCAAATGGTTTTCTACTGCCATTAAGGAAGATCATGAACCAAAGGACGGAGTGCATACAAAGTCAATTGCCTCGCATCATGTTCAGAATGGCTATCAGAATGGTTCTAGAAAGAATTCAATGCAGGTAATAGTGTTGTGATCTCCTGTAGCCCATCCAGTGACAAAATTACTCATTTTAGATTCTGATGTCTATAGAATAGAATCTGAAGGGATGGATGCATTACTACTTTTTGATAAATTTTCTTAGTGGTGTCAGCTTTCAACCTGATAGCTAGAGTTGCTAGTATTTCAAACTATGGCTAAATAAGTAATATGTTAACTTTAACCAATGGCTGAATATTTTTAATATCCTTTACCATTTCTTTATGTTAATGCGCGTATAGCCTGAAATCATGCAGATTCTATTGTTCAATTGTATGTCAGTTAGGGATCCCCAATTGCTTCTCCCACGTCTGACAAATGCCTGCACTAGTCATGGTAAGTACTTCAGTTTGGTTAAGTATATATATCACCATGATGATTTTGTGCACTATATTGTGTAGTATATAGTTTTTGACTTATTGATTTTATTCGTGGTTGGTATTTATAGTTGTTGAGTTTGAGGTCCTGCGTTATATGGTTAAAATTGATTATCATCTACAAAATCCTTGTTCCTGTTTTTGGATCTTATCTCTTATCTTTTCAGGAGTTCACTTTGACAAGGCACTCTTTGTCCCTAATACCTCGGTATATTACAAGGTGGGAACCGGTTCTGTACTACCAACTGATGCTAACGTTGATCTTTCATGGCAATTAAATCTACAAAAATTATGGGAAAACCTCAATCATGGTGAAAAAGGTATTGCTCCGACTAGCTTTAAATGCACGCTACAAGTTGACTAGCTCTAAGGTATTGACTAGCCTTGGGCAATGGTGTCTGATTTTTTTTTTTTTGCATAGAGAGAGAAGTGAAGAGCACAGATACAAGTTTTGAAGAAGATGTTGATAAAAAGAGTGTTCAATTTTCTGAGCGCAGCTCTGTGTTTCCTTCAATTCCACACGCAATTAGTTGGCTGAGGGAATGCGTTAGAAAAAACAAGTCTTTGCGTCTTCAGGTGATTGTTATTTCCTGCTGAGAGCTTATTGTGTATGATTAAACTTTTCATTTTCCATTTAATACTTACATGGTTGCTTATATACTTTCCTCATTAGGTCTTGGTTACCGGCTCTTTACATCTTGTGGGCGACGTGTTGAGGCTAGTGAAATAGTATTTGGAGCAGGGCTGTATATTGAAACAGTGAATGACTTTCATGATATAATCTACGAATCTTCCACTTGTTTGAGCTGTTAGGTTTCAGCTTGCAAGATGATGTTGAATGTTTGTTTTTGAATCGAAAGAAGGCTCCAAATGGTGAAGTGAAAAATTGGCAGTTTCTTTCTACTGTTGGCTAACCATGACGGCTCACTGTGTGCAGTTTCACAAATAGGGGACACAACAAAGCGGTGCTTTCCGACACATTGTATGGATATTTTATTCTTTTTCCCTATTCTTTATAATAAGTATCTCCTCTACATTGAGATCACGCATGTCCAATGGCGTTGTAACTCTTTAGTTTAATGCTTAATATGTTTTAATTTGTAATATTTATCCCTTCTGGATCAAGTAAAGCATGGTTGAGAAGCAAGTTAATGATATTTGGGTCTGGATTCTACCTGCACTAGTCTAGTATTGTATATTCCTTTTGTCCCATAATTATTGTTTATATTTGGTTTTCATTTTTATTTGAAATTGTATTAAAAGTGAAATCTCAAACTGAACAATAATTTTGGGACAGAGAGAGTATTTCATTTCATATCTCATTGTGGAAATAGTTTTTGTAGTTTTAGTATGCAATTTTCTGGTCTGTGAAAATGGAGTAGCCATTGTTACGATCCTGAATTCTTTAAGAGTACTAATAGTTTGTTGTTATGTTTAAATCATACCATAAACAGAAAACAAACTGTTCATGAAACCTGCAAAATTGTCAAGGAAACAACAGCTGTCATGACACATCCGAAAGAATGAGTGGTGAAGTATGTTAATTAGTTTAGGTTATTTGGGCGATAAGGAAGTCCAGAGGGCTTTTGATGCCATAAGCAAAAGAAACCGAAGGTAAATCATATACCGATGAACAGAATGATGTACTGAAGAATGCGAATCTTTGTTGTTTCCTGTCCCCGAAGTGTCCACTGTTTCAAAAAAAAAAAAAAAAACAAATAAGCATGGTTAGTGAATGATATGTTTTAGTTGCAGAACTACGGAAATCAAAAGCTGAAAAGGTACAGAAAGATACGATCGAATAATCCTATTGATTCCATTTTTCCTGTGATCAGATGTACCCAGTTAAGTGCAGATTCTTGTGAACCGAGTTTGATCTATCTATTTCAAATAGTCATCACAGCCGTAAAAGCACCATGCCATGCCCGACATTGCCACATTAGGATTGTCAATAAACCCAGAAATGTTCCCTGAACTTGTCAACCAAACTTACATTTTTCGCCACAAAATGGACAACTAATAAAGCTACGGCTAAACAGGCAGCGGCAATCCTTGCTGTGATAAGATCCGTGGAAGCAAGCATCAACATCATCCCTCAAAATAACAACCAAGATCTGGATAACCAACAAATCAATATGATTGCTTGCAGCGAGTAAAAGTATTTTTATAAGCAGTTTATCGAAGAGAAAATGCTATCTATTGAGATGAAAAGCTTACATCCTGCTGGGCAGGATAAACCCCCACGGGTATGTGTCGCACCTCCCTCATCAGCATGAATTTGCATCCCTTCCACCTAAAAACCAACATAGAAAACTAATTCTTTTGTGCTTCAAATACACTAATAGAGCCCACTGGGGAGATAGATGAATTGAACATGGCACGCAAAAATTTAGATATTGGAAAAGGTGCTGAACAAGCAAGAGTAGCTACTGAAATTAACTTCAAAAACTCTCCCAGATGGTCATATAAATCTGCTAAAAAGGCAAAGCATATCAGAAGTTAAAGATATGCAACGTCAGAGGAAAAAAAAAGAGCAGTTCTTACATGGCCACCAGTGAGTTTACAAGCAATGGCATGACTTGCTTCGTGAAGAAAGACCGTGATAAGCTTAAATGGCATCAGCAATACAGTTCTCCATAGCTGCCACGCAGCGGAAATATGGGAATACAGGTCAATACAAAAAACATGATAGTTAACCAGAACTGGTACCAACCAGTTGTGAAATGAATGATACTAATCTCAAAATCATTACAAACTATCCATTTCCATGTTTAAGACAGTATAATCTTCAACAATGTTACCCCTGCCACTTTTCTATACTCTGAAATTTGAGACATCGCCTAAGACAGGTTCAAATCCCAATCTTGCTGAAGAGTCATATATATGCAAGTTAATCAATGATAAATTCATTTTCTCCTCATGTATATAAAGGAATGAAGTTTCTCTTTGTTATCAAAGTTATTGGCAATGAAGGGTATGCCGATGATCCACCAGCTAGCGAATCATAATAAATGATCACCTTAACAAAAATTTCTGAATTTTTAACTGGACTCCGAGATTTATCACGAGAGATACACAATTTCTCCTAACCATGAATGTTAAAGCCAACTAGCCAAGAGACAACAATTACAGTTCTCCATATACAAAAACACTTACGTATAGAAAATAGTTCACATCCAACAACCTCCAAGATAAAATCTTTCGGAAAAATCTATTAAATTGTCATCCCTTCAGTAAAAATCCATTAAATTGAAGGTGCCCAGAAATATCTTTCATAGGTTTCCATAAATAATAATAGGCAAAGCTGTCGTGTTCCTAAGAGAATCAGTTCCCCCAACGCCATGGTACTTGATTACTTTTGATGATGTTCCAAATTCCCGAGAGCATCAGATCCAAAGTTGATTAAAAAAAAGTTGTTTTTGAGGGCTTTACAATTATTTAACTCTCCTTGGGTGCTAATGAAGAAATTTTGTCATCTTTATTAGTATTTTTAAAGTGTGATATTTTCTTCTGATGATGGTGGTGGATTAGAGACTTCTTAACTATTAAATGGGCAATAGAATAATTCTCAGCTGTTGAAACATGATGAGCCCTTCTCAAAGTGACCAATATTGCAGTTTATACATTGAGTTCACAACTTTGACAATTGACATTTAACAATCTCCCCCCATGTCCAAAAATAAGAGTCAGTTTAATGAATATGACTCTGATTTCGAGACGGAAAGAGTATAAATCTATTGACCTGGGAAGAAACGCAGATGATTGGATTTCTTTAAATGATCAACACTAAAATTGGTTCCTTGAAATTTAAAACGTTCCTTGAAATTTAAAACTGGAGGAATATATTCAACCTTGTAAACAAAACAAAAGCTAAAAAATCATTCATTCTTGTCTCTTCTTTATTCTCTCCAAAAGACAAGAAGAAAGAAGGTTTAAATAATTACTATAACCACTACAAAAAAGCCTTTATTTCCCAAAGCTAAGAACTTTCAGGACTATATAAGTAGGCTAATCATATTCAGAAGACTCTGACCTCCAGTTGCTAATTTTAAAGAATCCTAATCAAGTAATATGGCCCAAGAAATAAAAAAGATCACAAACAACGACGAAGTGAAACACAACAATGATCAAGAATCCAAGTGGGTGCATGATTCATCTATAGATTACAAAGGAAATACTCCAGCTAGAGCTTCAACTGGTGCATGGAGAGCTTCCATCTTTATCATTGGTAAGGACTTCTTGTAGCATGTTTATAGTTATCATATGTACAAGGTATCTTACTCTCCCTCCCTCCCATTTTAATAGCACATTCGTTGAACTAAAATGGACGGAGGGACTTTTGATTTGGTGACTAATTTCAAAACTTTTTAATACATTATTCATGCATGGCACGTGAAATTGGAAAGCAATGGAGTTAAGTGAAAGAGTGACATACTTCGGAACAGCACTGAACCTTATCATCTACTTCACCAAAGTGTTACATCAGGATATCAAAACCGCGGCGAGGAATGTAAACTATTGGTCGGGAGTCACAACCATTTTGCCTTTGTTTGCTGCTTTCCTTGCCGATGCCTATTTTGGCCGATTCCTTGTGATCTTACTATCTTCAATCATACATATAATGGTAACATTTGTATTGTTTTCCACCCGGTTTTGGTATAGTATTATAGCTTGTCTAATCTTAGTAATTTTGAATTCTAGGTGAGGTAAGATTTTGACTTTTGGTTAATTATCATCAGGGATTGAGCCTGCTTACAATGTCACAGTTCATTCCTATCCTAAAACCTTGCAATCAAGTTGAAAATCACTGCAACCGTGACCCTAAAGTTCACGAAATCGTATTCTTCATTGGCTTGTACTTTCTAGCCCTGGGAACTGGAGGATACCTGCCAAGTTTGCAAAGTTTTGGCGCAGATCAATTTGATGAGAATCATTTAAAGGAAAGAATGCAAAGAATGTCATTTTTTAACTGGTGGGTTTTCGTCGTTTGTACCGGGATCTTGCTTGGTATGACATTGATTGTTTATGTGCAAGACCATCTTGGCTGGGGACTTGCAACTACAATACTAACTGTCATGATGGGTGTTTCTGTGTTAGTGTTCTATTTTGGCAAGCCATTTTATCGGTATAGGAAGCCGCAGGGGAGCCCTTTAATTCCCATTTTTCAGGTCTTGATTGCTGCTCTAATCAAAAGGAAACTTCCCCATCCATCAAGCCCTGACATGTTATATGAGATGTCTGAATCTCATAACCTTCATGGAAGGCTACTATGTCACACAAATAGCCTTAGGTAAAAAAAAAAAAACTTAGTTCTTGACAGAAAGATAAACTGTCCATCATATTAGGTCCACCAAACTGACTAAATTTTTTGTGTTCTTTGTTTTCTTGTCATGTTATTTGCAGATGTCTTGATAAAGCAGCAATAGTGGAAGATAATGCACAGCGGATCAACACCAAGAGACTAGCAACGGTTACCATGGTTGAGGAAACAAAACTTGTATTTAATCTGTTTCCAATATGGCTAACATCTGTGATATTTGGAGTTTGCTTGGCACAGTCTCCAACGTTCTTCATTAAGCAAAGCAGTATGATGAACAGAAAGATAGGAAACGGATATGAAATCCCACCTCCTAGTGTAGGTACTGTTGGTCCGATCACAATGTTACTCGCAGTTGCTCTCTATGAGAAGATACTAATCCCGGCACTAAGAAATGTGAAGGGAGACGAGCGTGGCTTAAAAATTCTTCAGAGAATAGGTATAGGAATGATATTCCCAATCTTGGGGATGGCAATTGCCGCATTGGTGGAGAGAAAAAGATTAGGATTAGCCAAAGAGGAAGTTGAACAAGAAAATCAAACAGGACAAATTCTTCCAATGAGTGTGTTTTGGATACTTCCTCAGTACATAATTTTTGCGATTGCAGATACATTTGCCCTAGTTGGTTTACAAGAGTTCTTTTATGAGCAAGCTCCTGAGTCAATGCGAAGCTTAGGCGTCGCATTTCTATATAGTGCACTTGGAGTTGGCAACTTTGTTAGTGGTTTCATCATATCCATTACAGCAAACATCACTGAGAAGTTAGGAACCAGTTGGTTTGGAAAGGACTTGAACAACAGCCGTTTAGACAAGTTTTATTGGCTCATGACAATTATAAGTGCTCTCAACTTGGGTATGTATGTTTTCTTTGCAAAGAGACAGATGTACAAGAATGTGAAGAATAAAATGTCGGTGGCCAATGACTTGGAAGTTGACAGAGCTCATGCAATGACATAAGATTTTATTTTTATATCCATTTCTCATTGTTTGCATGTGTAAACATTCAGAAAGAGCAAGTTTGAAGCTCTCTCAAAATAACTAGAAAGCAATGGAGTAGCTTTTTTTTTTCATCTAAATTTGACATTCACAATATGAAGTACACAATTTAATTGGTTTGGCTTGTTGATTGTATATCTAAGAATGAAGATTTCTATCGCGTCTTGGCAAGTTACTTCTCCTATAAGATTTTTCATGTGTAACAAAACAAAAACGGAAGCACTTCGGAATCTAACCTATAAAAACAATACTTAAAGAGATAAATTGGACCTCTGATTCATTAAACAATTGATTGTCGAGAACCATTATGTATTTATGTTCATGCACACTGCCAGTTGCTAAGAAAAAAGTAGCAGCGGAGAATCTAGATGGCTTCTTTTTTCTTATCTACTATTCCAACATACATATTAGAGGTATTTTTTTAGTTATCAACAAAAGGCATGGAATTTGACACCTCGTCAGACAAAGCCATCCGTAAGAAAGATATAGTTCTTGAGAACTAATTAAACATCCACATTTTACCCCCAATGTCGACCAATAAAACGATTTGTTCAGTTCAAGCGCAGTTGGATAAGTATTCTTCATTCTAAAACAAGCTTGACACAAAAGTGACTAAAACAAAAGGCAACATTAACGTCTACCTCTCTTTCACTCAATGGTTGAGAATAGTAGCATTTTCATGTCAATATGATAACCCAGAAAGGGATTCTTGGTGTCTCTTTAAACAGTTGACATGGATATTGATATCAATTAGCGGTTTGATACATAGTGTTACAAAGAAGTTTTAGTTCCTAAATGGATTAAATATAGGTAAGCCCCTATGATCACAAGTTGATGATGTTCCAGATTCCATACAGTATCAGATGCAAAGTGGATTGAAAATTTTGATATTACATTGTTGAGATTAAATTTACTCTCTCAGCATGGGCGCCAATTCATTTGTGTTATCTTTTCTTTAAGATGTATTTACAGTAACTTTGGCGAAAGAACATTGAATCCAGTCCTCAGAAATCTAAACTTTAGGAATATATTCAATCATATAAACAAAACATAAGCTAATTGTGTAATCAAACTTCTCTGATTCATTTACCACAAAAGCCAGGAAGATAGAGTTTTGAAATGATTACTAGCTACAACTACTCCCAAAAAAAAACTTCCCAATAAGTAAACAATTTTCAGGACTATAAATAGCCAACCAGATTTATAGACATTCCCATTGCTATTTTCAGAAACAAGGCACAAGAAATCCAAAACATAGAGAGCGGTGAAATGAAAGACAATAATGATCAAGAATCGGGTATATATATGATTTCCTCAGTAGATTACAAAGGGAATACTCCAGCTAGAGCTTCCATCTTTATCATTGCTAAGAACTTCTAGTACTAGTATGTATTAAAAAAATAGGGTATGGTACTATCATTTTCCATCAACACAAAAACCTCTTTAATATGTTTTTTTAAAAAAATAAAAATAAAAATATGTCTATGGGAAAATTAGCGGAGCTCAGTGAAAGAGTGACATACTTCACGGTAGCAGTGGACCTCATCATCTACCTTACCAAAATCTTAAATCAGGAAAATTAAATTTTTTTTTTTTTTTCCTTTAAGAATTGATGTTTGTGCAATGATGTTGCGTTGCCGTCTTCCTTGCCATAATCCACATGACATTCGTGATTGATGTTGCAGCTACTTTCTGTTTGAAGCTATGTCCAATCTTTGATGAATTGAATAGTGGTTCTTGTCTATGAAGCATGTGCAATCTTCCATGAACTTTAGCCATGGGTTTGAAGACGTTTTGCCAAACATTTTGATGACGATGATGGAGGTCTAAAGAGAACTGGTAGTAAATAGTGTAGTTGCTTTTGCTGCCTGAGTCTTGTTTGAAGTTACCTTGGCACTGTTTTAACTAGTTTTTGATGTGTTGGAATGGATGGTGGCTACTTATTAAATAGTGTAGTGCTACTTATTTGAAGTCTACTTGGCACTGGTTTGTTTGTTTGTTTGTTATTTTTTTTTTTAATGTTGGAATGAATGGTTATGTTATTACATATATGTTATTACGTACCAGTTACACAATAGAATGTGCTATTCCCGGTCCTTAATTCCCATTTACCAGGTCTTAATTGTAGTAGCTCTAAGAAGTAGTAGCTTGTCTGATAGGATTAGAAGGAAGGATTATGATACGAAGCTTAGAATAGCTATGCAAAATGAGGCTGAGGCTGCCCCCACAGGCGGGATTGTGGTTGAGGAAACGCACATGTTTTGGACAGCTTGTTCCACTTGCAGGTTGTTGCTTAAGTTTGAGCGGAAGTATTTGGGGCATATCTTGGTTTGCCCTAGTTGTAAGATGAGCTTTGAAGCTGTTGAGGCAGTGGAGGAAGATGCTGGAACAGAGAGACTTCAAAAGGAGAAAGAGGCGGTTGGAGGAAGATGTGAGGAGTAGCGAGAGAATTAGGGCTAGAACCGTGGTCAAGATAAGTAGTGTCGGGGAGATATTGGAGAGGTCAAGAAGGAACGAAGTGCAAGTTAAAGGTAAGAGTAAGAATGATTTGGGGACAGTGGTGGTGGCTTCAAATCATAGACTTGAAATGTGCTTCCCCTTCATTTTCGTTTGGCAGGTATCTTCATTTTCAACACTTTTGGAAACTTTGGCACGTCAATACTAAGAGACTAGCAAGAGTAACCAAAGTTAAGGAGACAAGAAACTTGTGATCCAGTATGGTGGTTTTACTTCTATGATAAAAATTGGAGTTTGTTCAGCACAAGCTTCCACATTCTTTACAACCAAACGACCTAGGAAAATCGAAAACAGATTCCACATTCCCCACCCCCCCCACTTGCTAGTAGTGTTCGTACTGTTACACCCAACTCGGTTTTATTCCTAAGAAGAACCAGAGGAGATAAGCATGGCCTTAACTGATTCATTTTTCTTTTCTTGTGTATGTGATAACTTTAACCGCACACAAGTAGCATTCGATTACTAATATTTATGATAGTATACGTTTCGGACAGCCTTCCGCACAATAACATAAACAATAACAATCCAGAAAACTAAGTTTGAAAGCTCATTTCACACCCTCTATGATTGGTTACCACATTTTGATGTGCTGCTATGCATGTAACATTTCTAAACCGAAAGAGAACGTAACAGAGAAGCTAAACAAAAGCGCGGCCTCTTCATTAGCATAAAAAGCAGACCAAATTAGTCTCGCAATACCTGCAAGTTGAAGTAATAATTCAAAAGGTGTATGAAATCTTGTGCTAATGGATATAATGATATGAAGAAGAGCACTGATCAGTGATTAAAGAGATTTGTTGCGGAGTCCACTGTACATTGTCCAATATAAAACCAAAGCGTGACTTTTTACCTGAAGATCTATCACACCAATATTGTTCAAACAATATCCGCCAGCATCGAGCGAGGCCTCCTATCCAAGCTGTCAAGCTACTAAAACCATATTGGCTATAACTTTCTAAATACAATACCTAAAACAGAGCATAGCCTACAAGACAACATTCCCTCGTAACCGAAATTGGAAGAAAGAAAAGAAGCGGAAAAAAAAAAATAAAAAATCACCATGCAATCCCATGTAACTTCTGTGGTTCATAATAATTGCCGAAGTTGCTGAGTTTCCTTTCTTAGTGATTGGACTTCTTTCATGAGTTCACTCTGGTTTTCCAGGACTACCTTCATTGCGCTTGACATTTCCATCTGCAGAATAGCAGCAAGATTCAGTAAAATTATTTTCAAAGTACTCTTCTGAAGTAGACAACAGCTCACCTCTTGCAAATGAAACTGTCTTAAAATTTCAATGTGAAGATTCCTCATGTCTTCATGAATGGATTTCTGAAATGAGGAAAGAGTCTCCTCAAGGGTACGTTGGAAAAGCTGGAGGGTGAAGGAACTTCCCTGCTGCATGTCAGGTTGTCCTGAAGGTCTCTGCGATTGTATAACCCCACCCTGCAACAAAGTTTAGTTTTCAACTATGAGTTTTTTTATAAAAAAAAAGTACACAGAGCAAAATTTACTGCCTTTTGTCACGAGATTATTATCAAGCAGCTTAAATATGATAAAACGAACTACCCATTACAAATGTTATTTGATGAGATGCCTCAAATGCGATGAAGCCCATCCATTAAAAACATTCAGGATGTAATGAAGGAAAAATTGAAAAAGCTCTTTCACCCTCCTTACATTCATGGATGGGAGAGTGCCAGAATCTGTAGTAGGTAATCGGTCCGTCCTTGATAAATAACTATTCAAAAGCTCTTCCCTTGTCTCAGCTCCTGTTTTCTTTATCTTTGGAGATCCTACTGAAAAGGATGTTCCATCGGCAAATGACGGAGTGGTGCTTATCCTTTCAGCATAGCTGGAAAACCTCCGCGGATGGGACAATGCAGTACCAAGAGAATCAAGATTCGTTTGACCTGAACTGCTTTTTGTAGTAACCGAAAGAGAAGAACTAAAGGACGAAAGCTCCGAAGATCCAACAGAAGCTTCAATATTAGATGTTTCTCTGACGCATAAATTTGCTAAGCTTAGGCTTGAACTTGTTAGGGAGCCCAAACTCTGACTATCTTGTAATCCCGAAAACATTGATCCCGATGTGTAACTAGCAAAACGGGAAGGTAGGTTGACTGAGTGCCGGAGAGTTAATTTTTCGGTTAGTTTCTCACCACCCCAAGCTTCCGGGGGAGTTATTGAGGAAGCATCAGTACCTCTAGAAGTTCCAGTAGGGGTCGACAGAAAGGATGAAAGCGTATCATCCTGCAAGATAGAAGGACCTCAGATTATAACATGTTTTTTGCTGCCAACCAATGATATGTGTGTAAAATAAGCATTTATGGTACTATATCAGCCACATACATTAAGAAGATCCCAAAGACAAAATCTTGTTTGCAACATGGTCATCAAATTTAACATAAAGGGTTAGAGAGAGAGAGAGAGAGAGAGAGAGAGAGAGAGAGAGAGAGAGAGAGAGAGAGAGAGAGAACTGCCATTGTATGCCCAAGGAGGGCATTTATTGATCTCTTTCAGAACAGAGATGCGTGCTAGTTGCACACAATCTGGTGGTTTTCACTTGTTCAAACTTAAAAAGAGGAAGAATCTCTCAAGATAGAAAACTAAATTCAATCTGAACTTTCATGATATGAATTTATCCCAACACATAAGACTTTGAAAAATTATATTCTAGTGATGTAACAAGCCAAAAAAGGGCATGTCATTAAAACTGTAACCACTTTCATCATTTCAGATCATCATATTAGCAAACCTACACATTATGAACAGAAAAGATTTGAGATGCACAGTAAGACCTGTTTCGATGTTGAAGAAGATTTCCAGTCAAAAATTGATTGTATGTCACTGCCCCCATCCTCTGAGAGAGGAAACCTCCTAGAAGAAGGGAATGGAAGTTTCTTATCATGATCCCAGAACTTATCAAGTGATGGAGTAATGGGCTGAACGTCAACTATCGGAGAAAACACCTCCATATCATCCTTAATATTATTACCACGAGGTGCATGCAATCTAGCCAAAGCTCCTCCTGTCCATAATCCACTTCTGACAGGAGTTTCCTCCTCTGATAAACCCGGGGTGCTGGATGTAGAGACACCACTGCCTCCCAGAATTGAAAATGAGTCGGTTGAAGAACCCAACCGACCAGAACTTCGGGGCAATGAACCCGTTGTTGATACTGAAGCACTAGTTGGTGCAGAACGGAGGGGGTCAGGCATAAGAACCGAGTCCTCCAGAGCACCACCCAGAAGTACAGTTTCAGGAGTTGAACTCTTCTCGTTAACGATTACAGGTTTTGATCTTTGCCAGCATAGGTTGGTGACAGCCTTTAGACAATTGAATTACACTGTATGTCATAAGTTTTAATACTAGCAACAAAATACTGTGAAACTTAATTTATAAAATGTAAAGAGTAAGCATGTAGATCCAATTAACAAAAACTATAAACCTCCATATGCAAGCATGTTGCTATATCAAGTGTTCTTCTGTTTACAATTTCTAAGCAACTGATGCGATTCTGTTACACCCTGTAATTTGTAAAGTAACTTCCCAGTCACAACTCCTCATTCTAACAAGGACCACTTTTTGGCAATTGGTAATCACCATGGTAAAACTTTCTTAATCCATTCCTTTGGTTGGGCGGGCATACTTACAATATCATGAGCATATCCCTATATGAATGACGAATAATTGAACAATGTAAACCACCCAGACAATTGACAAAAAGAATTTGATTGATTTGTCAAAAAAATTCCTTTGCCATGAATGCTGCATACACATTGCTTAGCAACAGTTTCGTAGTAATTTTCCAGATCAAGTAAAACCAAACAGATAGGCCATAGATCAGCCACAGGCCCACATAGTCCACGGGATACTACACATCAGATAAAATGGTGAGAGAACTAACCTCCCCAGAAGCGCGGAGAACTGTCAAGGGCTGAGGTTTTCCACGAACATCATAGAACACCACATAGCCATTGCTCGTTCCAGCTGCTAATTTTGATCCATCATCCGTGAATGAAATTGAGGAAAAAGGCGCTTCATAAGGAATGCAACATGAGGGCCTTCTGGAACCGGTGTCAAATACATATAATTTTTTGTCCATACCAACAGTGGCAATTACCTATCGTAAATAAACCAGAATAACTTTAAGCCATCAAAATTTAATAAATTGTGAGCTTTATTTAATTTTTACTATTTCAAAATATCGTACGCGCGCATTACACATGGTAAGAAGTTACCTTGTCGTTTGATGGTGAAAAACCAACACCAGAGGTTGGGGCAGAATGTTGCTTCAACCAGGACATCTGTGATTTCCATAAAAGTCACCTTTTGTTATATAAAGCGCAAAGTCAGGGTTACCAAGGAGCAGAAGAGAACAAAACGAAAGACAAAAGCATAATCATGTTCAAAGAGGAAAAGTTACACACATTCCAATTTGCATATAATTTCATGACGAGATTGTATACCGATGAAATATTACATTTAACACAAGAAAGAAAACCACCACCACCAATAACAATAACAAGCCTTTATCCCACTATGCAGGGCCGGTTATACAGATCATGTTAGTTTCAAGGTCAATCAACACACATATCTTCATTCAAATTTGAATATTTCAGGTCACCTGTAATAGTTCCTTTTGAAGTCCTGTTAGGTCTACCAATACCCCTTTTAATTTGAGATAGTGATTCTATAGCTCCTACCCATCTGGGACTTGGGGCATCTTTAAGCGTGATTATGCATTTTCTCATCTATTCATGCTACTAAACATTATTCCTTAGACATTCATTTCTAATATTATCTAGTCTAGTATGCTCACACATCCATCTGAACATTCTCAACTCAGGTAACCGCCATTTTTATTCATTTTCATATTTAGAGGTCCAACACTCTTATCCGAAAAGCATCGCTGGTTGCACAGAAATTCTATGTCACATTTAATCATCAAAATAAATTAAATCATAAAATGAAAACCTTTGGATTTCGACCAGTCGTATCCCATAAGTGTACGGATCCATCATCGCCTGCTGTCACCAAAAGGTGCCTGCTTATCCTAGAATAATCAAGCACTCTCAGAACCTGGTTTTAGAATTATCAGTATCAGAAACAAATATAAATAATTACTAAAAAGAACATTTCAATATTGAATTACATCATTGCAAAACAAAAAATTATAACAGAGAATGCAACCTGTTTATTTGGATCCTTTAGTTCAGCAGCCTTTGCACCAGAGGCAAGATTGTGCAGCATAAGATCCCCATTAAGACTGATTGATGCTAGATGCTCGTCTTTACAATTGTAAACTACACTAGTTATAGTATCAGTATGGCCTTTGAGCCATTTAATACATCGTTTGCGCTGCAAATCCCATATCCTTACAACTTGACCATCCCCCCCTGAACAAATATATTTGGAAGCTTTGTTGCTAAAATTGATTGAATATATTTCCTGTGAGAAAAAGAACAATATTATTAAGAGTACTATTTGAATGGCATTTCAGTTGACAAATAATGTAGGTGCCAGTTGAAAACCAATTTATAACCATTAGTAGAGAGAATGGCTATTGTTCCAAAATTAAAAACCGAAAACAGGTCATAGTTCTGACAACATAAGGAAATATTTATCCTTCATCACCAAAAGCTCACATGTAAGCAAGGAAAACTTATCATTAAACTCACTTTCAAAACTTATTATCGAATATGTAGTCAAGTTATGCAGTCCAATTGCCAGAAGTATATAGATTGGCATGATTTGATCACAAAATGAACCTAATTCTACTGATTTGCTCATTTTCCAATGAGACCCTAGCTCAAACCTAATTTACCAGATACATGAAACTAAAAGTGTGAAAAGGAAAATTTCCTCCCCGCCGGAGCTTACTTAGAAAGCAAAAGGGAAACAGTAGAAGTAGCCCAGAAAAACAAACTCCCCAATCGTTTGCCGAACTATATTATAAATGTAATAGCAAATTCAAAAAGTCCATACAGGAGCATAACATACCTCAATATCGTCACCATTACCACTCCCTGCCGCAGGAATAGTCCCCAAGCTTTGCCCGTTTTTCCCCCACAGAGATATTTTCCGATCCTGCCCAGCACTAGCCACTACCAAATCTGTCACAGTAAAGGAAACAAACTCATGAGCTCTAGCTCATGCAATTCAAACACCATAAAATACAAATTGACGAATACAAAATCGAACCGCCCAGAAAATACAGATTAACAATTACGTCTAAGCAGGAGCGAAGAATGAGTAAACTAACTGGTATGGTTCCACTTGACAGAGTGGACTTTAGAACCAGGAGAAGGAGTATAGCTGAGAACACAGGGATCTCGGGGGTCCAAGGAGACGTCGACGTCGAATAACTTGATGGTGTCGCCGCAGCTCGCAGCCAAAAGGGTTTTCATTGAATCCGTCGAATTCATTGCAAAAGAATTGCTTCGAAATGTAAGGATAATTCAACCAATAACAGCCGAAATTGTTAAGTGCAAGCAAAATCAGGTGAACCTGGGGATGCTCAGGCGAAGTGAAAGTGGAAAGAAGAGCAGTAGCGGCGGAGATAGCGACGGTGGTGGTGGTGGTGGTGGTGGGGGGTGATGATCATCTCTGGGTAATCCTTGTTTCCTTTTTGAGTTGGTGTATTTCCGTAATGTATTTTGGGGGTTTTTTGATTTTTTTTGAAAACCCTACTACACTCTGAAACAGAGAAAGAGAAAGAGATGGGGACGGAAATTCAAAAAAGGAGTTTGGGCCATTAAAGTGGGCGCTCTCTCTCTCTCTTTTGTTACAATTTAAATTAAATTACAGTTTTTCCCTTTTTTTCGTTTGAAATGAAAAAGAAATCCGAAATATACTAACAAAACGAGGTGCGTGTCTGTGTGAGAGAGAAAGAAGGTGGAGTGGGGAGTGTTGGGAAAGAAAACTGGAAAGGGAGGGAATTTAGTTAGTAGTATAATTTTACAACTTGGAGAAAAGAAAGAAATTACAGTGCTGATTTGAGTGAGTCTGTGTGGACTTGAAATTAGCAACAAATAGCACTATATGAGGGCTCTATGGAGCTTGATTAACTACCACCCCTTCAACTTGCATCTCTTTATTACTTACTGGGTATCAAATTGGTTCGGATTCAATTGATTCCAAGTCCCCCCGCTTCTGTTTAATCATAAGAGCAAATAAGTAACGCATAAACATGCATACTTGAAGTTGGCAGGATAGACACAGTTTGAAGGATCTGGATTCATTGGAGTGAAAGACTAACAAGTTTATCTTCGCGTCACAGTCTCAACAAAGAGGATTTTCAAACACATTTGGAGCTTGTCTTTACATTCAAAGGACTATGCTGCACAAGTTAAGCAGCACTCCCTCCGTTTTTTTTCCTTCAAGGAACAAATTCCTATCTTTGAAACTTGAAAAGCTTTAATGACACAAATACCAACTGAATAAACTCTGACATCCCTTTCCATCCTCCTTCTCAGTTGAGACTCATTCATAACAAAGCTCAATTCATCCATCAAGAATCTCACTGCTGACAACAGAAATCACCCCCTCCCAACTCCCAAGTATCATCTCATCACCCATCATTGAGGCTTTATCAATAAGCATTAATGCCATAAATATAACTTCTAGTAAGAAACTGAAATAATCTAAAACACTCACTACTACACAGTCACAAAGCTGACTAAACTGAAAAAAATTCCCAGTAATGATTAGTTTCTGGATAGAATGCGGGCTTCTCACCTCCAATGACAATGATGTTAAATCACAAACATAATTCAAATTGCAACTATATGTACATGATGAAGCATTTTATCGCTGAAGATGTCAAGAGCCATGAGAAAATTTGTAACTATGCCACTATAAGCAGCATCCCCCCAAAATCCCTCCCTCCGTTCTGGTAACCCGACATAAAAGTTAACCGCTTATGTCCACACCAGCCCAATGTAACCTTTGTGCCTCGGTTTGATAGATTCAGCAAAGCCGTACAGCTCTTGTACTTGAAAGGGAAACACCTGCAAGACAAAGGAGTTGTCAATCACAGTTGCGGATGGGTGATAAACCAGCAATTTGAATTAACAATTTACTGGGGGGAAAAAATGAATTAGCAGTTTAACCCAGCCGCCCCCCCCCAAAACCCCAAAAAAAATGAATTAACAGGAGAAAATCAAGACTAGCAATATTAAATTGCAATGATCACGGACACCTTTTCATCACAAAGGAAAGAGGGGCAGTAGTAGATTAGCCGTACATTCCAGAACTTTTCATCACAATCAGGATCAACAAAATTAAAAACAAAACAGAGAACAATGCAGAGCCATGTCAAGTAGAAAAGCAAAATATCCAGTGAGAATTCAAAAGATATGTTCCGGATCACTTGTGCTGCATGTGACAATTCATGTTATTTTGTCCACAAATTCCTCATTGAGTACAATTGACCTTCGACTAGGAATGAAGAAGAACAATAATGACAAACTCCCAAGTTTTCCTCCCAGTGTATCTTCCCCATGTCGGCTACATCTAGCAACTAAATAACTGAAAGGAGAAAACAGAAAAATCTAACACTGAGATGCAGAATTAAGAGAGTAATCATTAACAGGAAACAAGAACCATGACAAATTTTAGAAGAAATTGCTTGACACAGACCTATGAATGAGAAACAGCAGTCGACTTGTCACATTTTTGTAGACATCACAATAATTTATTCTTTTTCTCTGCTGGTTTCAGAATTTGGAAAGAACACATCAAGTTTTCATCAACACTCATCATTGCCCCAGCATTGTCAAATTCTCCACAATAATTAGGGGCCGAAAAAATGGTGACCAGTTTTCTATCAGCAAAAAATTCATACCCATCTTCCACAACCTGCACCAGAAGCAGATTGATTTAGAGACCAGCAGCTGAGTTCAAGACGAACAACAGTGTCATCAAAAAAGAAAATGGAAGGAAGAATGGAAGTGTGACCTGATGGGCACGGCAGACAAGATCTAAATCATGCTTTGTCAAAATCTCAGACACCTTATCCGGCCCAAATGTATATGAAACTCCCCTGTCATTCATCCCCCACCCCTTCACATCTTTACCGGGATCTGACCAAAGTAAATCACAAAGCAAGCCAGTATCCGGGATAGCTGTTGGTCGGGGTAAATTCCTAATCTGATCCAAATGTGAAAGATCAGGAGAGAGGCCGCCGTGCATGCACAATATCTTGTCATCAATCAGTGCAGCAACAGGAAGACAATTGAAACACTCTGTAAAGGCTTTCCACAGCCTAACATTGAAACGGCGTTTACATTCATCATAAAATCCATATATTCTGTTGATAGAGGCACATTCATGGTTTCCTCTCAGAAGGAAAAAATTTTCAGGAAATTTGATCTTATAGGCAAGCAAAAGGCATATTGTTTCAAGACTCTGCTTGCCACGATCCACATAGTCACCCAGAAACAGATAATTGGATTTAGGAGGAAAACCACCATACTCAAAAAGACGTAACAGATCACTATATTGTCCATGAATGTCACCTGATAACAAAAGGTGAATAGATAGTTATTACTCGATGTTACACTATCCAGAAGAGGAAGACCAAATCTGTTAACATTGCAAACTCAGGCATGCAAATACACATAGTTTCAGGAGGATCAAAACACAACTCAAACTTAACTCAAAAGTTGGATATCAATGTGCTTTCCTCAATTGTCTCTCCTGTAGAGTTGAATAGTAAATTGCTATGTACATGGAGTTAAACAATAACAATTTTCGACGCAATCCCTTGCTTTATTAACCATACCTAAACATACAAAAGGCTGTCAACAAGAAGAGAGACAACTGCTTCCATCTATTCTGCAGTAATCTGATGTGTACTGGTTAGGAAGACACTTTAAATTGAATAGTTCATTCATTAAACTGAATGCCAACTAATCAATGATACAGGCAACAAACTTGAACAGTTCTTACGAACTGAGAGAAAAAGAAACGATAAGGTATTAGATGAGCAACTTAAGCATCTTAACTCATAAATTGTATTGGGTTACTCACTACTACATGAGGGGGAACGAAATGGGTATTTACAGTCAAATTCAGAACATCCGAGTATATGTCTGCCCCTTTTTTGTGGTTTACATTAAGCCATCCACAACCAAAAAATGCTATCACTCTCTCATAAAGTATATGAGTGGAGATTAACTGTCAGCTCATTTCGGAAATCCTTTATTATATAAAATATTGACAAAAAAAAATGGCAAGCAGGAAAACCACCTCAGGTGCCAACACATCCGTTTAAGATCAGTTAGAAGAGCTCCTCATCAAAGTTCCCTGATTGAAGCATTTGTACCACTATTTTCAGAATGTGGATTAAGGATTTTATTTTTAGTTTCATCTGCATTTGGTATGTTTGATTTCCAAAAGCCGATCACCACAAAGAGAGGTACAGACTAAAAATCAAACCATGACATAAATGAAACACATTCAACAGACCATTACGAAGAAACCCGTTCTAATTCAATAGGGAACAACCATATTAGGCCAACAAAGAAAATGGATTAAACGGATGCAAAACTGTATATTAACTACTAAGAGAATCAAAGGCCACAAACTTTATCTGAAAAACCTACACTAAGCACATTCGGAAACTACATACATGATGATAAAAGCATCTGACTACAAAATAAAGCCCAAAGAATACCAATGACAGCAAAAACACGGCAAAAGTAGAAGAAAAGAGGAGCAGACTGTACCGCAAATCTTGATAGGGGCTTCCAATTCGAGAAGATTAGGTTGTTTCATGAAAATATCACGGGAAACAACACAAAGCTGCTTGATTTCCGCCTCCGAAAGCTGCACCAACTTCCCAGGCTTGGAGGATCGAACTTCAACCAGTCTCTCAATAATCCTATCCAGCGCAGCAGGTTCCATGAGTACAACTCCTTGCTTTAGGTTATGATTTCCTCCCGTTATATAGAATCAGTAAACCTAAAGACCATCAATTCTCACACCCCTTTAACGGATTCAGCCTCCTGGGGGTGCTTTCACCTCCAGTCCCAAGTTTGAAACTTTCCGTTGCTGATTCTGGGACGATCTCTTTAAATTATTCTCTGGGTCTACTCAACTTTTTGGGAGGAGAAAAGTTGGAAACTTGGACGGAGCCCGGAAGGGTATTCTGGGGTTCAAGTTGAGGCGAGATGATGTGATAAAGTTTACTAGTAGTGTATAGTAGTATTTTTTCCCTTTAAAATTAAATTCTAGGTAAAAGGAAAGGATCGAATAAAGAATGACAAAATTGGAAAGGGCGAAAAAAAAGAACAGGGCTTTTTTTTTTGTTATTGATTTGTGAGAGCCATTTTTAACTTTGAGGATCGTGTAAAGAATGAGTGCAGAGAGACGGACGGCTGCAATCTCCAATGTGGTGAGTGAGTGGACTCAGGGGAGCGGAAAAGAAGACTGGTAAAAGAGGAGGAATATAGAAGAGGAGGAAGCTGGAGGTGGGGCCCCCCCTGGTGCTGACCTAGTTGAGTGTTTGTTTGTGAGCCCCACCTACCTGGTTTTGCTGACTCCTCTTCCCACTTTTACTCATCACTCGTCACTTCATAATTCGTATGACCTCTGCCCATGTCCTCTATTTTTTGACATTATTACACATTGAGTACTCAACGAAAATATCATTTCGAGTTGAGTAAATTCTGATGAAAGGTTGCCATATACTTTGTCGGACGTTGGTCGGTGGTTTATTAACATATTGGTTGTTAGTTTTGTGAATATGTAATTTCAATTTTTTTTTCTTTTCTCATTCAAGTTTTCAGGTTTCGAATTAATGATTTTTGATAATTAAAAGTAATTGACTTCTTCTAATTAAAAGAAAAATCACGGTAAACCATTTTATTTGTTCATGTCTATCTTTTTGTTAGAAGATGTGTATTAAAGTGTAATATGTCACACATTGTCACCGTGAAAAGAAGTGACTCAGTATGTAAATTCCAAAGGTTACCCCACTCATTACCAATTAGTTTTGAGATGGGAGCCCAAAGTATACTTTGACACAAAATCAGAGCGTGCTGGGCCTGTGGTGGAGTTTTGGGCCGGAGGTGGTCTGTGGTGATTTTATATCGACCAACCTGAACGTTGACTCGTGGGCTTGTTGTGGACTAACCCAACGATATAACTGGTTTTCTCCCACTAGAGCGTTGACTAGTGGGCTTGTTGTGGACCGACCCAGCGGTATAACTGGTTTTCTCCCACTAGAGCGTTGACTCGTGGGCTTTTCTATTCTTGTCTTGATCCAAGTTCATTGAACAAAAAGTTCAAATACCCATTAGACTTGAGAGAGGGTGTTAAAGTGTAATCTGTCCCACGTCGCCACCGTGAAGAGAAGTAACTCAGTATATACCTTCTAAAGGTCACCCTACTCATTGCCAATTAGTTTTGAGATGGGAGACCAAAATACTTATATACTTTGACAATGTGACTTAATAAATTTGGGGAATCAATGGTTCTATTTCATTAGAATTTAAAATGTTGTTCTCCTTAAATCATTAAGATATTGTTGCAATTCAATTAATCATTTGATATTTGTGAGTTACAAATATAATCATAATGGCTGTCATGATATGGATCCTACATTCATTTCAACATACGTCGTAATTTGCACTAAAGGTCAAAATTTTTATGTTCATGACAATAAATGATCTAAATTCTTTCTATAAAAAAGAATATGTTTCTTGGATCCCACAGTACATTTCGTTCGTTATTAGATATTCTTTTGGTCATAATATAATTATTTAATATCTATATTGTTATTTTAAATATAATTTATACTAGAAATAAAAATCTAAATTGGACAATTATTTGGAAATGAAAGAGAGTAATGTAAAGTTGGGATGATTCTTGAATTCATTCACAATCATAAAGGGTGCTCATTCCTTTTCAAAACAAAAAAAAAAGGCGCTAATTAGGGAAATGATGTATGATTACCAACGGGCCAAATTATGGGCATTAACAAACTGGGTAAAGTTTTTTATTGTGGCCCACGGCTCAAACAAACCTCCATTCAAATTCGGCCTACCCTCCTCCTAGACAGAGGCCTAAAGCCTCATCAACTAAAACTACTTTTTTCAACAAAATCATAGTTTAGTCCTTAGTGTGAGCTCCAACCCCATGAAGAAGAAAGTAATGTACATGCAAAAATCACTCATTCTATATCTAGTATTGTTATGGGATGGATGAAGTATATGATTTAAAATTGAATCATAATAGTACCCCTTTTACCAAAAAAAAAAAATAAAAATTAATCGTAATAACATCAACCAACAAATACTACTCAATCCCTCCAACCAAAAAAAAAAAAAAAATTGCTACTCACAAGTACACGCCACTTTGTAGAGAGGTTTTGACACATTGGCTTACAAAGTAATGTACTGTAATTTTTACTGAATTAATGCAATCCAACTTGAGGAAGGTGAGACTTTAATATCCTCTATAATTGGTGAGGCTTTACCATTGCAAAATCCATTTCAAGGTACCCAATTCTACCCGCATGCGTAATGTGATCATCCCTTCATTTACCCCATCCTCACATTTTATCTTTGAATAAAAATCACAAAAATAATTCATTTGGTATACTATTTCAATTCAACAATTGTAAACATTTTTTATTTTGCGACAGGAAAGCAAATAAAATTTGCTGGTTGAACATTTCCATGAGAAAAATAAAGCCGGAAAAGATCAAATATTCCGGACAAAGTAGAAAGGGAGGAGCAGGAGATGGAGCGGGCCGTCCAATGACCCATGATTTTATCATCATCACTCTTTTCCCCCATAAACTGAATATACTCATTTCTCTCTATCTTCTTCATAGCTAAAAAGTGAAAAACGCTTCTACTTATCTGCATGCGGGTAATGTTTCTTTATTCCCTTTTCGCTTACTCCTTCCTTTAAACTTTTTTATGCATATTTCTGTTTCTACCTTCAATTCCTTTAAACTCTTTTTTTTTTTTTTTTAAATTATGAATTTACATCACACACTCTGAGGACCGAATTATGTATGTAACTATACGCCATACGGGATATTAATTCGTTCCAAAATCACCCCAACAACGATAATCAAATCAAGGGGCCGGCTAGAAACTAATAACTCTGTTTCTGAAATGGAAGACCAATACCTAGACCATGTCACTTTCATGTATCATATATTGCGGCCATATATGGAGAAAGAATTAATACTGCTGCGTATCTTTTTTTCTTCTCCCCCCCCTTTTGTCCAGCTCCGCTAGTTGTCACACCATAAGATTGCAAATTTCACTTTTTTCTTGGACCTGGCTAACGGCTAAGTACTTTTTTTTTTTTTTCTATATTTCTTTATACATGTTCAGCTTTTTTGATGGGGAAAGCGACCTATTATGCTTGCAACTGAATGTCATGCACTAAACAACTAAATAGATAGATAGATAGGTCGACCCTTTTAAAGAATGGATCTAATTTCGACACAAACATTACGATTATTTATGTGTATATTCTCCAATTAATGGTTGAGTTTCAGAATAACCATCTTGCGTCTTTGCCAGCCTAAAAGGAAGAGGAACAAAAAAGAGTACTTATTCTTCTGCACGATTTAGCTTAGCTTAGCCCCGTTTTTGCCGGCTTTTTGGGGCATAAAAACATCCCTGGATCAGATACTCTTCTTAATTCCATGGAAATTAATTACTCTTTATTATATTTGGTGGAAAGTGGACTACTCTAAACATGTGTCAATTACCTAGTATTAATTCTTCGGTTTCCACCAGTATCAGCTTTGTGAGTTGACGATTTACGATCGAGAATTCCCAGAAATGAACGTTTCTTAAGGAAAACAGATGCCAATTCAGACCTGTTTGGGAAACCTAGCTATGATGGAAAAAAATAAATTAGCATTTGACAATGCTGCCATACGTTTTAAGCCGTTGGTTTTCTTTCAGTGTGAGTGATACTCTTTTGACTTTGGCATGCGAATATAATCAGTTGCAAATCTTAACTTGATAAGTACTTTGGAATTTTGATCATGAACCCCGTCGAACATCCAATTCCAAGGTTGACTATTATATGTATAAACTTGTATTGAATTTTATGCGATGCTTTTATAGTGTTAAAAAAAAAAACACGTTACATTATATGTGTATTACTTCACAACTTGGCGGGAGAGTCATGCCGTTAAACAATTGTTTCATACAACTCACCCAAGTTGTGATGCAAATTGGGGTTGAAGATTTCCAAATTGTACATATATAAGCAAATTGTACTGTTTTGTTGCTTACAATAGATGCTAATTAATCTCTGACGACCGGTTAGTTGGTGACAAAACTACATATATGCAGTATGTTCCCAAAGTCGTCATGAAACCATCTGTCTCTCGAAAATAATTTACATTTAAATTGTGAAATTTATACTGAGAAAGTAATATAAATTTCAACCATTTACTATATCGTTTTAAATTCCTTATATCCTAAAAACATGATCCATTTCATTACCTTGTTTTGGTTATACAAACTGGAATTATTTGTCTTTGGCGCAGCGAGAGTACTTAAAATTTTTTCATGGAGAAGGAAACTGTATAGTAAGTAATTGCGAAGGGGACAACTGTTCATTCCCTAAAGCAGAGACATTAGCTTTATGTAGCCATGCAAATTTAATTGGCACCTTTCTAATCTTTTGTTGAGCTACTGACAATTAACCACTTTCCAACACAAAAACAATCCCTTACTTTTCTTTTTTCCATACAAAAAGAGGGCAGCATTAGTTTCTTAACTGTGATCAGATCTCTGCATGACGTTTTCTCTTCATTTATTTTATAGCAACCTCAAATAAACCTCTAATGTGGTTGGCCACTGCTGCACATAATCTTTAAAAATGTACTCTTTCATGACTTAGTTTTGATGTTGAACATTTGAGGCTAAAGAAATGCATGATTATAATTATTACTAAAAAAAAAGCATTTTGAGGAAAACATTAAGGCTATTATTCAGGAGCAAAAGAAAAAAAAAAAACCCTTTAATCGAGCCTATAAAGCTAGAAAACTCTTTAAGATATGGATAAATTTGCAGCAGCAGAATTGCCACGTGATGCATAGATATTAAAGTACAATTGACCCGTAAAAAATAAAAATAAACATAAAAAAAATTCCCTTATACCTTACATGACACATTTGTTTTTCCATTGTTCTCCATATTTTTCTTCTTCCTTCTTCTTCTTCAAGATGATGGAGAAAGCTGAATGAAATGTGCAAGGGGTAATGATGGATCAAAATCATTCCCTGCTGTAATAATTGGCTCATTATTGGAAGTTTCAGGCAATGAATAATAGTATATTGTCCCTTGCAATGTGCACGGAGCTGCATCTTGCATGTGAAGAAATTTTAGGAACGCAATGATCCAGGCTATGTACTTGCAGGTTACATTTCCACAACTCCCTTTTTACCTTCTTCCTTTCTTATAGAGCGGGCATGTTTGATAACTTGAATTATTGTTTAAAATTATTGGTTTAAGTGATTTTCAAAATAAATACGTTTGATAACCAAAAAGTGATTCACTTATTTGATTAAGTATTGCTTAAATTCCAGTACAAATTTTAAATAGTAAAATCTAGCTTAATGCTTATTGCTAATTACTCTCATCTTTTTTTTTATTCTTTATAATTAAATTTCAATATTATCCATGAATATTTTATTATTCAATACACTAATTAAATATTTTTTAATATTTTAATTTTCATTTTGATTAAATAAAGTCTCGTTATTTTCACCCATAAAAATCTTAATTTATTTCATACATATGTGTTTGGTTTTTTCTCTTTTAATTTATTTTCAAAGATATAAAAATTTAATACTTTATAATTTGGCTCATTCATTTTTATTAAGAAAAATGACATGCACATTTTAGTTTGCATTTTACAATATATAATAATTTTATAGTATGTATTTTATGAATAATGAACATAATTACTGCATAGTTAGGGAAAAAGTTTATAATAAAGAAATTTTAAAAATTATAAAAAGATAAATTAGTAAAATTTACACAATTCAGCATTCATATTGGTATTTTTATCAAACAAGAATAGTTCATTAAGCATTTTGTTTCAGACATTAAAATTTAAAAGTTAAGCATTCAGAGTTAAGCATTCAACATTTCTATTTCAGCATTAAGTATTCAGAATTAAGCACTAATTTTTATCAAACAGGCCCTAGATATACACTTCCAGTTTAATTTTTAATTTTTTGTTCAAATTATACTAAAAATAAAAATTTAAATTAGACAATAATTCTAGAACATCTGTTGCCAAAAGTAAAACCATAGGTAGAACACAACTCAGTCGCTATTTGTTCATCATCTAAGGTTTGGCTGTTTATTTTTTTATTATTATCTCGGTCTCCTAAAAAAATAGTCAACATTAAGTTCTGAAATTTATACTAAAAACTTAATTTATTATTTTTTTCCGGACAGAAGCAGTATTAACAAAAAAACTCACTCTATTTCAAAATAATTGTCCAGTTTGAACTAAAATTGAAAATGCAAACTGGACAATAATTTGGGAACGAGGTGAGTACCTGAGAAGGGTATCCGTTGATGGCAATTAAAGTGATTAGCACAGCATGAAACGTTTTCCCTGAGGCCAACTTCTACTTTTTAGTGTTTTATGCCCGGCAAATTCAAATGCTGCAACAGTACGTAATAGAAACAAATCAAAAGAGAGAAATTCCTTTCAAGTTGTAATCAATCCTGTCACCAGTTCCTTCATCTCAAGTCTGAATGCTCCTGTAACTCAATATCAAGCTTTGATTTGTTGCTGAGCTCTCACTCAAGCTCTCATTCTCAGCCGTCCAAAACTGCCGTAAAAATGTTCGTAGTAGGATTTAAAAGACAGATTTTTATGAAAAGCTTTTCCCTTTCCCCTCCCATCTTCCCTTTCCATCAAACATCCGCCTCAGCAGATTCTCCCCCCATTTTCATTTTCTCCTTTTTTTTTTCTCTCTTCATTGCCAATTTCAAGCCAAGGATCTCTTTCCCCTCTCTCAACAGATTCTTCACTTTTCTTTCTCTCAAAACTCAAGCTTTATCAATGAGAAGATGCCTTTGTTCCTTTCTCTTCTCTCTCTTTTCTTTCTCTTTCTCATCTCCCCTGTCCTCTCCTCTGTTCCGTCCCTTTTTCCTCCACATTCTTCCCCTTCTTTCTCTCTCTCTCTGTCCTTTTCAATTTGGGCTTCGCTTTTCAAGTTTCAACTCCTCGAAAACCCGCAAAGTCTTCTTCTATACATACGTTTTCCAATCGCACTCTGACCCATGTCTTCTTCTTCTTCCAGCACCAACCATCTCTCTCAACCCTGCATATATGGTATGGATTTGTTGTTGGACTCTGTTTTTCTTATTCTGTTTTTTTTTCCTGGTTTTTTAGCTTCTGCCCACTTGAGTGATTTTGTTTAGACATTCATAAAGATCGAAACTTTGTGGGGTTGATGTAATTGTGGGGGTTTAAGCAGGGCACTTTGTTTCTTCACACGCAGAGAGAAAATCCAAGTTTATGAAATGGCTGGGCAAGCTTTTTAATAAAGGCAGTTCCAGTAGAGGTGTTACGGGCGGAAATCATCAACCGCAGTTTCTCGGAGACGAAAATATGGTTTGGCGGGCTCCAGTTCGATCCTTGGTAATTTCTGCACTTAATTTATAAGTTTTTTGCAGTTCACTTCGAAGGTTGTATACTAAATTGATTTATCTTCTAAAGCTGTTTCTGTACTATTATTATCCCAATTATGCATGTCCTTCTATTAAAAATTCTGTCTCTGGGCTTCTCTAATTCTTTTTGAGTGACACAATTGCACGTAGATTTAGGTGCATGTACAAAGAGAATCAGCATCATGCTTCTTAGTTGATCCCTGCTTTTTTAAAATCCCCCGGCTGAAACATACATCTTACCATTCCCTTGATTTTTCCCATCACTTAAACAAGTGAAAGGAGGAAGAAACTGGGGATTTGCAAAGTGTCAGCTGGAAAAATGTCTTATCTTTCACAAAATCGAAGAATCAAGGAAAGAAATTCTAATTTAGTAGTGAAAGAGACCACCCTGAATGACATACTCTGTTTTTGCTGTTTCCGGGAACTGCTAAAATTTATGTCATTTGAAGATGTCATATGAGACTCTTAATCCCGTATCACTGGTTGTTTGAAATTGAAAAGTAGTATAATTGTTGTCAACTTATATCAGGATGATCGCTCCCGAGCAAAAGAGAAAGAAGAATTAGACCGGGCAATTGCACTTTCTCTAGCTGAAGACTTAAAGAGGCCACAACCACAAGGTAATATAGCGCGCTCATTTTCTCTGTTTTGAAGAGTGATCACAAATGATAATGCTATTCTTTCATCTACATTGTAATGAAAAAAAAATCTAAGAAGTACAAGTTGCAGGATATCGATGGCGATCGGACTTGGATGAAGATCTAGCGAGGTCACTTCAGGGAGGCCTGAATCCATCATACCCATCCTACCCATCAAATCCATCTTACCCACCATACCCTCCATACGCTCCCAGGGATTATCATCCCAGAGGATATAGGTAACAATTTGTTTGTTTTACCATTTGTAACTTCTGCATTGTTCAGCTCATCTGCTTCTGCATGTTTGTTCAAGATTATTAAAATGCGAGATATTGCGAGTAATTCGTGCCATATTGTTTTCATTTCATTGTCTGAGCCATTTTTACAACTTGCAGAGTATGTGGTGGTTGCAGTCGTGAAATTGGAGGTGGTAATTACTTGGGATGCATGGGCCAATTCTTTCATCCAGATTGCTTCCGTTGTCATTCTTGTGGATACCCAATTACTGAATACGAGGTAGGTTTTTTTTTTGTTTTCAAGTAGTCTGTGGTCATTCAAATCTTGATATCGTTAGATGAAGCTCTAATTAATTTGATTTGTTTGATTGAAGTTTTCTTTGTCAGGGGGAAATTCATACCATAAATCTTGCTTCAAAGAGCTGGCTCATCCCAAATGCGAAGTCTGCCACCAATTTGTAATGACAGCTCCCTTTCAATCTCAATATTATGTTGTGTTGTTCAGTTTTCAATTTCCATCAGGAAGAATCAGTAGAATGCACCCTCTGTATCTTCTCTTTCTCAAAGGGAATTCTTCCTCCAATTGCTTTGATGATGCTTTCTGAATTAGAATTCCTTTGATTTTAACAAACAAAAATGATGCATCAATTCTGTTTTTCGGTACAATGTACAGTATGCACTTCATTCACCTTCTGAAGAACCTGTAATTTCAGATCCCTACAAATGGGGCTGGCCTGATAGAGTATAGGTGCCATCCTTTCTGGGCTCAGAAATACTGCCCCTCACACGAGTACGACAAGACGCCCCGGTGCTGTAGTTGTGAACGTCTTGAGGTAACAATCTTCTCTGATCGTGTTGAAGATCATAGATTAATTCCTGCATTTTCTTCAACCACACTTGTAGCCTTCCATGTATTAATTTCATACCTTCTTGTTGTTCAAGTCGCGGAATGTGAGGTACATATCCTTGGGAGATGGGCGTAGTTTGTGCTTGGAATGCATGGAATCTGCAATCATGGATACCGGGGATTGCCAGCCGTTGTATCATACCATTAGAGATTACTATGAAGGAATGAATATGAGAATTGATCAACAAGTTCCAATGCTTCTTGTTGAAAGGCAGGCTCTTAATGAAGCTATTGAAGGCGAGAAACATGTAATGAATGAAGTCTTTTGCCATTTGCATTACTTCAAACTGTAGAAACTTCTGCTGATATATTATAGTTATTAAACTTCTCTCTTCTCAGGGTTTTCATCACATGCCGGAAACTAGAGGTTTGTGCCTTTCAGAAGAGCAGACAGTTACCAGTGTAAGATTATTCACTTTGACTGCTTTCCAAAGTGTGCTCCTTAAGACTGCTTTTTCATCAATAACTTTCCTTACAAATATCCAGATTTTGAGAAGACCAAGAGTTGGGGGTCGTGGATTGGTAGGGATGAGAACACAACCTCATAAACTTACCCGGAGATGCGAAGTCACAGCAATTCTAGTTCTGTATGGCCTTCCAAGGTACCGTGTCATTACTTTAACAGCTAATTGTAAACCTACAGCAACTGAATGCTTCAGTTGCTTACCCAAACAAAATTTCTTGATAATAAGAGAATGAAACCTAATATTTTCGCTTGCACCATCTTATCCAATGTTGATTCCATCAATAGCTGGTTTTCTGTAAAAGATCAGTCCTCATATGAATTTCCCTTTCTGATGCAGACTCCTCACTGGTGCTATTCTCGCACATGAATTGATGCACGCCTGGCTCCGTCTAAAAGGTATAATTTGAGCTCAAATCGTAGTTTCCTTTTCAAACTGTAGTACTGCTGTGACTGATTCACTGCAATTCCAAATTTATTCATACTGTAACCTTTTCGCAATCTTTTGTACTTACCCATTCAATGTTGCAGGTTTCCGAAATCTGAATCCAGAGGTGGAGGAAGGGATCTGTCAAGTACTTTCACAATTGTGGCTAGAATCAGAGGTAATGCCGAACGTGCCATCCTCTTCAATGGCATCAACATCATCATCCTCCTCGTCGACGTCAACAGGATGGTCATCATCATCCAAGAAAGGTGGAAAATCACATGTTGAAAGTAAACTTGGTGAGTTTTTCATGCATCAGATTGCAAATGACGCATCCCCGGCGTATGGAGGAGGATTCAGGGCTGCAAATGCTGCTGTAAAGAAATATGGTCTTCGTAGTACCTTAGACCACATACGTCTCACCGGATATTTTCCTCTGTAATCATTCCTTTCTTGAAGAAAAACTCAACAAAAAACTCTGACTCTGAAGTCCGAATCAGCATTCAGCAAAACTGCACTAGTCCTTACACTTGTTCTAAAGTATTTATCAGTAATGCCTGCCAAAAGACAGATCATGCATATGGAGGAGCGCATCCCGTGAGGAAATGAGTTGATCATCAGGCAAAATTTGGATTAGCTCCCCCTAATTTTAGTGGGGCCCCTCAATAGGATGCTTCTAGAAATTGTACTGGGGGTAAATAAGATGTTTTCTCTTCAGGGCTTTCAGGTATACCGACACACTCATCTTGGACAAAGTGAAATCTCCTTCACAAATGATCAATCTCTCTTGAATTGCATTACATAATTATCTTCAGCATCTCCAATCTGTTTCCCAGCTCATTTTTCAGGGTTTTCTTTTTTTTTTTCTTCTGCCACTATAATAACATAATTTTCAGTTTCTATTTTAAATATTTTTTCGACAGTCAATGGCATGAAAGAATGAAAAGGAAAGGAAAGAGGCATTATTGCCGACGGCCCTATATACATGTAAGAAGAAAAATAAAATAGAAGTCCCGGGTTGAAACTCTCAACAGAAGTGATGGAACACTGAAATGGATATAGTATTGACGGAACACTGTAAAGAATGTGCCTTACTACTATAATTTATGACCATATACATAGTTTGCAGCTAATATTACAGACTACACTTTTTAAGAGCTAACCCTCTACTAAAATGGTGATTTACAAGTCATCTTCTATCAAGATTTAACTCGTATCAAAATTCATTAGAGTTAAAAGACACAAAACAAGGTCAGCCATCGGGGATGTTTGACAAAAACTGCTTCAACTTTTCGTATGTCATAAATACGATACTCACACCAGGTACAACCTTGTAATATTCAGGCAAAATTCCCCTATACAAGCCACGTAGGCCTTCTGTCTTAAAGATGTTCTTGAACGTACCAAAAATTCCAGTCTTATACACGCGAGCTCGACCACCTGCTCCTTCTAATTGCATCCGCCGCCTCACAAGGTCCAATGGGAACGTCACTGCAAAAACAAGCACATCAACAAAACAGTAGCTTTACATATCAGACTCATTATCACTATCATATAAATTTTATGTCCTTAAGTTCCTGTTGGGAGTTAGGGCACCAAGCATCCCAATGCAATTGAGAGAAATCTTATTTTCATGCCTGGTTAAAGAACACATCAACCATCTGCATGTAATTATGAATAATAATTAGATCAGAGAAGCAAAGGCATCTCAAAATCACTATAAGGACATCCAGCTCTAAAGGTCAAGCTTACTAGATAGATAGCAGGAGTCACGGCACTTTGACCTGCTTCTCTGCATCAAAAGAATTGAGTACAGATATGACCATTAAGAAGTTATTCTCGGAACCTCATCCGAGATTTACGTGAACAACTTCGTTCCAGTGACATTCTCAACCATATTTAGAGAATCCTTTCTAGCTACTTCCCAGAATTAAAGTACTAATGCCAATGTCAATGCAGCAGCTTCTAAAATGAAAGTACGCATTTCAGGAAAAATGATGTCTCCAGTCTCTTCTTTTTGCAATACATGTTATCTACTAGAAGAGAATCAAAAGGAAATCTAAGGTGAAATGCCTAACAGTAGCGAAAATGACAACTGCAAGAAAAGCATTAATAACTGTTCAGCATCAGAAAGTGCTCAAACATAACAAGACAGATTTCTTTCTGGAGTCTAATTGATAAAGTCATTTGCTGAGAGATTGTTTCTACTTCAATTTAGCATATAAAAATTATTTAGATCACTAAGTGTGTTACTGTTAGTATCCAGCAAACAACTAAACCCCAGGTACATTCAAATGAGCACCAGAAGAAAACATGACAGTCATAACATCAGCTATTTTCAGCAAATTAGCTTACTCATCAGCCAGATCGGGAGAAGATTAATTATAGTCATGGGTGCGAATTCTAGACTTTTATCAGACAGGAAAGCACGCTTATTAGTGCTATTATAAGCAATCTCCTTACTGAAGAGGAATAATAGGAGTGGGCCTTAGCAAATATAGTAGTTTAAGGCTTATCTTGCCCTGTCTTAATCGTCCAGAAAGCAAAAGCTCTAGATAACAGACAATATTATAATGCAAAACAGCACAAGAAGCTTGCTTCAGTTTCCTATTTCATATTACAAAGATTATTTACAAGAAGTGTGATTCATAAGGATATAAAAGCGGAGAGTTAGGGGAGCGAGCTGAGAAAGCAAGAGAAGAATCTCACCAGTGGTTAAGAGTTGGGAAAAGCAAAAGATATAAAAGCAGAGAGTTGCGAAGGCGAAAGAAGAATCTTACCAGTGGATGATGCAATGCCTGATAGACTGCCACAACCGAGGCCGACCAAGACCGTAGAGTCATCAGGCCTAGTAAAGATAAGAATATCAAATGCATAACCTGTCAGAGTAATGCTCATACTGGGATGTGACAGGCAGAAAAACTTGACCAAAAACAACAATTACGTCACAGCATTTCAGCAACACGAAGATATTTACACTATTTTGCTACATAATACCTGTGAAACTGCCAGTGTGTTCTTGCCGTCTCATAGACCGCGAAACTAATCGCCAAGCTTGGACCGACACCCTGTAATAGCTCCAAAAATTAGTAAACAAAACTGAAATTAAAAAACCTATTCAGTATGCATTCAAGGCCAAATAAAGTACCAATAACGTTGCTCCAAGTCCTTTGTACAGGCCAGTAGCACCTTCTTCCCGGCTAATGGTGCGCAAAGCATGCCAAATACCTCTATAATATATAACATTCGTCTGCAAATAAAATTAAATAAGACAAGTGGGGAGGACCAAGAAACTTTGCCAAAGACAATGAGGAAACAAGGCCTTAATTTATTATGTTCAACACAAATATATAGACCCATATCATCAGATAATGTTGAAGATGAATTTACCCCTATTCTGACAGTTCATACATGATCTGATCGTTTCAGATGAATAATGGTTGACAATTTTTTTTTAAAGCACCAATTATGGGGACAGTGTTTCCAAAGATCTAAATGGAATTATTGTTCATGGATGAAACTTAGGAAAAATAAACTTTGTTAAAGCAGAAGGGTTTAGGTAAAGTGGATTCTTTTCACGCAACTTACCTGCCATTTAAAATGTATGGAGAGTTTCATTAGATAAAGACACAAGACCAGCAATGCTTTATAGAAAAGTGTTGGGCAATAAATACTGAAGATAATCAAAAGAGGGTAGCCAAAAAAAGAATTTGAGGTGGATGTGTGGACTGAAGATAGTGGAAGTGGTGAATGCATTGGGAAAAGGGGGGGAAGCTGTCCTTGTATACGGATAAAAAGTGAAAGAAACACAGTTAAGGCCCTAGTAATAAGTTCAGAAAACATATATGTATACCTCAAATTGAGAAGGGAAGGGACTATTGGAAATGAGAAGGGAAAGGGAAAAGGATTATTGAAAAAGAACATGTCTTCTTTAAATCCAAATGAGAGCATGAAATTTGGTAGAAAAGAATGGTGCGATGAACCATATAGCCGGCCCTACAAAGTAGGGTAAAGGCTTAGATGTACTTGTACCTGCCATTATAAACTCGTACTCTTTAGTTAGGTGACAGGATTGCGACATGGGTAACAAAAACACATAATTCTCTCAAACCAAAAAAGGAATCTGAATCTTCAATCATAAAAAAGATCCATTAAACGGTTGAATACCAAACGTAAAGGAAACAACTTTCATCAATTATTTTAAATATGGGGCAATTCTTTCCTTAAGCAAACATAGATATGCAAACAGTTCCTTAAAAAAAATCAAGATGCCTTTTTGATTTCTCACCTGAGCTGCAAGGCGTGTCCTGACAAGATCCAGAGGATAAGTAACAGAAGCAGCAGTAATTCCAGCCAACCCACCTCCTACAAGTCGTACAGCGAGGTCTTTGCTTATATTTTCCCCCGGACTCTCAACTCCCAAAACCAACTGTAAGAGCTGTGAAATGACAAAATACCATAAAATCAATGAACAAACACAACACTGAAAAGGGAATGGTCAACCACTTCTACAGAAGAATTTGAAAGTCATTGAACATTTATACTTACATTCTTATAGCGTTCAAATGCATAAAAGCTGACAGAAGAATAGGGAATCCGATGAGCGATTGTGACCAAATTGCCTCTCCAGAACGCTCTGTATCCCTCTTCTTTGATGATTCGCGTGGTCTCCCGCCATATACTAGCACTTTTCAGGTTAGCTGCATCAGTATGCATTCCTTGCAGCTGTAAATATGAAAAAAAAAGAAAAGATTGCACATTTTTTAGGATAAAAAGAAAATCGAATAATATGAAAGCACAAAACCTTCAACGGTTCCTGGGGAAAACACCGGAAATGACACACTTCCAACAGAACAGATCAATGTCCAAACGTAAGAAAAATATAAGACCATTAAAAAGACAAATTACAAACTCAAGGTATTTTTCCTATCTATTGCTCCATTTATCCCTCCTATTCATAGCCTTTGCAGCACTCATTCTCATTGCAACCGTTTAAGTGCTCTCACCCATGTCAGAATGAGAAATCATTTCTGAATGAATCACAACAGGAAAAAGAAAATAAAATAAAAATTCCCACATTAAAAAAGTATCGGACCTGAAAGAGGATGGTGAGGCGAGCAAGGGGAGCAGTACAGGTCTTGCCGACTGCGCCGGCAACTCCACCGGCGATAAGTTGCGAAACCGTTCCGATACGTGGCTGGTGATCATGAAGCGCTCTCTCCTTTTCCTTCCGCTGTTGCTCCATCAATTTACACGCCGCGCCGGCGGCGCCTCCGTCGACCACCACCGCACCATGTCCGGTATTGAAAACCCTCTGCCCCCCGCCGCCTTCCATCACCGCCCCAACTCTGGCGTCAGTTTGCATAACGCCCCGGTTTGTTCCTCGAGATTCACTCAAAATTTCATAGAAGTTTGTGTATAGTAGCTGAGACTTGAGAAAGAAGATGCTAAAGGTTACTGTTGATAGAGCCAAACGATGTCGTAGCTGCTGGCCAGCATGCGCCTACGCTACTACTGTTTCGTCAGGTCGGTTTGGGACCGTTTATTACTTTATTGGTAATATATCGTTAATTGCAAGCAGCTACCACACATTGTAATTATGCTAGGTTTTACCTTTAACTTTCTAATCTTTGACAATACACCAAATTTGGACATTAATACACAGAGGTCAACTTTTAATTGGACAAAACCAATTTAAACCAACTAGGAAAGAAACCGTAGCATTCAAACTGATTTCACTTTTCACCTCTTCGATTCTTCGTCTTTCACTCATTTTTCAAAAATGTTAAAAGTTTTTGTACTTTTGAGGTTTCATGGTAAATTTATGTAAAAAACTTTTATAACAAACTTATGCGGTGTTTTTTATACTTGACAAATCACAAGAAATTTAAGCTTAGACAGGAGTTAGATCATTTATCCTTGAATAAATTATCACATTTTTAAAGATTAAAATCTTTCCAAGTCATATATTTGAAAGTGTTTTGCACATGATTTGGATAATCATGGCACAATACATATTGTGGAGGAAATCACAATGCATATTTTCTATTGATGATTATCAATTATGATATAATCCAAGATGTTTCAAGTTTTCAATGCGGTGTAGATTGCACCAAAAAAAATCACAGTTGTAACAAAATGTATAATTGCTTAATTGTACGGCTCTTTGGCCTCCCTTTCATCCAAAACAACTTAATGATATTAACAGAGTGCTAAAAAAAAAAAAATGAAAGCTGGAGCTTTGAATGTAAATTGAGTGAAAGTTGAGGGTAGTATTTGCAATAAACTCGACTCCATATTGTACATGGTTCTAATTTCTTCAAGTCCATGGAAATCCGGATCGGTTTTGCCTTTCACATTAAGATTCTAAAAGAATTAAAAACAAGTTTTTGGTCTTGTGCTTCACGTTTTTGCTTATATCATCCAACCAAGAAAAACCCGTTTTATTTGCCCCCAACACGAATTTTGAAAGCTAGGCCATGTGTTAAATGTGGAGTCAAATTAGATTCACTTTCTTTGATCATTGTGGGTTCTCTACATTCCGAAGCTCTGGAAATTTACAACGCCCATAGCCACACATAAGTGGGAGGATACTATGCTAGTCAAAATTAAATTATCAAATTTACCACAAAATTATTTGTTAGTGTCACACTTTCTGTAACACAATTTAATCAGATGAGACCGGATTGATACTTTTTGAGAAGAACTGGAATGGTAAAAGCAGATAGATTTTGAAGAGTTTCTTAAAGGTGAGGGTTCTCTATACACAAAAAAGGAATATCAAATGTACTGCACAGAGGTGATTAACAATCCTCAAAAATGAAAAAAACCTCAGTTAGAACAACAGGGTTTCCTGTTCACATTACCGGAATACTCTCCGACCTTAATGGTGGTGCCTTGACCAGGGAAATTGGCAGTTGCCTCTTGTGCAGCCAGAGCTTTCCGGCTGATAATCTGATAAATGTCTAACAAAATTGTCTGAAATGCTTTCTCCACATTAACTGCTTCTAATGCCGATGTCTCAAGGAATGACAGCCCTTCTTTCTCAGCCAATAGCCTTGCATCTTGCTCTGGAACTGCCCTGAGGTAGTTGAGGTCAGCCTTATTACCGGCCAACATGATGACAATGTTGGAATCGGCATGATCCCTTAACTCACGAAGCCATCTGTGCACGTTTTCGTAGGTTTGTCGCTTGGTGATGTCGTACACCAAAAGTGCCCCAACTGCTCCTCTGTAATAGGCACTGGTGATAGCTCTGTATCTTTCCTGCCCTGCTGTGTCCCAAATCTGCGCTTTCACTGTCTTCCCCTCTACCTGCAGAATTTAAGGTTCAAGTTACTTGTGTGATTTAAGCGCAAGAGATTTGAGTACGGGTTCAACAAAAGATGATGTAATGGTTATGCAAATTAGCACATTGCAATAAGGCTTGCTGATCTCTTGATTACCATCACTTTGTTGCTATCAGTCTTGAAGGGTGATAAGGTCACACTCGAAGGATTAAAACTAGCTTTAACTAAAAGATGACAACGTTGTACTACTACATATTGATGCGGAACAAAATACATACAGAATTCCTGATCGTTTTTGCTAGGGGATACCAAAAAAGAGTCAATTTAAGAGCCACTTTTAGTACGAGAATGCGATTATTCACAGCCTGGTTGTACTTATACAACACTTTACGTGTTCTATTTCAACTGCAATTTCATCATACAGAAGGAATTCAATTCAGAGCTACGAGGTTGCATTTTGAACCTAGATTGATCCTGTTAACCACCCCCAAAGATTGAAGAAAATGCCAGAACAGAACAAGCCTAAAACTTTGGAAATAACAGCTGAATTTGCATATTGTTTGTGTCTAATCAATGCAAAAAAGATGCAGACAATGGGGGGCTAATAATGTCTCGAAAATTTTAAGCTTATGCATAGGAGTATGATCACATCTTTAGAAACATCCTCCCAACCTACATGAACCCAAAAAAAATTCCTGTACTAAATTAATCCCAATCGGTTGTTATAGTGCCTAGGATATATATAAAAAATCAACATTGATAAGAATGCATGGAGTCATGGATAAAAAAACAAACCTGAAGAGTTCTGGTGGCAAATTCAACACCAATGGTGGATTTAGATTCCAAGCAGAATTCATTTCGGGTGAACCTAGAGAGTATATTTGATTTCCCAACACCAGAATCTCCGATTAACACAATTTTAAACAGATAGTCATACTCGTGATCCACCTTATAGGCCATCTCTGTTCCTCCTCATGAAATCCACGAACCAAAATCAATCATTTCACCGATAAGAACATTAACGAAAAAGAATCAATCCGAATTCATAAGAGGATTTTACCTGCCCAGATGAATTTGGAGGACAAAGCAACCCTAACAATAACCCATTAAAATTCAACCGAGTGTAGAGAATAAACAATGAGCGTTGAAAAACGACGAGAAGAAGAAAAAGAAGGATAAAATCAGAGCACGAAGTAGGAATTCAAAATTGGGATCAGAGGGAGGTCTACGAAAAATAAGCGCAGAAACAGGAATTATAAACGGGCATCCATCCTACAAACACTTATATGTTCTTCCCGCGCATTCAACGCCATATAACAAGCGGACTTCATTTTCTGGATCAAAGTCCAGTCAAATTATTCAACCCAAGAGTCTTTACATTTTCCATTTGTTTATGGGCTTTATTTATTTAGAAGCCCAAAGGAAGTTCATTAGAAACCCGCACTTCACAAATTGTCCGGTGAATTCTGGCGTGAGGAGATGTTTTTTTTTTTTTAAGATTTTGTTGCGTGTGAATTGTGAAATGAAGTGCTTAAATAGAGTAACATTTTAGATTCAACAATTTTTTCTCAATAATGGAAGAGTTTTCTATCAAAGTGCACAATCCCTCTTACATTGAATTTATACCAAATAATAAATCATCTGTGAATTTGGTGTGCTGTCCGTGATTTATCAGGTTACATTGCATGTTTGTCTTCTATCCTTTTTTTTTTAAAAAAAAACTTTTTTATATCTTAGTTGATAGATTTTTGCAAAATTTAGACTCTTTCCTTACTCCAAACGAAACCGATAAACACATTTGTTTGCTTCCTTTGATTTCTGTTTCTAAAAGAGAAGGGAAAAGAAGAAAAAAAAAAAAAGCCAAAAAAGAAGAAGAAACCCATAGGGAAGTGTGATTTGTCCCTATAAAATGCCGCCATATGGTTCCTTTTGAAATTACAACGAGTTTTTCAGGTCACACACACACACACACACACTTTTTCAGGTTGTCAAGTTTAAAGTCTGTGATGGTGATCATTAAGATGAAAGCTGTAGCGTGGCTTGTGTTGTTAGCCATAACGATCAACTCATGCTGTACTACTTGCAATGCTGCAGAACCAAATGGCATTGATCAAAAGGCACATATTCTTCCCTTTCTATAATTAACTCTGTTCTATGAGAGTCTAATTATTTGATAATTTCATAAGAAAGAACTCAAAACAGTCAGCTAATCTGGCAGGAATACATTGTGTACATGGGAGCTCGTCCGAAAGAACCTTTATTGGCATCATCACTCCATTTCAACATGCTGCATCAGGCAATGGGCAGCCGGTAGGAGTACTTTTTAATTTTAATGTGGTTCATAATATTTCGAAATGTGTTCATTGCTTGCATTCACAGTTCCCCACATACATTATTATTTTATTTAACTTCTCTTGTTGTTATTGAATCCACAGAAAAAGGGCATCAGATTCTCTTCTGTACAGCTACAAGAGAAGCCTCAATGGTTTTCTGGCAATATTGACCGATACAGAGAAGGAAAGAATAGCCAGTGAGAATGAACACCATCAAAATCTCTCTTTTTTTTTTTCCCCCTGACTTATACGTTGCTTTTGTTTTCTCATTCAACCGTGATAATGGATTGATTTCAGGGATGAAAGGCGTGGTCTCAGTATTTCCAAACAAGATCATGCAGCTCCATACCACAAGGTCGTGGGATTTCATTGGGTTCCCTCAGGACGTGAAGAGAACAGCCGTTGAAACCAACATTACAATAGCGGTGCTTGATACCGGAATTTGGCCTGAATCTCCGAGCTTTAATGACTCAGGATATGGTCCACCTCCAAAGAAATTCAAAGGCATTTGCGAAACATCCAAAAATTTCACTTGCAATAAGTACGTATATAATCCATTAACATCATTTCTATAATATCAGCCCATCTCAACCACATTCTCACTTAACTAACCGGTTAATTACAGCAAAATAATTGGAGCAAGGTACTATCACACTAGTGGTCAGGTACATAATAAAGGAGATGTATACACACCAAGAGATAAAATAGGGCATGGATCACATACCGCTTCCACAGCTGCCGGTGAAACAGTAAGCAAGGCAAGCCTATACGGCTTAGGGGCCGGGACAGCTCGAGGAGGAGTACCTTCAGCTAGAATAGCTGTTTACAAAGTGTGCTGGTCATATGGTTGCGATGATGGAAATATACTTGCAGCATTTGACGATGCGATCGCCGATGACGTAGACATCATATCAGTCTCTCTCGGGTCTGAGCGGCCTCTAGACTACTTCGAGGATTCCATCGCCATTGGAGCATTCCATGCCATGAAAAAGGGCATCTTGACATCAAACTCGGCAGGAAATTCAGGGCCATTTCCCCATTCGATCTTAAACATGTCGCCCTGGTCACTCTCTGTGGGAGCTAATGTTATAGATCGGAAATTTGTGGCAGATGTGATATTGGGAAATAACAAAACTTACCGGGTGGGTGATTAGTCCTGTCACGTGCATTGATCTATTTTTCAAGTTAAGAAGTAAACGAAAAACGATTAGATGATGATAAATTCAATCAACGTTGACCTCTGTTGATTAATTACCCTGCTGTTGTTTTCTGTAGGGAGCTTCTGTAAACACATTCCACAGCAGTGAATTTATCCCAATTGCTTACGCTGGGGATATCCCTGCAATTGGTTCTAAGTCATCGGCCTCCAGGTGAGAGAGAGGGAGAGAATTGTCATGTTTTTTTTTTTGTAACCTTTCTTGTTGGCCTAATTAGTAGTATTAATTTTTCCACACACTAAACATTTTCGTTTGCGAAAATGTTACAGGTACTGTGACGAGGGCACGTTGGACAAAGCTAAAGTAAATGGAACGATCGTGTTATGTGACGTTATGAGTTATCGAACACCAGGCATTGTTTTAGGAGATGGTGGAGCTGGAGTTGTAATGGCAGATGGAGGTTACAAGGATGTCGCCTTTACCCACATTTTGCCTACAACTTATTTGGATACGGATTATGGCCGCAAGATTGTTGGTTACATAAATACCACAAGGTATGTATGGTACAATATATAGTACACATATTTGAATGATCAATTCTGCTAGCGTTTGAATCAAGATATCGTACTTGGCCCTGCAAAGTGCGCATATATATTAAATGGATCAATGGCAATGGTAAATCTCAGGAAACCGACTGCTCTGATCAAAAAGAGTATAGAAATTATTGACAAAGACGCACCATATGTTGTTTCATTTTCATCCAGAGGACCAAGCCCCATTACCCCTGACATTCTTAAGGTGATTGAAATATATATTTGTGGTTACAGTTCAAATGCCAGTTCAATTATGTTCATTTGATTTCATTTCATTCATCTTGTCAACTGAATTGATATAGCTGCATCTATATATGTGGTCTACATTGTTTATTGCAGCCGGATTTAACCGCACCGGGAGTGGACATTGTAGCTGCATGGTCCAAGGCAACTACTGTGACAGGATTAGAAGGGGATACAAGAGTTGTTTCATATAACATAATTTCAGGGACATCGATGTCTTGTCCACATGCAACCGGCGCAGCTGCTTACATTAAATCTTTTAATCCTACTTGGTCACCTGCTGCAATCAAATCTGCCCTCATGACTACTGGTAATTAAGTGACCATCATTAGACTACCACCAATCAGATCTATTATAAGTTTTGTAACCTTTTTCTTTTGGGCTAATGTCCTCGCAGCTACTGTGATTCCCCCAAAAGTCAACAAAGATGCTGAGTTTGCCTACGGATCAGGGCAGATAAATCCCGTGAAAGCTGTTGATCCAGGTCTAGTATATGATATGAAGGAGGCTGATTATGTGAGTTTCTTATGTGGTCAAGGCTATAACACCACATTTTTGAGGCTGGTTTCGGGTGATAACAGTTCTTGCACCCAAGGAAATAATGCAACAGTATGGGATCTTAACTACCCTTCATTCACGCTTTCTGCAAAATCAGGCCAGACTATTACTCGGGTTTTCCACAGAACAGTGACAAATGTTGGTAATCCTGAATCAACTTATATGGCCAAGGTTAAAGCTCCATCTCAGATGGAAGTCCAAGTCAAGCCCTCTACTCTTTCCTTCGATTCAAAGGGACAGAAGAAGTCTTTTACAGTGAAAGTCTCCGCAACAGTTCCAAAGACTCAGATATCAGGTTCTCTAGTGTGGGACGATGGTGTTCATCAAGTCAGAAGCCCAATTGTTGCTCACTCTTATGCAGCTGCAGCTTGATTTTATTTTCGAATTTTCCCATGAATAAAGCTATAGTCAGTTCCACTTTGTGATATTGTCAACATGAGACTCACTTCAAATACAAGGAATACCGTACACAATTGAGTTTTCTCTATCTATTGGCTCTCATTAACCAAACTAAGAACGAATTTTGCTTCACCATTCTTTTGCATATTAGACCTGATGAGAACGAACACTACGTAACAATGATGCACATAACACAGTAAGTTAATTAAGCTATCATTATCATAAGAGGCATCTCTGTATTTTCTGTCTTTTACTCAGGAAAGAGAGTGAAAGATTGAAAAAGTATTGCCATTGAAAATATTTATACATTGCATCCATTTGAACCATTTTCTACTGGCATACATACAATGCATACAAATAATTGGAGCAAAGCACTATTTCACAAATGGTGTAGTGCATGACGGAGAAATTTACACGCCTAGAGATACAGAAGGTCATGGATCACATACTGCATCAACCGCGGCTGGTGTAACCGTAAGATAGGAAAGCTTGTATGGCTTGGGAGAAGGGATAGCCCAAGGAGGGGTACCCTCAGCGAGTATAATCTGTTGGGCTGCTGGTTGCTATAATGCAGATATCCTTGCAGCATTTGATGGTGCAATTGCTGATGGGGTAAACAACATATCACTCTCTGTTGGCGGCTTCCCTGAAGACTACTTCAAAGATGTCATAATGATTGGAGCATTCCACCAGATGCGTGGCATCTTGAATTAAAATTCTGCCGGAAATTCAGGGCCATATGCCTCATCAGTCACAAAGATCACCCCTTGGTTTCTCACAGTGGCAGCTAGTGTTATAGATCGGAAGTTTGTGGCAGATATCATATCCGGGATTCCACAGTCTTCCCCTCCACCTGCAGAATATAAGGGTCGAGTTACTGGTGATTTATGTTCAATATATTGAGTCTGGGTTCGATAAAAGATGCTGTAATGGTTATACAAATTAGCACATTGCAATTAGGCTTGCTGATCGCTTGATTACCATCACTTTGCTATCAGTCTTGAGGGATGATAAGGTCAAAACTTGAAGGGTTAAAACTAGCTTAACTAAAAGATGACACCATTGTGGAGTACTACATATTGACACAGAGCACAATACATACAGAATTCTTGTTCCTAATTTTAGCAGACTCAAAAAAGAGTCAACTCTAGAGCCACTTTAGTACGAGAACGCGATTGCTCCACCCGGTTTGTACTTGTATATTACACTTGACATGATCTATCCAATTGCAGTTTCATCAGACAAGCATTCAATTGAAAGGCATCAGGTTGCATTCGAACCTAAATTGGTCCTGCTAACCGACCAAACGATTAAAGAAAATGCGAGAACAGGACAAGCCTAAAACTTTCCAAATAATAGCTGAATTTGCATAAAAAGTGTCCTAATAAATGCAAAAAGATCCAGACTCAAAAAACATTTGCAACCGTCCACATGACCTTTGATCCCCCAAAATTCCCATACTACGTTGTCATTTCTTGGTTTACTAATGATGTCTGGTCGTGCAATCCTGGCCCAATATTCTGTAGATTTTAGAAATATTTGTATCTGAAAAAAAATATTTTGTATTTGGCTCAATATATTTTAGAAATGTTTGAAGAATTTAGAAATGTTTTATAAGTATGGTCATAGAAATATTTGTATTTGGCATGAAAAGAAATTGTATTTGGCACGGTACGTTTTAGAAATGTTTGAAGATTTTAAAAATATTTTATAAGCGTTACTTCTTAAATATAAATAAATTGATCAATATATGTCTTGAAGTAAATGCTAGACAAAATATAAAAGTATTCTAATAAGTTTAAATATTAGTAAGATGATTTATTAATGTTCTCCATTGGTTGTGACAAATCAATACTTAGTTTTGGAGATTTATAATAGCTTTGTAGTAAGCTTCCTCCTACCTCCAAAATGTATACGCTTAATTGTTGGAACTATTTCTTCCAAAAGTTTATAGATAGTAAAATATCAAAAATATGATTTTGAAACTTGTTAATTGTTGTAACTGGTTGATTACAAATATGAGAATGAAAATAATGTAAATTTGCATAGGTTTCAAGTTATAGCAAAAAAGAACTCACCTCACCATGGCAAATAAAAAAAAAGAAAGTAAAAGATAGCCCATTTAAAATTGAGAACTTTATTTTTTTCTGTAGGTAAAAATGATGTATAAAAACACAAACAAACGTAGAAACATCATTCCTTTCCTCTCCACCTCAAATTCATAAAAGGCTTCCCCATAAATTAGTTAGAAGAAGCGACCTAAACTATTTATATGATGAGGAACTAAAAAAAGTCCAAAAACCAAATCCAAAAAAGTATATTCTTGAAAGCCCGAACAAAAAAAAAACGCGCTTCATTTGTAAATAAAATAATAATAATAATAATAATAATTGGTCAACTGGGAGTATGAAACAAAATTAAAAGCAAATAGACAAAGAAAAAAAACACTTCATAACTGACCATATACGGAAAAAAAAACAGAGACTCCATAATTAACAAAAAAAATCACTCTAATTGAATGAAACATAAAAAAAAAAAATTTAAAAAACCACACTATGTAACAAAAAGCCAATTAATCAATTCAATCCAAACAGAACTAAAATCATAAAAATTATAGGCTAACTAACCATATAGGAAATCACATCATATTACCTGACAACGGTTACGGTAGCTGTAACGGATGGACGCATAAAATTATTGTAATAACACTATTATTGAATGGGAAAAACAAAAAATAATAAAAGCCAAACAAATGATTTGTGAAAATAAAACCATTTAAATTTTAATACCTGTAATGGCACCACCACAACGGTCGAAGCAAGATCAATGAAATTTTTTTTTCTCCTTTGTGTTTATATAGAGAGGTAAAGAGAATATTTGCTGAACTCGAAATTTTATCCGATTAGGATGTAGTTGATCATCACTAATGAAAAAATTGAACATGTTAATAAGAAATGAGTATATTTCACCACATATTCTCAATTGATGATTGATGAGGAATTTTTTTTTTTTTTATTGTGGAGAAGGGATTGATTAGAAAGTCGATTGTCGTGGAGATGGGGATGAGGATTTGGATTTTTTATGACCCCGTAGTTTTTTTTTTTGGCGAAAATAGGAGGTGGAGGTGGATTTGGACTGCATTTCCCTTTTAAGTCTAGGAGATGTGTAAATAAAAATTTATTTTAAAAATATGATGTGGAAATGCCACATGGCGAATGGTGTTACTTTTTCTTAAGTGTGGTTTTTGTTTCTAATATAGTAAGATATAGTTCCGGAATCTTATTACTCCAGCCATCCTAAAATTATTGTTCAATTTAGATTTTCATTTTTAATTTAAATTATACTAAAACTGAAATATGCAAACTAGAGAATAATTTTGGGACGGACATCAATTTATTTATTTTTTATTTTTTAAAAAAACAACAATATCAAGGATTATGCTCTTAATCTCGGATAGAAGTAGAACCCAAACCTGAAGGGTTCTTGAGGCAAATTCAACACCAATGGTGGACAGAATTCATTTCGGGCGAACCTAGAAAATACAGTATATTTGATTTGCCGACACCAGAATCTCCGATTAACACAATTTTGAACAGTGACAAGTTTTAGAAAAGAGTAGGTATATTTAGGACTCTTTTCTCTCTCTCTCTATCTTTTTTTTTTTTTGTTTTAATCTGCGTCATACTCCTTCTGTCTCCAAAGAATGATGGTTTCGATTTTCACTTTTAGTATTTAGGTGTACTATAATTAAAAATTTACATTAATAACTTTTAGTGCGATTTATATTATGTAAAAATAAAAATTCAAATTAAACAATAATTTTAGAAATTTAATCATAAATGATTATTTTCATTAAAAAACATGCTAGAGAAAATTCATAGCATTGTATCAATTGATCAACTGCTCTTGTCTCTTGGTATAAACGTCACCCAAAACATATGTACAAGATGAAAAGCTAGTCATATGCGAAACTTCTCTCATTTGCAAAAACCATTTGGGTCTTTAATCCAAATTGAAATATTGATTTTTGTGGAACTTCATGATTTTTAAGGAATCTCTCAAACCAATATGACGACAATTTTCTGTATCTTTTCAAAGTGTTGTAGTCCACAAAATTGAACCCAAAACGAACATTGTATCCATTCAGCCACTCAAAATTGTCAATAAGCGACCATCCGTAGTATCCTCTTACTCTGACTCCATTTCTGCAATATCAGAGATAATAATCACCCTAATTAAAAAAATGAATGTATTCAATAATTAGAAATATACTTAGAGAAATCTCGAGAGCTAGAAAAGATAAAATAAAATATAAGTGAATAAGAGATTAAAAGTGACACTCTTACTTGATTGCTTTGCGGAGAAATTGAAGATGGCGATAGTAATATCGGATTCTAAAGTTGTCTTGAAGGGCTTGCTCAAGTGGTAATGAGGCATCATTTATTTCATCAACTCTTGAAAATAAAAATGTATGTAAAACATATTTGATTAGTTGATGTTGTGCAAATTAATTTGTTGAAATTAAAAGGGGAAAATTAGAGAAGTTTACCATTTTCTGTAATGTAAATAGCTGGATTATTATTTTTTCGTTGTACATAGAGGAGAAGATGCCAAAGTCCTTTTGGGTAGGAATGAAGCCAATTTGATCCTGCCTGCAAATTAATTAAACCATCTACTTATTCAGAATTCTTCGAACGAATTTGTAGATTCAAAATGGTACAAAATAATCATAAATAATTTTACCTCTTCTCCAATAAGTATACCTTGACGGGTTGCTGCCACATTACGAAATTTTCAGATTAACTATTTAAACAAACACATATAATTAAAGATTTAAGCAAAATAAATTATTATTATTTAGTGGAGGAGTTTTTTACCTGTAAGATCAGCTAGATAATCAGTAATATATCTGGCGTGGGTTTTATTAGGAGGGTTACTGGGATGAGAAGCACACATGACAGTGTAATAATTCACTCCATGAAAATCATAGGATCCCTTCAGCAACTTCGATTCTTCATGTGTAAATTTTGGAAGATGATTGCCGACGATAGCTTTCATTATTTTTGGATAATCACCATATACTAAAGGATTCATAAACCTACAAACATATTGAAAACATTTGCAACATTAATATCATTTTCGAGTTTTGAACAAGATAACCATGATTCGAGTTTCTTAACTCAAATGGTTCAGTTCTTGATGTAACACATTGGTTATATATACATCATTAGTTGATGGATCGAAAAGGGTTTCAAGAAAGAAATGAGCCTATATATCTCACTGGAAAAGAAAGTGTACCTACCATCCATACATAAAATCTAGAGAACGCTTAGCTGCTCGCATATCAAGAGATGAATTAGTCATTGGCACCATCCAGTTACAAACATTTGTCATTCCAATGATACCTTTCTGCTGAGCCTATAATCATATTCAAAATCTCAAATTATTCCTTGGGAACTTTTAAAGACTTATTGACATATAAACCAATAAAGAAAAAAAGAAGAAAAATTTCAGACGAATTACTCCATCCGGGTTCTTATCTTAAGGCATTTTGATTTGTCATAAATTTCGTTTATTGTATTTTTTCAAATGAAAATAAAAACTTTAAATTGCTTGATAATAATTGGGAGAATAAAATAATTGTGGAAAAATATTTTTTAGATTTTATTTTCAATTAAAAGAAAAAAACACTATCAATGAAATTTAGAATAAATCAAAATGACCTATAATAAAGACCGGATGGGAGCAGATCATAACCTGATATTTGGTTCTGTACAATTGAACTGCATATGCATGAGCCAAGTGTTGGTGATGAGATACAGTATAAGGCTCGGTGCATGAATCTCCTGCCGAGCAATTGCTATTCAACTATGATGAACATCGACCCAGAACGCTTAGCCCATTATCATAGCCAAAGTTACTATAACTATATGGATCGTTGAATGTGATCCAGAGTTTTATTCTATCGCCAAATCTCTCAAAGCACAAATTCACAAAGTCTAGATAATCTTTTCTGCAACCATGAAAATTTTTATGTCATCATAAATCCAAAATTTTCATTCGCAATCAAACAATTAATATCACTACTTAATTTTCAATATCTGCTATTGAAATGGTTTTATAAAAAAAAAAATTACAACTTATATAATCTTAGGACTCAAGAAACTATCATACTCATCCTCTAAAGCCTGAGGAAGTTCCCAATGGAATAATGTCACTGCTGTTGTTAAACATGTAGATTTCAATTTTTTATAACTTAGAAAACAAAATAGCAACAAATTAAGATGAAATTAGAAAAAACCAAGCTAGCTTGAATTGTAACGTACCATTAGCAATAAGTTCGTCGATGAGATTATTATAATATTGAATTCCTCTTTTATTTATGCCTTTGTTAATCTTGCCGGCTGCAAAATGCATGGGTTCAGTAATCATCGGGTGCTTGCTATATTGTGATATGAAAGTAATTCTGATAAAAGGAGACTTACTAGGTATAAGTCTTGACCAAGAGATAGAGAAGCGGTACGAATCCGTATTCATTTCCTTCAAAAGTTTGACATCTTCCTGCAAGATATATAATATGACAAGAAAAACAATATTCATTAATTTTTTAAAGCAAAAATTTGAAAGGAAAAAAAAAGATTGTTTAGTTTCACATTGGTTAATTACCTTATACTTGTGGTAAGAGTCGGCTGCTACATCGCCATTACTGTTACTGTGATTTTGGAATGAAGATATTAAAATTTTGAAATATAGTCATCATTAATAGAAAATGAAAAATAGTCATAATAAACAGTCCATTGAAGTCAAGATAGAGAAGAGATTCAGTCAAACGTGAGCATGGACGTTAATTATCTCATTAAAGTTAAAGTTAATAAAGTCTCTTGTTTATTTAAATTGCTCTCACCGAGATTAATTTACAGAATTTCTTAACTCAATGATCAAAAATTAATTTAAAGTTGATAACTTAATTTAGACCTGGATATTTGTGTGAAAAATAATCCCAATTGCTGAGACCTTTACCGTCAGAATTCCATCCTCCTTCAACCTGTAAATTTACGAGAAAACAACCTTTTATAGTAAACCATTTATAAAAAAAAATAAAATTTTACAGTGAGAAGATTTATACTCTGAATAAACCTATTAACGGATTATTTTTCCTGTTAAATATTCAAGACTAAATTATTTTTAAAAAGAAAAGAAAAAGAAAATAATGAAGAAAAACCTGGTATGAAGAAGTTGCAGTCCCAAAAACAAAACCTTCAGGAAAACTAGTACGATTGAGGATATCAATTCCAAAAGTAGGTGATAAAGGCTGAGCATTTCGGTAAGTTTTATGCAATCCAAAGTGCTTAACATCAACTCTAGAATTACCATGTACACCATACACATATAAAATCAAGAGCAAAAGGAGACGACCACTAACAACTTCCATGGCTGAGGATTAACTATGTAATAGCTTAGTTTGACTTTTGATTATTTGATAATTTCTTACCTCTAGCATGCTATGCACATTTTAGGTTTTATAGATTGGAATAAAAGAGAGTGAATTTATCTCCAATCATCATCTATTTCTCTTTCAATAAAATTTTATCTCTTTTTGTTGGTAATATTTAGCTAAAATCTTGTGCAAATACAAAAGAAAAGTGATAAAATTTGATAAAAAGAAAAAATGGATATGCACGTATTTAAGACCATTGCACGTAAAAAGGGGAGTGGGTGGTATTGCCACTTTATTACCTTGCAAAGTACCAAGGCTAATATGGGAAAGTTTCAATGCAAATTATACTTTCGTCGTTTCATAATTAAACTCGTATCTTTTCAAATAAAATAATTTTGTCTTTTCAAATAAAATAATTTTGTTTTCCATCTTGACTCTTAACATTTAATTTTTTAATTATGTGCAGTTTTTCCTCATAATGTTGTTGCTTTTTTATCCAAAAAAGCAGTCATAAGTGGTTCCATATTCGATTAATCATAGAATAGGTATCAGGTTTCGTCCGTGAGTTGTCTTCTAATCTTCTTATATATATTAGAACTTAATTATGGAATAGACATTAATCTCTTAAATATACTGAATAATTTGGTACAAATATTAGAATTAAATATATACGAAGACTAATTAGATATGATGCATATAAAGTATATAGTGAGAAATAAAATAGTTGGTGACATTTTGTTGACAGTAAAAGATCCTCAAGGATTAATATTAGTGCAAACGAACTGCAAAATGAAAACAATAAAAGGTGATTTGAATTTGTAATACATCTGCTTAGTTATCAGTTTGCATCTTATACTTAATTTTTACAGATACGGTTTCAATTCACATACAATATTGACCTTCTTAGCACGAACCTTTATATCTTTATAATTAATAAATTTAACATTTTCACATAATTTCAAATTCCTAAGATGTAATTTACTTATCTACTATTCCCTGTAATTGTTGAATGTGTAGTGACGGTAGTTACAAAATTAAATCAAATTAACCGACTATGATTGAACAAATGAAAAAATTGAGAATAAGTCGGTGTTGCATATAAGAAAATCAATAAACAAAGCAAAATAGCCACAAAAGTAGAGGACATTAATAAATTAAGCTAGTCTAACATTCCAAAAATGAGCACAAAACATATGAAAAATACAGGACAACGGGACATCCAACGTCTGAGCAAGTAGTATAAGAGTCGTGTATATATAACCCAAAACAACCATTAGTCAGATTCGTGATCCACCTCATAAGCCATCTCTGTCCCTCATGAATTCCACGAACCTGCATCCAACTCTAATCAATAATTTCAACGCCAACTATCTAAGGACATTAAAAATAAAGAATAAATGAATAATCTGGATCCAGAAAGGACACCTGACCAGATGAATTGGAGGACAAAGGAACCCTAACAATAACCCATTAAAGTTGAACAGAGTATAGAGAACACACGAAGACAATGTCCGTGAAAAAAATGACTTGCATATTTGCAGTGTACACCGTCAGCAATAATGACTAATCCCTCTCGCTGAATTGTAGGCACTTCAATGGGTGGGACAGCTGACCAAAGTTACTCCATAGCTATAGCGGGATTCGAACCCTCGACCTATAGTTAATGGTGGAGGAATCCTTACACTCCACCATAATCACTTTGGTACCGTGACAAAATGACGAAAAGAAGGAGGAGAAAAAGGGATAGTCAGAGCACGAAGAATGGAGGACGAATTCAAGTTCGGGATCAGGGGGAGGTCTACGAGACATTTACTGTATATTCTTCCAGGGAATTCAACGCCATAAAACAAGCTAAATACAAAGTCCAGTTAATCTATCTATTCTTCCCGGGCATTTACTGTATATTTTACTTTTTCCATTTGTTTATGTGCTTTATGCATAAGCCCAAGGAAGATCATTTGGTTTTGGGCCCGTCAGTTTTTCTGATGTTGAAATTTTTGGAAGGTTTTACTACTCACAAACACATATTAAAATATTTATTTGGAAAATTTTGCCCTTGAAAAAAATTTATCCGGCTGGAATCTAGATTAGCGAGGATAATAATTTCGGACACTGTATGCTTAAGATATCAAAGAAAAAAGAAACACGGATTAACTAATTGTCTGCTGAATTGTTTTGGCGTGTGGAGAGGTTTTTTTCAAATTTTGTTGCGTGTGAAATGAAGTGCTTAAATAGCATTTTAGATTCAGCAATTTTCTCAATAATGGAAGAGTTTTCTATCATAGTGCAAAATCCCTCTTAGATTGAATTTATACATTATATAAATCATCTCCGAATCTAGTGTAATGTCCGTGATTTATCAGGTTACTCTGCATGTTTGTCTTCTATCCCTTTTTATAATTTCGTTGTTAGATTTTTCCAAAGTTTAGATTCTTTCCTACTCCAAACGAAGCCACTAAAAACTCATCTGTTTGCTTCCTTTGATTTCTGTTTCTAAAAGAAAAGGGCAGACCAAAAAAAAAAAAAAAAAAGGAGAAGAAGAAGAAAGCCATAGGAAAGTAACTTAAGGGTGGATTTGTCCCTATAAAATGCCGCCATATGGTTCCTTTTGAAATTACAACGAGTTTTTCAGGTCACACACACACACACTATTTCAGGTTGTCAAGTTTAAAGTCTGTGATGGTCATCATTAAGATGAAAGCTGTAGCGTGGCTTGTGTTGTTAGCCATTACGGTCAACTCATGTTGTACTACTTGCAATGCTGCAGAACCGAATGGCATTGATCAAAAGGCACATATCCTTTCCTTTCTATTACTCCTCCGTTCTATGAAGTCTGATTATTTGATCATTTCTTAAGAAAGAACTCAAAATCTGTTAAATTTGGCAGGAATACATTGTGTACATGGGAGATCGTCCGAAAGAAACTTTACTGGCATCATCACTCCATTTAAACATGCTGCAAGAGGCAATGGGCAGCCGGTAGTATATTAGATAGGAGTACTTCTTAGTTCAATGTGGTTCATTATTTATTTTACGCATCATTTGTTTAACTTCTCTTGTTATTATTGAATCGACAGAAAAAGGGCAATAGATTCTCTTCTGTACAGCTACAAGAGAAGCCTAAATGGTTTTCTGGCATTATTGACCGATGCAGAGAAGGAAAGAATAGCCAGTGAGAATGCACATCAATATTAATTACTCACTCTGTCCCAAAATTATTGTCCAATTTGAGATTTCATTTTTAGTACAATTTGAACTAGAAATAAAAACTCAAAGTGGGCAATAATTATGGAACGAAGGGAGTACAAAAGTAACATCTGTTTTCTTTCTTTTTCATTCTGATATGTACATATTGCTTTTTTCCCTTTCCTTTCAGGCATGGAAGGCGTGGTATCAGTGTTTCCAAATGAGATCATGCAGCTCCATACCACAAGGTCGTGGGATTTCATTGGGTTCCCTCAGGACGTGAAGAGAAAAGCCGTTGAAACTAACATTACAATAGCGGTGCTTGATACCGGAATTTGGCCTGAATCTCCGAGCTTTAATGACTCAGGATATGGTCCACCTCCAAAGAAATTCAAAGGCATTTGCGAAACATCCAAAAATTTCACTTGCAATAAGTACGCATTAAATCCATTACCAAACATTGTTATAGTATGCAAGTCCATGAACCACATCCTCTCTAATACGAATTATATTCATTACAGCAAAATAATTGGAGCAAAACACTATCACACAAGTTCTCATCAGGTACGTGGTAAGAGCCCAATTTCGGAGACACCAAGAGATACAATGGGGCATGGATCACACACGGCATCGACAGCTGCCGGCGAAACAGTGATCAAGGCAAGCTTGTATGGCTTAGGGGCCGGGACGGCTCGAGGAGGAGTACCTTCAGCTAGAATAGCTGTTTACAAAGTGTGCTGGTCATATGGTTGCTCTTATGGAGACATACTTGCAGCATTCGACGATGCAGCCGCCGATGGCGTCGACATCATATCAATCTCTATCGGGCCCTGGTTTCATCGAGACTACTTCAAAGATTCCATCGCCATTGGAGCATTCCACGCCATGAAACACGGCATCTTGACATCAATCTCGGCAGGGAATTTTGGGCCATCTCCCCGGTCGATCAACAATTTCTCCCCCTGGTACCTTTCTGTGGGAGCTAATGTTATAGATCGGAAATTTGTGGCAGACGTGGTATTGGGAAATAACAAAACTTACCAGGTGGGTAAATTGATGCTTTTTTACATTCAACTCTTTTGTGGTATATACTACATTGCAGCTTCTTCCATCAACGTTGACCTCTGTTAATTAATTACCACTGTTGTCGTTGTGTGTAGGGAGTTTCTGTAAACACATTCAACCTCAGTGAATTTATCCCAATTGTTTACGCTGGGGATGTCCCTGCAATCGGTTCTAACTCATCGAACTCCAGGTGAGACAGAGAGACAATGTTAACCTTTCTTGTTGGGATTAATTTATGTATTCATAGGCCAAATGTTACAGGTACTGCGATGAGGGCACATTGTACAAAGCTAAAGTAAATGGGACGATCGTGTTATGCGACCTTAAGTTTGATAACACAGCAGTCATAGTTTTAGAAGCTGGTGGAGCTGGTGTTGTAATGGCAGATCGAAATTACAAGGACATCGCCGCCACCCAGGTTTTACCTGCAACTTATGTGGATAGGGATTATGGCACCAAGATTCATGGTTACATAAATACCACAAGGTATATCTAAGGTACAACATACATATTTCACTTTGAATCATCAATTAATTTGCTAGTCTTTGAATTTGGATCAATGGTAATTCGCAGGAACCCGACTGATTGGATCAAAAAGAGTATGGAAATTATTGACAAAGACGCACCATATGTTGTTTCATTTTCATCCAGAGGACCAAGCCCCATTACCCCTGACATTCTTAAGGTGATTGGATATTTGTTAAAAGTTCAAAATGTCAGTTCATTAGCTTAGTTTCACTGGTTTCCTCAACTGGATTGAATTTCGCTGCATATGTGTCCACATTGTTTATTGCAGCCGGATTTAACCGCACCGGGAGTGGACATTTTAGCTGCATGGTCCAAGGCAACCACAGTGACAAGAAAAGAAGGCGATACCAGAGTTGTTCCTTATAACATAATTTCAGGAACATCAATGTCGTGTCCGCATGCGACCGGTGCAGCTGCTTATGTTAAATCTTTTCATCCTACTTGGTCACCTGCTGCAATCAAATCTGCCCTCATGACTACTGGTAATCAGATATTTTATCAACGCACAGTTAGATTGGTAATCAGATATATTATAAGTTGTGCAAACTTTTGGTTTGGGCTAATTACTGTCTCTGCAGCTACTGTGATGGCACCGAAAAAGAACAAAGATGCTGAGTTTGCCTACGGATCAGGGCAGATAAATCCTGTCAAAGCCGTTGATCCAGGACTAGTATATGATATGAAGGAGGCTGATTATGTGAGTTTCTTATGCGGTCAAGGTTATAACACCACACTTTTGAGGCTGGTTTCGGGTGATAACAGTTCTTGCACCCAAGGAAATAATGCAACAGTATGGGATCTTAACTACCCTTCATTCGCGCTTTCTGCAAAATCAGGCCAGACTATTACTCGGGTTTTCCACAGAACAGTGACAAATGTTGGTAATCCTGAATCAACTTATAAGGCTAAGGTTAAAGCTCCGTCTCAGATGAAAGTCCAAGTCAAGCCATCTACTCTTTCCTTCGATTCGAAAGGTCAGAAGAAGTCTTTTACATTGAAAGTGTCTGCAACAATTCCAAAGACTCTGATATCAGGCTCTCTGGTGTGGGAGGATGGTGTTCATCAAGTCAGAAGCCCTATTGTTGCCCACTCTTATGCAGCTGCTGCTTGAATTTTTTTTTTTTTTTCCGATTTTTCATCTACAATCTATTTCATCAGTAAAGCAATTTAAATCAGCAATTTAGTATTCACGAGTCAGGACCTTCAGTTTGAGAAGGCTTTCTTTATCTATTGGCTCTCAGTAGAAGGGAATCAATAATTAATATTTTCAGGGTTTAATTTTATCTTTGAGGACAAGTCTATTGCCATTTTTCTTTTCTTCTTCTTTTTTCTTTTTTTTTTTTTTTTAGATTTCATGAAGAATTGATATTAAGAATTGCAGACGGATACGTTACGGAAGGATGCTGCAATTTTGTCCATCTAAAAATAAACATTTAACAAAACTAAGAAGGAAATATTCACTAAAAAAAAAAAGAGAGAGAGAGAAAAGAAGGAATGTTTTACCTTTGTTTTGCATATTAGACCCTGATTAGTAATGAGAACGAAACTCCGCAACTATGATGCACATAACACCGTACGTTAATTAAGCTATCATTATCACAACAGGCAGATCACATATCTTGTATTTATTTGTCTTTTGTCTAGGAATGAGAATGAATATTTGAAAAACTATTGCCATTAAAAAATATTGAAATAATTAAAAATTCAAGGGAAGAGCACTATTAGTGTCTACTTCTTGCTATAAAATGCAATCCAATGGTTCTTTTGAACGATAAACCAACAAACATACTTCACATTCTCAATTTTAGTCTTTCAATGGCCAATAGGGCATCTGTACCGTGGCTTTTCTTTTTCGCCATTGCAGCCAATTTATTCTGTAGTTGCATTGCTGCACAACCAAATGGCAGTGATCAAAAGGCATGTTTTCTTTTTATGATGATATATACGATCATTCATTTGTATGAAGCCTACATTATTCAACTTTTACATGCAAATAGCTGGAAGCTAGTGATTATTAATTTGATCATCAGTAGGAACAGTACAATGCATCAAAATAGCTCAAAGTTTGTTATTAATATCACAGGAATATATTGTGTACATGGGTGATCTACCAAAGGGGGGTTTCTCGGCGCCATCACTTCATTTAAATATGCTACAAGAAGCGATGGGCAGCAGGTATAGCTGCTAACATGTATTTCCAGGGATTCTAATATTTTTAACACAATTTCTTATTTCTTGTAAACCTGGCTGACAGCAAAAGGGCGGCAGATTCCCTACTCTACAGCTATAAGAGAAGCTTCAATGGTTTTCTTGCAAGGATGACCGATTTTGAGAAGGAAAGAATAGCCAGTGAGTTAACCATTACTAATACAAACAATGATCCATGACTATAATTGCTCATTTGAGTATTTGACCATCATTAATTCCATCCAGGCATGGAAGGTGTAGTATCAGTGTTTCGAAATGGTATCAGACAACTCCTAACCACAAGGTCGTGGGATTTCATCGGCTTTCCTCAGAATGCTAAGAGAACCACCGTGGAAAGTGACATTATAGTAGCAATGCTTGATACAGGGATTTGGCCAGAATCTAAGAGTTTTAGTGACTCTGGATATGGTCCTCCTCCAAAGAAATTTAAAGGCACCTGCGAAAAATCCAAAAATTTTACCTGCAATAAGTATGCCATGATCATTAATTTATACATTGCATCCATTCTGATCCTTGCATACAATGCATAACAATCAGTACTGAGTTAAATTCTTAATTTGTTTGCAGCAAAATAATTGGAGCAAAGCACTATTTCACAAATGGTCAAGTACATGAAGGAGACGTTTACACGCCTAGAGATACAGAAGGTCATGGATCACATACTGCATCAACAGCGGCTGGTGTAGTAGTAAGTAAGGCAAGCTTGTATGGCTTGGGAGAAGGGACAGCTCGAGGAGGGGTACCCTCGGCGAGGATAGCTGTGTATAAAATCTGTTGGGCTGCTGGTTGCTATAATGCAGATATCCTTGCAGCATTTGATGATGCAATTGCTGATGGGGTAGACATCATATCCCTCTCTGTGGGAGGCTTTCCCGAAAACTACTTTGAAGATGTCATTGCGATTGGAGCATTCCACTCCATGAAGCATGGCATATTGACTTCAAATTCTGCTGGAAATTCAGGGCCATTTGCCTCATCAGTCACAAATATCGCCCCTTGGTCCCTCACGGTGGCAGCTAGTGTTATAGATCGGAAGTTTGTGGCAGATGTCATATTGGGGAACAAAAAGACATATCGGGTAGTTGTTCATTAGCCATGCAAGTGAAGAAGCAAAATTAAGATCATGTTCATTAGTACTTTTTTTTTTTTTTTCCCCTTTTTGGTCTGTTAACTGTGTCTCTGCTTGTTTGTAGGGAGTTTCTGTGAATACTTTCAACCTCCCTGAATTTTATCCTCTTGTTTATGGAGGTGATGTCCCGAATGTTGCAGCTGGTTTTGATTCATCCGAGTCCAGGTGAAGAGATAATTGAATATTTCCATCAATTCATCATAACTGTTGGTGTTTCATCTAACTCATCTATGTGCTGCCAGGTACTGCATATATGACTCATTGGACAAGACTAAAGTCAATGGAACAATTGTGTTGTGTGATGAATTGATGGATGGAACAACAGTTTTAAGTGCTGGTGGTGTTGGTACTATAATGCAAGATGCAGGAAACAAGGATTACGCCTTCTCTTTCCCCTTGTCCGCAACTTATCTAGGTACAGAAGATGGCAGTAAAGTTGATAGTTACATAAACACCACAAGGTACAACCAGCACTCACTTACAGATTAGGGACTGATCCTTTATACAAATTTTCGTATGCAAGAATGTGTTTCTAGGTGCAACTAAATGAACTTGGTAATTTTGCAGCAAGCCAACTGCACTAATTCAAAAGAGCATAGAAATTAAAGACAAAGCAGCACCATATGTGGTTTCATTTTCATCAAGAGGACCAAATCCCATTACGGCTGACATTCTCAAGGTGAGTTGTTTAGGTTCAAAATCTCTCAAACTTTTTGTTCTTCTTTTTTTACAACTAGTTCTGTATTGCTGCAATAATCTTCAAATATTTGCAGCCGGACTTAACGGCACCCGGAGTTGACATTATAGCGGCATGGTCTGAAGCAACAACAGTGACAGGATTGCAAGGGGATACAAGAGTTGTTCCATATAACATAATTTCTGGGACATCAATGTCGTGTCCACATGCAACCGGCGCAGCTGCTTACATTAAATCTTTTCATCCTACCTGGTCACCTGCTGCAATCAAATCTTCCCTCATGACTACTGGTAATGGAAACTGCACCAGCTCAATCTTATACTAATTGTCCTGGCTAAAATGATACAATCAGAATAGAATACAATTATCAGTCATATATAACATTTTTCTTTGGGCTAATGTCTCAGCTACTCTGTTGACTCCAAAAATCAACAAAGAGGCGGAATTTGCTTACGGATCGGGCCAAATAAACCCCATCAAAGCAGTTAAGCCTGGTTTAGTGTATGATTCAGGGGAGGCTGATTATGTGAGCTTCTTATGCGGTCAAGGCTATAACACCACAACTTTGAGATTAGTGACTGGTGACAACACTACTTCTTGCACCAAAACGAACAACGCAACAGTTTGGGATCTCAACTACCCTTCCTTCACACTTTCTGCAAAATCAGGTCAAATTACTCGGGTTTTCCACAGGACAGTGACAAATGTTGGCACTCCAGTATCAACTTATACAGCAAAGATTTCTGCTCCGCCTGGACTCAAAATTGAAGTCAAGCCCTCAGTTCTTTCGTTCAAATCACTGGGGCAGAAGAAGTCCTTCACAGTGCAAGTTACAGCAACAATTCCCAAGACTTTGATATCAGGCTCTTTAGTATGGGATGATGGTGTTCATCATGTCAGAAGTCCAATTGTAGCACACTCTTATGCTTAAGATTTTTTTTTTTTTTAATCTCCTTTTCCACTTTGTGATGTACATGTGACATACTTACAGTTTCACCTTTCTTTTTTTTTTTTTTTTCCTCAAAAAACGCATTAGTGTTACACAAGTTACAGTTACACTAAAGAGTTGAGAACAGTTCAACAGTAATGTAAGACCAAAATCATACAACACTTGTTTAAGAAACTCGTTCTTTGACAAGTGGTACGGACAAGTCTTACGATTATTGAAGGAAATTCCTAGTTTGAAACGACTGAAATTTGAACGTTTCCGTTTCCGACACGGCTAACGAATATAAAATTAGCATTAACTAATTATAAAAGATAATTATAAGGTGAGCTGATATGGTGAAATTAGTTTGCAGCTGGATTAATTCAAGATAAACCAACGAAAATTTAGTAAAACATCAAACATGCAGGATGGACATTGGAGTCAACTACCGTACACTCTCTATTTAGAGTACGGCCGAGAAGAAAAATGACAATTTGGTAGCAAAGCTCGACGACTATAACAACGATGCTCAACCATTTTACAGTTACCAGTTGGCGGCGGCAACAAGATTTGATACAAGGCCAGCTTTCTTTTGTCTGATTTATTTAACCATACATGATTAAATTACCCCAAACAAAGAGTAGTGTTTTTTCAACTTCTATTTTTTTTCACAGTATAAAATGTAATTTTTAGTCACTTTGAATGAAATATACACTACAATAATCCCCAATACAAAGTAATTGACACTATAATATTCCTTCTTTTAGGCTCCCATGGCCAATGTAGTAGTTTCCATACCACGGCTTCTCTTGTTGGCCCTGGCAACCATTTTATCAGCTAGTTGGACTGTTGCACAGCAAAATGACCATCAAAAGGCAGGCTACATTACAATATTCATTTCATTATGCAAATATATGTATTTCGTCATTCGTTTTAGGCTACATTACAATACTAATTTCATTATGCAAATAATTGATAATTTCATCATTCGTTTTACTTCATCGTTTGAAGGAATGAATGCCATAGCAATTGACAAATGGTGTGTTAATAATGCAAACAGGAATATATTGTGTATTTGGGTGATCTTCCGAAAGAAAGCTTCTCGGCGTCATCGTTTCATTCAAACATATTACAAGCAGCAATTGGCGGCGGGTATAGTACTTAGGATTCTCAAAGGCATTTATAGTATACTAATGTAAATATATAACCTTTTCCTGGATGAAAACGTTGGGAAGTTTTCTAACTTGTTTTGAGAATTGGGTACAGCAAAAACGCAGCAGATTCTCTCCTCTACAGTTACAAGAGAAGCTTCAACGGTTTTCTTGCAAAGTTGACAGATGCAGAGAAGGAAAGACTATCCAGTGAGTGAATCAGGAAAACAGTTTAAAACTATATGTTAACCTTTCTTTCTTTCTTTTTTTTTTTTAACAGCCTGATGAATTGTTGTTGTTCAACCATGATGATTATTGATTCCAGGCATGGAAGGTGTGGTATCAGTATTTCCAAATGAGATAAGACAACTCCACACCACAAGGTCGTGGGATTTCATCGGCTTTCCTCAGAATGTCAAAAGAACAACAGTGGAAAGTGATATCATTGTAGGAATGCTTGACAGTGGGATTTGGCCAGAATCTAAGAGTTTCAATGATTCAGGATATGGTCCTCCCCCAAGTAAATGGAAAGGAAGTTGTGAAACATCCTCAAATTTCACTTGCAATAAGTACGTCCCCAATTTTCACCTGATCATGCACACATTGTTTCTAATGTAGTGTGATTAACAATACTAATCATAACGCTCACTTCAAATTCTTAATTAAATTGGTTGCAGCAAAATAATTGGAGCAAAACACTACCTTGCAAACGGTGAAACAGGTCCAGGGGATATTTTGTCGCCTAGAGACACCGCGGGCCACGGATCGCATACAGCATCAACGGCTGCCGGTGTAGTTGTCACCGAGGCAAGCATGTTTGGCCTGGGGGCCGGGACAGCGCGAGGAGGGGTACCTTCTGCGAGGATAGCTGTGTACAAAATCTGCTGGGCTGTTGGTTGCTTCGATGCAGATATCCTCGCGGCGTTCGACGATGCAATAGCCGATGGTGTAGACATCATATCGCTTTCGGTTGGAGGCTCATTCCCTGAAGACTACTTTGAAAACTCCATCGCGATCGGAGCATTCCATGCCATGAAAAATGGAATCTTGACTTCGAATTCAGCAGGAAATAGAGGACCAGGTGCCGGGACAATCACGAATTTCTCACCTTGGTCCCTCTCGGTTGCAGCTAGTGTTATAGACAGGAAGTTTGTGACAGACGTGACATTGGGAAATAAAAAGACCTTTCAGGTAATCAATAAGCAGTTCCAAAATTTGGTCCTTTCTTAACTGTAAAATTTTCCTTTTGCTGATAAAGAAAAAACAATCTTGCAGGGAGTCTCAGTAAATACCTTCAATCCCAACAAATTCTTTCCCCTGGTATATGGTGGGGATGTCCCTAATGTTTCAGCAGGCTTTGGTTCAGAGGATTCCAGGTGAACGGAGAACTGATTGATCCATCCCGTTACTATACTTATGAGTCAGTAAAAGTGAACTTATCAATTGCATGAAACATAAAATTAACTACAGGTTCTGCTCAGAAGGCACATTGGACAAATCTAAAGTCAAAGGAAAGATTGTGTTATGCGACGCTCTGATTGATGGGTCTGGAATTTTAGGTGCTGGTGGGATTGGAGCTATAATGCAAGATGGAGGCGTCAAGGATATGGCCTTCCTTTTCCCAATATCTACCACTTATTTGGGTACAGATGATGGTACTGAAGTTGCTACTTACATCAATACTACGAGGTAACAAATCTTTTATTAGTATATATGAATAAGCAGAAGTTAATAACTTAATTCAGTCTGCTACTTAACTATAAGACATATATCCAACATTAACTGGATCGTTCCAACTTTGCAGCAATCCAACTGCAAACATCGAAAAGAGTACGGAAATTATAGACGAGACCGGGACTCCGTTTGTTGTTTCATTTTCATCAAGAGGACCAAATCCCATAACGGTTGACATTCTCAAGGTCATTGCATATCCTGTTTCTACAAATGTAGCAGATATTTTTGAGGCTCTGTCTTTCTTTGTATAAATAAGGTTTTAATATGAATGTGTACGAATTTTGCAGCCGGACTTGAGTGCACCTGGAGTTGACATTTTAGCAGCATGGTCTGAGTTGGGTCCTCCGACGGAAATCGACGGCGATAACAGAGTGGTTCCATACAACATCATATCGGGAACATCAATGGCGTGTCCGCATGCCACCGGAGCAGCTGCCTACGTTAAATCCTTCAATCCTACTTGGTCACCTGCCGCCATCAAATCAGCCCTCATGACTACTGGTAAAATCAATCATTTGTAAAAACAAAAAAAGTAATGATTTCTCTCATTCCATAAACACATTAACCCTTCTGTTGTTTTCATGTAATCTCAGCAACTATGATGACAGCAAAGACCAACACAGATGCAGAGTTCGCTTACGGATCGGGTCAAATCAACCCCATCAAAGCTGTTAATCCTGGTTTAGTGTATGATTTGGGAGAAGCCGATTACGTGAGCTTCTTATGCGGTCAAGGCTATAACACCACACTTTTGAGAGTAATTACTGGAGACAACACCAGTTCTTGCACCAATAATGCCATTCAAGTTTGGGATCTCAATTACCCTTCTTTTACAGTTTCTGCAAAATCAGGGGAAATTACTCGGGTTTTTCACAGGACAGTGACAAATGTGGGTAGTCCAGTTTCGATTTATACTGCTAAGATTACGGTTCCATCCCAAATGAAAGTTGTGGTCAAACCAACAACACTTTCCTTCAAATCATTGGGACAGAAGCAGTCTTTCACGGTGACCGTGACGTCAAGTATTCCAGAGACTTTGATATCGGGATCTTTGGTTTGGGATGATGGAGTTCATCAAGTTAGAAGCCCCATTGTTGCACATACTTTTGCACCTTGATTTCTTCATTTCTTTCACATTCCCTTAACAATGGAAGGATTAATAAGTAGTGTGTGTTTATTTGGTGTTTGACACACATTTGATTCTTCTTTTATTCTTACTATTATCAGAATTTCAGAAGAAAAAGAAAACATAAACCAAGTGTCTTACGCTTGTTCTAGTCCATCTCATATTAGCCCAAAGTCCAAACCTTAAATTTGGCATGGGGTTAACAGTTAACACTCCCCTTTTTTAGGACAATCTTTTTCATAGCCCATGACGCCATGAATAGGATTCCGTTCCTAAATCAAATGCAATGTACCTCGGACAGTCCTAACATTCAATGTACCTCGGATTTTGTTGTCATATAATGGAATTTCCATCCTGAATGTCATAAGGATGATAGAATATGTAATATTAGGAAAACCAAATTAGAGTTTCCGTAGGTGACGGTTAAGGTTATATGTATCATGTCTTACTATATTAGAAACAAAAACCACACTTAAGAAAAAGCACCACCATTTGTTATGTGGCATTTCCACATCATATTTTTAAAATAAATCTTTATTTTCACATCTCCTAGACTTAAAAGGCAAATACAGTCCAAATCCACCTCCATCTCCTATTTTTGTCAAAAAAAAAAACGGATTCATAAAAAACCCAAACCCTTATCCCCATCTCCACGACAATCGACTCCCTAATCAATCCCTTCTCTACAATAAAAAAAAAAAAAATTTCTCATCAATCATCAATTGAGAATATGTGGTGAAATATATTCATTTCCTATTAGCATGTTCAATTTTTTCATTAGTGATGATCAACTACATCCTGATCAGATAAAATTTCGACTTCAAAAAATATTCTCTTTACCTTTCTATATAAACACAAAGGAAAAAAAAAATTCTCATTGATCTTGCTTCGGCCGTTGTGGTGGTGCAATTACAGGTATTAAAATTAAATGATTTTATTTCCACAGATCATTTGTTTGGCTTTTATTATTTTTTGTTTTTCCCGTTCAAGAATAATGTTATTACTATTATTTTTATATGTCCATCCGTTACAGCTACCGTAGCCGTTGTAAGGTAATATGATGTGATTTCTTATATAGTTAGTTAGCCTAGAAGTTTTGTATGATTTTAGTTCTGTTTAGATTGAATTGATTAATTGAGTTTTTGTTACAAAGTGTGGTTTTTTAAATTTCTTTTTAATGTTTCATTCAATTAGAGTGGTTTTCTTTTTTTAATTATGGAGTCTCAGTTTTTTTTCCGTATATGGTCAGTTACGAAGTGTGTTTTTTCTTTGTTTAATTATTTTTTATTTTGTTTCATACTCCCAGTTGACCAATTATTATTATTATTATTATTATTATTATTATTATTATTATTATTATTATTATTATTATATTTTATTTGCAAATAAAGCGCGTTTTTTTTGTGTTCGAGCTTTCAAGAATATACTTTTTGAATTTTAGTTTTTGGACTTTTTTTGTTTCTCATCATCTAAATAGTTCAGGTCGCTTTTCTTCTAACTAATTTTTGGGGAAGCCTTTTATGAATTTGAGGCGGAGAGGGAAAAAAATGATGTTCCTACATTTATTTGTATTTTTATACAACATTTTTACCTACAAAAAAAAAATTTCTCAATTTCTTTTACTTTCTTTTTTTTTTATTTGCCATGGTGAGGTGAGTTCTTTTTTGGTATAACTTGAAACCTATGCAAATTTACATTATTTTCATTCTCATATTTGTGATCAACCAATTTCATCAATTAACCAGTTTCAAAATCATATTTTTGATATTTTACTACTTATAAACTTTTGGAAGAAATAGTTTCAACAATTAAGCGTATACCCTTGGGAGAAAGCTTACTACAAAGCTATTATAAATCTCCAAAACTAAGTATTGATTTGGCATAACCGGAGAACATCAATAAATTATCTTACTAATATTTAAACTTATTAGGATACTTTTATATTTTGTCTAGCATTTAATTCAAAACATATATTTGATCAAGTTTATTTATATTTAAGAAGTAACACTTATAAAACATTTCTAAAATCTTCAAACATTTCTAAAACGTACCGGGTCAAATACAATTTCTTTTTATGCCAAATACAAACATTTCTATGATCACACTTATAAAACATTTCTAAATTTTTCAAACATTTATAAAATATATTGGGCCAAATACAAAATTTTTTTTTTCTAAATACAAATATTTCTAAGATGTACAGATATATTGGGCCAGGGTCGCGCATTGCGCGACCAGACATCACTAGTACTATATATAAACCATACTGTATAAACAAAATTAACACAAAGAATTAACTTCTTTCATAGTATCACCCTTTCGTTCTTGCGTGATATGCTCATAATTTACCTATTTTTAATATCCCTTTATGTGAAATTTTGTCAATATTTTGAATACAAATGTACTATTTATGTGATTTTATATTTGATTGTAGGAATTGTACTCAAAAGGAGAAATTGTTGAAATTTTGGGCTAAAATAAAGATAAAAGTAACTTAAAGGAAGAATTGAAGATTCGATAAATTGGCAAGGAAGAAATTGAAGTACTTGAAAAATTAGAGGATTAAACAAGCAATTTTGAAATTTTGTTTGGTTTTTGGAAAATTGGCCGAGAGTTTAATGACTTGTGGCTGATTTGGGATTGGAATTGGGTAAGAATTTTAATCCCGATATTATTTGGGAAACAAGTTTTCTTCCTCTCCAAGAAGTAGGGTTTTGACGGAAGCCTATAAAAGGAGGATTAGGGATTTATTTTTACAACGGGACTGAACCGAACTTGACGGAACTTCACCGAAACCCCAGCCCCCCCCTCCTTCCATCACCGCCGCACCATCACCTCTCCTCCTTCCTCCATTCCCAGGCACCACCTCTGCCTCACCTTTGTTCACCATCCAACTCACCACCGCAGCAACCACGCAACACCATCACCACCACCTTGCCTTCATCACCACGCAGCTCTCCACTGCCGACACCACTGCTGCTCCACCTTCTTCCACCTTGCTCACCCCACGCAGCACCACCGAAGCCTCCAGCGCCAGCATCATCACCATTACCGCCGCGCAGCAAACTAGCTCCATCCTCTGCAATCCCCACGCAAAACAGCACCATCACCAACTTCACGCATCATCGGAGGAAGCCGGGCAGCATTTAATTTGATCTTTCGTTCCGGGTTCTTTTGTTTTTATTTATTTTTATCTTGAGATGATGTGTAGTTAAATTATTTAATCTAGTGTTTTGGATGTAGCCGCCGTACTATTTAATTTAATTTAATTCATTTCAGGATTGTGACTTTTTCATTAGTTGATATTTTATATTCTTGTTTTTTATTCCATGTGAGTATTTGATCACCACTTGCATGCTTTAAAGGTGTTTAACTGAAGGAACGACGGTTGAATGTTAGCACTAGTTCATGAGAATATTAAACTTAGATAGTGGGCCACGAAAGTAGGAACACCGTCTTTGTAGCTATAGATTCTAGGGTTCTTAATGTACTCTAATTAAATCCTATAGTCACGACAGTAGTCATAGGGTTAGTTTTAGTAAGAGAATTATATCACGACAGTGAATAGTTCTTAAATAGGTGAATCGTTGTGAGATTAATGAAAGTCCAAAGTCACATATCTATAGGTTGAGTTAAACTGAAAAGTCGCTTGGTGAACCCTTTGCCCTATGTTTTCTTTTATTTGTGTAAAATCTTTAAATAATTGCAATTGTTAGTTTTAGGTTTAGAATAGTTTAAAATTGATAAATTGTTAATCTAAATAATAATAAGAAATAATTTTAACCGGTAATTGGTAACCTTCTCTGTGGGATCGACCCTATTTTCTACTTTACTGCTAGTAATTGTATTAAGTAGGTAATTAATTATTTGACTAGTTTGACGACGGCTTGTCACTGCACCTTCAACTCCCTCTAGGGTTTCCGCTGCTCTTCATCTTCGGTCTCTGTCCCCTCTTTCTTGTTCTTGGTCTCTCTTTCTGGTCGACATCATCTTTTCCCCTTAGGTTTCAGTTTCCGCTGACAACTGCTTTCTGTCCTTAGTTTTCAGATTTCGTAGCTTCCTTTGCTTCTTCTTTCTATTTCAGATCATCAGGTTCAACTAAAATCAGAAATCTTTCTTTTTGCTCCCCAGCATGGCTCGCTCGACCAACTCTGCTGTCTCCACTCCCGTAGGCCAAACCGTGACCAAAAACCAAACAGCAAACTCTTCTTCCAGCCCGACTCCTTTGTCTCATCTGGCTGTTCACTTATCAAACATAAAAAATTATGTTAATCATGTCCTTGATTTCACGAACTAAATGTTATGGAAGGAGTTGTTCCTTCTAGTTTTTTGTGGCCATGGAGTTATGGGCCACATCGACGGTACTTCCGTTTGTCCGCCGTCGACTCTACCTGCTGCTGATGGCTCTTCCTCCTCTGTCCCTAATCCCGATTTTCAAACCTGGACTCAAGTTGATTCCATCGTACTCTCTTGGATTTAAGCAACCATTTCCACTGAAATTTCGCAAGCCATCGTCAAACCCAATTCTATTCTTACTGCTCGTGACGCATGGTTAACTATTGAAAAACTTTTTCATGATCAACTTGGATCGCGTCTCCTTCAATTAAAGCTTCAATTCCATAGTCAAAAGAAAGACGATTTAACCATCAATGACTATGTTACCAAACTCAAAAGTTTTGCCGACTCTTTAACGGCTATTGGTTGCTCGATTTCAACACCTACTTGGTTCTTCAAATTCTTATTGGCCTTATGTCGGAGTATCAATCTGTTTCGACCACGATCAGCCATAAAGTCCCATTACCAACTTTTGTTGAAGCCCGTTCCATGCTATTTTTGCACGAAGTACAACTCCAAAACAATGCCCCCGCATCTCTTCCCACGGCGACTCCGGCATTAGTTGCTGCTTCCTCAGTAGAATCCACTCCTCAGCCTGCCTCTCAACCTTTCTCTAACACTCGTGGTCGTGGTCGGGGACAGTTTCAAAATTTTTA